TGAAGCATCGCTTCGCGTAACAAGAAAGATAATAATGAAAATAAAGGAATTAAACTTGCTATTTGGAATTTTTCGTTTAGTGGTATTAAATATAGCTTTAAAAATAAATTTAGGTAGTAACTGTTATACCCTATTTATAAAAATATATAAAATGAGGGTAGTTTGCCGCTTACTCTATCTACTTCGGTCGGTTCTACTTATAATAGTATCGTTACCTCTAATATTATATATAGCGTTATTAAGGAACTCGAAAGGTATGGGGGTTTCGGTCGAAAATAATAATGAACCACTTATTTACCTATTAATATTAAAACAAGGGAAGTTAATTAACTATAAATTAGATAAAGGGGTAAGAAAGATATAACATATTTATTTTACAGGGGGTAAGCGGACTATAGATTAAACAGTTAATATTTTATATTATAGGGATAGCCGTATTTCTTTTAATAAATTTTAGAAAATTAGTTGTAAAACGAAAGTAATGTTCTAGCAATTTAGAAAATTACTATATAATATAACGAAGGATAATATTATACCGCCGTATAAAATTTCTAACCTAACTAATCGAAAATAGAAAGTCTGAATAAAATTGGTCAGTTAATTAGTAAAAGACATACTTTAACTTTATTTTAAACTAGCCGATACGTACCGGATCGTCTACTTTACATTTCGAAATAAAATAATCGAATAATTATTTTTCTAATTCTAACTATTTAGGTCGGAAGGGAAATTTAGTACTATAAATAACTTTATTTCTTTATAACTACTAATATATTAAAATAGAACAAGGTATACCGAAGTATTTCGAGGCTTAAAAATATATCGGGCGGCGGAAACTAATAGGTAAGGTATAATTATAACTATTAATTATAAGATTGGTTTCTAGGGTTTTAAATTTACGATTATAGCAGCTAATATTATCGATAGGAATAAAATTGAAGAAAAGGTAATTTAGAATTTTAAACTTAATACGACGGGAATATTTGCAATAGGGTTTAATAATTTCGGCCGAAGAGGAATAAACGTATAGTCGGGCTTAATATCGTTTATAGAGGGGTTTAACTTTCTTACTAAATTTCTTCCACTTAATAATAATATTATAAAAAAGGTAAAATAATAAAGTCGATATTATTATTAAAGAAAAAGAGGTATTGTAGAATAAATTCAATAATATTTCATTAATTTATAAAACCTAGGTTTTTAGAGGGGTAAAGAGGGGAATTATATAATAAGAAGTTATAGTTAAATAAATAAATAAAGTGGGGTAGTAATAATATAAGAGATTTAAAATGAAACTCACTTTAAGATCGGTCAGGTTTTTGATAATAATAATAAACCCTACGATATTAATAGCGGTAAGTTCGAATACATCGCTCGAGTTGCTAGACTTTTAATACTTACTTCTTTAATAAAAGATTGCATCGCGATACGATAGTCTAATATTATAGTATTGTTTAATTAATTCTAGCGATAATAGCGGTTAGAGTGTACAAGTTAGATTTTAAGAAGGTTATTTAGTAAAAGAGTAAGGATAGGGAGATTGGGCGAGATTTTTAAAGATTACTAGTACAGGACATACGGCTAGTATAGGTCACTTGCAATCAGTTAGCGGGGTTGTCAGGGTTGAAAAGTAGGTAAAAGGGGGCTTGCCGGCCCGGCCATACTGTATTGAGATTAGTATAGCTGGGGAAGTAAATCTCTTACGACTGGGTAAAAGCGGTATCACCAGATATCCTAACCCTAACCCCGAAGCAAATGCGCAATTGTGTCCGAGCTTCCCTTCTTTCTTCCGGGAATGTCCACTGCTGTGTGGCGCATCTTGACGAATCAATGCCGCAGAAAAAGACAGGTAGAAAGGTGTCAGGTAACGATAATCCGTATCACTTATGCAGATGGCTCCAAAAGTATCAAGAAGGGTGGTGATAGTATTGATCAATCTAATAATCTGTGTGTGTGGTGTTCTGGAGAGAATCCAGAGACAAGTGCGGGGTGGCACGAGCCACATACCTACAAGGTACCCATGTAGGTCACGTGCTCATCAGCCGCCTCCTCCAAATTTCAAGCCACAGCAAGGTTGCATGCTGCACGAGGGTGATTGGCTCGATAAGCAGCAGCTGGACAAGAGGGGACAGCCTTGTCTTGGGGTAACAGGGGTCACGGTTGCAGTCCAGAACGTTGGTCGGAAAAACATTTGCATTTTGGATGCCGTGGTGTGTGTCGTGTGAGGGTTTTCGAGTGAAAGCAGCAGTGGTCGCGTGCTTCGTTTTGCCTGCGTTTGGTTTTCGTCCGGACTCGACTCTTAGAGTGTGCACTGCATCCTGTTCTCAAAAGGTTTAGAAACGCCCCCTTCGTCAGCTATCCTCCAGTCCGAGGTCTGCATTTGACTCGGTCACTTCTCCCCCAGTCATCATCATTCTTCTACCCTTTTGGAGTGTACTAGCTAGTACGCTTTATCAACAACCGCCTCCTTTTCCGCCTTGCATCAGTCGGAGTGGAACTCTTTCTCTCAAGGACCCTGAACTCCCAAGCGAAAGGCAACCAATAATGTTGATGCGGTGACACTAAACGATAACACAACACATCGATCTAACCCCTTGGACACAGAGATATAAAACCTATACATTCGGTTGCTACACTCCTACCTTATCTATACAATCTATACATCCTACGTCTCGCACCGAAACATCAATATTCCTGTACTGCATCGAGCAACGACCAGCCAATCTGCAACCAACCCAACCCCCCTGAGGGAAACACAACATACCCGTCCTCCCGTTCCCGAATCTTGGGTATCCCGTCTCCCGTACCTGCCTGTCGCATCCCTACTCTACATCTTTAACCAATCATATTCACCATGCGCGGCGACACCCGCGACCTCGTCGACACCCTAACGGACGGCATCAAGGGCCTCGACGTCCGCGTTGTCGAGAACCCAGACAGCACCATTGCCAAGCGGGCTCACTACGCCCCACCTTGGGCAGATGTCAGCATCATCGGCATCGCTGGTAGTTCGGGGTCTGGCAAGTCGACGCTGTCTCAGGCCATTGTTAAGAAGTTGAACCTGCCGTGGGTGGTCATTTTGTCCATCGACTCTTTTTACAAGAGCTTGGATCCGGAGGCGAGCAGGAGGGCGTTTAGGAATGAGTATGATTTTGATTCGCCCGAGGTAGGTTTAAGTCTGGTGTAAAACTCATAGGTTGGGAAACAGATGTTGACATGTGTGTCTAGGCATTGGACTTTGATGTCCTGGTAGAACGGTTGCAGGATCTCAAGGCTGGGTAAGTTTCACAGTTGAGGAATCAAGGTGGTGCAAGTGGACGTACGAGATGCTCATTCATTATCTGTGTAGCAAGCGTGCAGAGATTCCTGTTTACTCGTTTGAGAAACATGCTCGTCTCGACCGTACTACCGCCATTTACTCGCCACACGTCCTCATTCTCGAGGGTATCTTTGCTCTCTATGATCCTAGAGTTCTTGAACTACTGGATATGAAGGTATGCAACTCCACGCAAGACAGTTGGAGTCAACACATGCTAACCTCAAGTCAGATCTTCTGTGAGGCTGATGCCGACACTTGTCTCTCGCGAAGAAGTGGGTTTCCCGTTGATCTTGGTGGCCGTTCATGTTCTAACCAAGTACCACAGTTTTGCGTGATGTGAAGGATCGTGGTCGCGACGTTGACGGCATCATCAAGCAATGGTTTAACTATGTCAAGCCCAACTTTGAAAAGGTGAGAGAGACTCCCATGTAATCCCCCTTTACCCCTTTACCAAGAACCTCACTAACACATGCCAGTTCGTCGACCCCCAACGAAAGGTCGCCGACATCATTGTCCCCCGCGGTGTCGAAAACCACGTGGCTATGAGTAAGTCTACCTTTCAAACCCCATCCATCTCCCTGACAACACGAACCTAACATTTTCAACAGCCATGGTAACCCAATTCATCCAACAAAAACTCGTCGAAAAGTCCAAACGCCACCGGGCCGCCCTGACCCGTCTCGAGTCTCAAGCCCGCCACCAGCCGCTCTCCAACAAAGTCGTCTTCCTCGACCAGACCCCGCAGCTGCGCGGCATGAACACCCTCATCCACGACATCGACACCTCCAAGGAGGACTTTATCTTCTACTTCAACCGCTTCACCACCCTGCTCATCGAAAAGGCCATGGATAACATCCCCTTTGCATCCACAACCATCACGACTCCCTTGAACAGGGAATACGCCGGCCTCAAACCGCGGGGCGAAGTCTCAGCCGTCGTTGTCCTGCGCGGCGGCGCCGCTTTGGAAGCCGGTCTCAAGCGCGTGCTACCGGACTGCAAGACCGGCCGCGTCCTGATCCAGAGTAACATGCGCACCGGCGAGCCGGAATTGCATTACCTGGCGCTGCCGAAGGACATTGCGGAGCACGAGGCGGTGTTGTTGCTGGATGCGCAGATGAGCAGTGGCGGATCGGCCCTTATGGCGGTGCAGGTCCTGGTTGATCATGGGGTCAAGATGGATCGGATTGTGCTGGCGACGTACAGCGCGGGGAGGTTGGGACTGCATCGGCTGACGACGGTGTTTCCGGAGGTTACGGTGGTGGTGGGGAATGTGATTCAGGATGTTGAGGAGAGGTGGGTTGAGAAGAGGTATTTCCGCTGTTAGATGGTGACATTGGATTGGAAGTATTTTGTCAAGTTGTTTGCATAGTTCTTTTGTGTGGTTTACTAGGTGTTGGTGTTGTAGCATGGGCCTGGCGTATACGGAATGGAGTCTAGCAATGTACTCGAAGGAGTTGATGTCTGAATTTGGATGTCCAGCCGGCAACCGTGCCGAGTATGCGGATGATTTACACGTACGTGATGGTGAGACGGACCAGGTGTTGTGGTGGTCACCCCTAATTGATATCTGGAATATTCTAACTAATCCAACCCTAACCCCATCTGACATTGGATGAACTCGAAAGCAGGTTGGGGACCGTTCGGGAGAATCCACCCAAGTGCGGGGCGTATGCAGGGTGCACTTTTCAGCTGAGGGCAGTGACAGGGTGACAGGCCATCTCGCTGTACTCGAAAGGGACAATCAAGCCGCCAACCATGATCAAAGACAGCAATGGAAAGTGTGCGACAACAGAAGACGTCAGCGGGCCGACTTGTATGAGAATCACTTCTTCTTGTCTCGACTTTTCTTCCTCAAAGCCTTCCTTCTCTGTTGTCGGCACTAACATTTAACACTGCACTGACTGCAACACCAACACCAACAATCGCGATATCCACTCCAAGCGCGTTATCGCAGATTGGGCATTGACGTCATACCAAAGCAGCAGCAGAAGTAAAAAGACGACGGACAGCAAGACCGCAGGCGACGTCGACATTGCGAAACAATGCTGCGCACATATCGAGTTGCGCGGGCTTCCGGGCTTTCAGGTCTGCGAGGAGGTATTCCTACAGCTCCTCGAGGAACGCGACAGTTGTTCACCAAACCACCACAACACCCCGCGAAGCCCAAAACAAAGAGCCTCGAACTACGCCGGCCTGACCAAGTTCGCCAATTATCGGGGAAACCACTACCACGAACCCAGTCGACACTCCTCAACTTTGGGTACCGCACCGCTGCTTGGTTCGGAAGCTCCATCGCGTTCGTCGGCCTCGGCTTCGTCGCCTTCTTCCTCTACGATGCCTCGACCTACAGCTCCCACGCGACAAACCAGGGCGATATTGCTATCTCCAAGCTCGCCCTAAACCCTCGCCGAGGAGGCCCCAAGAACCTACCGATCCTCGAAATATTCCTCGACGACGACGATGATGAAGAGAAGAAGAAACACAAGGACAAGCCTAGGCTGGTCATCCTGGGTGGAGGCTGGGGCAGTGTTGCTCTCCTCAAGGAGCTCAACCCAGATAACTACCATGTCACCGTCATCTCCCCGGCCAACTACTTCCTCTTCACGCCCATGCTGCCCTCCGCAACCGTGGGAACACTCGAGCTCAAGTCCTTGGTTGAGCCCATCCGCAACATCATCAACCGAGTCAAGGGCCACTACGTCCGTGCCACCGCCGAAGACGTTGACTTCTCCTCCCGCCTGGTCGAGGTATCTCAAAAGGACCCCCGTGGCAACGAAGTGCGCTTCTACGTTCCCTACGACAAGCTCGTCATTGCCGTCGGCTCGACTACCAACCCTCACGGTGTCAAGGGTCTTGAGAACTGCCACTTCCTCAAAGACATCAACGACGCCCGCCAGATCCGCAACAAGATCATCCAAAACCTCGAACTCTCCTGCCTACCCACCACCTCCGACGAGGAGCGCAAGCGTTTGTTGTCCTTTGTCGTCTGCGGCGGCGGTCCCACCGGTGTCGAGTTCGCCGCCGAGCTCTTCGACCTTCTCAACGAGGACTTGACTTTGCACTTCCCTCGTCTCCTCCGCAACGAGATCTCCGTCCACCTCATCCAATCCCGCGACCACATCCTCAACACCTACGATGAAGCCGTATCCAAGTACGCCGAAGACCGCTTCTCGCGCGACCAAGTCGACGTGCTAGTCAACTCGCGCGTAGCCGAAGTCCGTCCCGAGTCCATCCTCTTCACGCAGACGGGCCCTGATGGAAAGACAACCGTGACCAAGGAGCTCCCCATGGGTTTCTGCCTCTGGTCGACGGGCGTCGCGCAAGCCGAGTTCTGCAAGCGTATCTCCCGCCAACTCGGTCCCGCCCAAACAAACCACCACGCCCTCGAGACCGACACGCACCTCCGCCTCAACGGCACCCCCCTAAGCGACGTATACGCCATCGGGTAAGGGCTCTTTTCTATCGTCCAATAAATAGAAGTTTATTACTAATTCTTATATAGCGACTGTGCCACCGTCCAGAATAACGTGGCCGACCACATCATCACCTTTGTCCGCAACCTCGCCTGGAAGCACGGTCAGGACCCCGAAAAGCTCGAGCTGCACTTCTCCGACTGGCGCACCGTCGCGCAGCAGGTCAAGAAACGGTTCCCCCAAGCTGCCGCCCACTTGAAGCGACTCGACAAGCTCTTCGAGGAATACGACAAGGACCAAAACGGTACTCTAGACTTTGGCGAGCTGCGCGAGCTGCTGAAGCAAATAGATAACAAACTCACCTCCCTCCCCGCCACCGCGCAGCGCGCCCATCAACAGGGACAGTACCTAGCGCACAAGTTCAACAAGCTTGCGCGCGCGGCGCCAGGGCTCAAGGCAAATGAGATCTCAGAGGGGGACCTGGATGCGGCGGTGTACAAGGCGTTTGAGTATAGGCATTTGGGCAGTTTGGCGTATATTGGGAACTCGGCCGTGTTTGATTGGGGAGATGGGTGGAATTTCTCCGGCGGGCTGTGGGCGGTTTATGCGTGGAGGAGCATTTATTTTACGCAGAGTGTGAGTTTGAGGACGAGAGTACTTATGGCAATGGACTGGGCCAAGAGAGCCTTGTTTGGACGCGGTAAGTTCAACCCGAGGAAAGAAAGGTGTGTGATGATGAGTGTGAATCGTGTTGCTAACGAGGTTTGAAATGCAGACTTGATGAGCTTCTAAACCGACTAACTACCGATCCTTTCTTTCGATGACGTAAAACGGTCTTCGACATTATAAGAAGGCAGGCAGGGAGGGAGCTGAGCGGGAAAGCGAGCGGACGAGTTACCTTTTTTCGTCTTGACTTGAGCTACTTGGCGGCTGTTGTCGTTTCTCTGTTACATTATACCTTCACCTCGACCTTTTACAAAGTCATGCATGATCCTTTTTGCTATTCATTACGTTTGCACTCTCCTAGACGTGGAGTTGAGAGGCAGCAGCAGTTATCTTACTAAAAGCAAGAGCCAAAGACTAAAACTAGATTATAAATAAACCTTAATGCTATGTTGTTTCATGGCAACTTAATGTTCAATGCCGTGTCGTTTGATATGTCGATTGTCTGGTCAGAATCTTCATTCAACAGGAGCAATGTCTGTCTCCCAAGCGGTAGCAGACTAGTTCTAGATAGGAGTGATGCAGTGGTGCCTGGAAATAGCAAGCTGGATACCTGGCGAAAATACGCCCTAGTTCTATTTCGTAACTCTTATCATATCACCCCTTATCAACAATAAGCCCACACACAACCAAGTTACAATCACATCCGCCCTCGAGAGCGAAGTCTAATGTATATAGTTTCCTCTATCTCTACCTGTGACAACCATATCCCCAGGTCTAGACTTAATTCCCATCAATTAACCCCCCAAACCTCCCCCCACCGCCTACTACTAACCCTCAACGGGCCATCCAACCTCCCAAACCTCGCCTCCTCCCCACTACTCGCCTCGGGCAAACACACCCACTCCCTCACGCAATCGGGAACCTCCTCCTTGATATGGCTGATACAAATCAACGCTTGCTGATCCGTCAATCCATGCACCTTCACCTTGCCTTGCACAGCTTGCTCGCTGTCTACCACCTCTAGAGGGGCTACCGAAATACCCTTGGCATTGGGAGAGGGAGAGGGAGTAGGGGTAGAAACAGTGGATGACGCAAATGTCTTGCTCTCGCCGTGGATCAAAAAGAGCATACATTTATCCCTCACCGCGTCGTCCATCCCGCTGAAAGCCTCGTCTAGAACGACGATGTCGGGGTTTTTGACGATAGCTCTCAAAAAGAGGAGAAGGCGTTGGGAGGAGAAGGGTATCTCGCCGAATTGGTAATCTTTTGCCCATTTTAGGCTTGCTTCATCGGCCTCCACCTGTGCAAGTTCGACGGGTGTATGCTGCGAACGTTTCGCGAAAGAAGGGTTAAGTTCGTGCGCGAACCACGACAGCGTAGCGTCCACTTTTTCGGTAGCCTCGGGCGTGAGTTTGGGGACAGAAGAGAAAGTGTCGGCCCATGCGGACTCGAGAACAGACCGGACCGTCAACCGGCGAGGCATATACTGATGGATTTCGGGCGAGGAATGGCCGACGCGGGATTGGATGTCCCAGAAGGTTAGAGGCCTCTGGCCGGAGCCAGGCTCGGGCAGCCGGGACCGCCCGAAGAGTTTGATGGGGAGGGAGTAAGTCTGTGGGTGGTCGGAGCAGAGTAAAGAGACGATGGTGGTTTTTCCGGAGCCATTGGGACCGAAGACGCCCCAGCGGGAACCGCGGCGGACGGTCCAGTGCAGACCTAAAGGCCAGTTGCCGAGAACGGTTTTGGTGCCGTAGCGGACGGTGACGCCGGACATTTGGACTAGGGGTTCTTTTTCTTCTTCTTTTTCGGGAGAGGGGACAGGGGAGTCGATGATGGGTGCTTGGTTAGTCGGGGAGTGGGTAAGTTCCTCGGCTAGTCCCTCGCCCTTGATACCATCCTTCGTCAAGGTACGGCCGATGTCGATAAGAGCATGAACAGGCATCGTCTCGTCTTCAGATAACCCGCCCTTCCACACCCCGCGCACGTAAGCCCTCAACCCATCCAACACCGTCCCCCTCTCGCCCATCGCGCCCACCTGGCTGTCTGTCCGCAGATACACCAAGTGCGTGATCCACTCCGGTAAGGGGTCCTGCGGTCTCGCGGCCAGTACTAGTCTCGGACTCTTCTTCTCCGCTAGACTTTCCAGTAAGGGGCTCAAGCCCGCTACCGTAGCCGGATCTAGCCCCATGAACGGTTCATCTAGCAATAACACCTCCGGGTCCGTGAACAACGCCCTGGCAATCCGAGCCCTCCGGCCTTGCCCGTTGGAAAGGAAAGACACGGGAAGATCCAGCAAGGTATCCAACCTGAGATCAACCACCACCCGCTCAAAGAGCTCCGGATCAACGCGATACTCCCCCGGCATCGAAGTCGGGTTTAGTTCCGTGTTCCCCAACAACCAATCCCTCACCGAAAAATCCGTCTGTTCCCTGTGACTTTCATATCTAGCGGAGATGTACGTCGACGCCGCTGCCCCTAAGCCCCCGGACGTGGAGGTGGCGTCGAACCCGACATACTGAATCGCCTTGGCTGGGTTTCCTCGCAAGCGGGAGGGCACGTCTTCCGTTGAAAGATAGGGAAAGGAGCGAGCGGTGGGCGGGAAGCAGAGGTATTGGCCGCGGAGGAGCTGGAGAAGCGTGGTCTTGCCGGATTGGGAGGGGCCGAGGATGGCCCAGTTGTGCGGGGAGGAGGGGTGGGAGGGCAGGTCGAGGGTGAGGTTGCTGAAGAGGGGTGGGTTGGGGTGGCTGTGAGAAGGATGGGAGGAGGGTTGGTGGCGGTAGAAGGTGCCGTTGGTGATGCGTATTATGGGGGGACGGACGGTGATCCCTGGTGGTGGGAAGCGCATTTTGTGTTGAGATTTAGAACTTGGATGTGCCGGACATCTCAAGTGACCATCTCAGATGAAGTCGGGAATATATAAGTGAAGAGTGACTGTGACATTACTCATCAGGACTTCATAGCCGACCATCTGACTAGCGGACGAGTAGTTGGAGATGTTGATACGTAGAGGTCGGGAATAAGAAGCGACGTCGGAGTTAATTACATTATTAATACGGTATTGCCCTGTAATGACAATGACAAGTGACACCGGGGAGCCTGGCAGCCCGGAGACACCCACCCACCCCGCTAGCGTCTGGGGTACGTACCGCCCAGCCCGCTGCACCCACCTGCCGCCGCCGCCCAGTGACAACAGCCCTGCCGCCGCCTGCGACAACAGCGGGCAGGTGAACGCGGAAGCTGCTTGGAGCCTTGACGTTGACAGCCTTCCACTTCCATCTTCCATTCCTCATTCCAGCCTCAACACCAACCTCGAACAACGAACCACGACTTCATTTCTTGCGATACCCAATAGCAAATCCAGCGCTAGAGATACCATCCCAGTCGCACAACCAAACAAGTTTAATCCTCTCCAACCTAAACAAACAATACGTAATCAACACCGCCGCCTAGCTTAAGAGCAAACCGTCAAGATGGTAAGCTATCACCCCTCCATCAACAGCACACCATCAACGCAACATCACCAGTCGCCTCCTCTTCTAAGAGTGCCTTCTGTTCCATTCCCAGCTTCCACGCCCACCGTTCCCCCCTCTACCCCTTCTAAACGGTCATACTAACGCCCAGTTACCAGTCCCTCCGCATCGTCCCCGCCGACTCCCACACCACAACCTTCACCCACCTGCGCTCCATCGCCGCCCCCTCCGCCCCGGGGCTCCACGACACCCTCCGCTCCGGCCTCGCCCCGAACCCGCTCGACTCCGTCTCCTCCTCTTCTGGCGCCTCCACCGCCTCAGCAGTCCCCATCTCCTCGCACCCCCTCGAATCGCGCCTCAAGCAATGGGAAGCCACGCGCGAAGCCTTGCGCATGGAGACTCTTCGCCGCACCTTTGGCATGGCGGAGCCTATCCGCAGACAGATGGAGTTGAAGATTGTTCGGGATGGGGAGTGGAAGCCGCTTGCTCTTGGCGGAAGTGTGGGAACGCTCGGTGGAATGGGAAATGTGCATGAGGAGATTCTGATGGGACGGGATGGGGATATCACGTGGGAGGATGTGTTTACGGGCGAGGAGGGGAGGGCGGAGGTGAGCGTGCAGGAGGAGATGGAGAGGAAGTTGAGGATTTCGGCTTAGGCTTGGTTGGGGCTGAACAAGGCACGTTGATGGATAGGTTGAATGGGTTATGGCCACGGCATGCTAGAGCTGGAACACACAAGAACTCGACAACGGAATACGACTGCGATTAGACATCAGCTCCCCACACGTTCCACGTTTTGCAGGTTTATTATGCCATGGACGGTTCTGGGCGATGGGTGCCGATCGGTTCATGAAAGATGGATGGACATTGATACTGGCTCTGTCGGTTGCACATCCCAAGCAGAGGTTTGCAGGCAGGTTTGTAGCCACATGGAGCAGTCCATCATGGACCAATAGAGCGAACGTCAAAAGGAGATTCTCATGATTCAATATTTCCCAACGCCTGGTAAACTCGTAATATGTACATGACCATACTCATCTTCTCGCTCGGAGGATCATCGTATCCACACGCTCTGCCCAAGGCGGGAGCTCCCTCATCCATCTCATCTCGCTGGTTCGGGAGGACCCCCCCGTAGACTAAGTATTCACACCAGCGACCATTCATCACCCTCCGTCAGTCCCATTCTTCCAAATAAGCTACCTCCAACTCTTCCCACCAACCACTACGCTATCCAAGCAACAAACAAACAGCAACTCCCGCTGTAATAGGCAGGCAATAACTGCTCCCCCCACACACGTAAACAAAAACACGAAAGGAGCGTTGCATACAACTTAAGCAAAAAAAGACAAGACGCCACTCAGTTTCCCAGTACAGCCCGTACGTAAGCACAGTGGAGGAAAAACATGTCCGACGAACAACAACAACAACGGTATATCCAGTAGAGGAGGGAAGAAGAGAAAGACAGACAAGAACGGAAAATAGAGCCAAGTCTTCCAACATAAATACATGGATGGAATAATGGAATGGAATGGCCAAAATAGCTTAAGCCTTAAACAATAACGGCCACCGACCGGCCTCTTTCCTGAAATGCAAAAACAACAAAGGTTTCGCTGTGCAGGATGTGGGAGGGATGATTCGTCCCCATCTCATCTGTGCATACATACGCTGGCTGGGTGGGTAGTGAATACAGATCCAGCGGGAATCAGCATTAGCCAGCTAGAGGCCCGTCGCTTGTGACGGAGGGGAAGAAAGGGACCGAAGACTCGTTGTTGTTAACCGAGTTGAAGCTGGATCCGCTCGCTGCTTGCTGTTCTGGCCGATTTTGTCCGTATTGGGTCGGTATCAACTCGGACTCCGATCCGATATCATTACCGGTGGTATTTTTTAAAAAGGTGTTCCGAAGCAGCGAAGCGGTTAGGGTTAAAACGAGGAGACGGAGGGTATGTAATGGAAGTGCACGTTGTGCTGTGCTGTGTGCATGATGATCGCTCATAGAATAACACAACACGCACTTCCTCCTTCTCTCCTCGATCCTTCTCGCCCGCTTGCGCTCTTGCCGCCTTTTGCGCCTTCGCCGTCTTCTTCCATCATCTCGGCTGGTCGAACTGACATGTGGACGACGTTGGGGGTGTCGGGGGAGAATCTGTATTCTGTTTTTAGAGTATTGTTAGCACTCGTCCTTTGAAATCATCATCTCTCCAGCCATCATCATCATCATCTCCCCGATCTTGGCATCATTCTCAACGATCATCCATCCCCAATATCACTTTCTATCCATATTTCCCCTTCCCAGCTGACCCCCTCTCCCCATATCTCCCCATCCCCCCCTTATCACCTCACAACATCCGCCCTCCGCATCCTCTCTCTCCCCCCCCCCGACCTTCCAACATCCACTCTCCATCACCACCACCACGACAATCCTCTTCTCCAAGGGCCAAAAGAAGGAAATCGGACAAAAAGTACTCACTCTTCAAACTCTCCTTATCATCCAACAACTTCCCAAAATGAATCAGCCGAATACTCGTCGGACTCGCCGGCTTCCCCTCCCACTCCTCCCTCCACTCCCTCAGAATCAGTTCCTTGAGCTTATACACCGAGATACTAAATGGATCCGGCTGGCCCGTCTCCGCCACGGTCTCGGGGATGTCGACGCCCCGTTTGGACAAGTACTTCTCATCGATCTTGTACGGGTGTCGGGCTCCCGTCGGCAGGAGCAGGGTGATGTTGCAGACTGGGGCTTCGGTACTGGGTGCTGATGCAGACTGGGATGCTTGGGATATCGAGTCGGGATCGGGTTGTTGGGATTGAGATGCTGGGGAGGAAGCTGCTGGGTCGGTTTCGTCCTTGACATCTTGTAATGAGACGGGCATGGCGCCGGTGGCTGTGGGTATTGATGGTTCGCCTTCCTTGTTGTTCTGGGTTTGGGACTGGGTGGTGGCTGGTTGGTTGTTGATATGTTCCATCTGGGCTACGTCGCCTGTCGCTGAATGTTGGTGTTGTTGAAGCGCATCGTCGGTCTCGGGGCGTTTGCCGAGGTGTTTTGAATCGGTTGCGTCGGCCATATTGATGTTCGATGTCGATGCAATCGTATACCGAAAGGTGGTTTGGAGCAGGAGAGACGGCACGACGGCTGGCACCCCCCTAGGTGTTCTCCGGAAACTCAATCGAAATTAAACTGAAGGGTGGCTTGCTTGCGATGCAGCGTCGGCGCGGGTCCGTCCAAAGGAGCGTTGTGCTAGTGCTGATAGATGTACTGTTGTGGGTAAATTGCAAATGCGATGTATTGCGGGAAGTCAGGGCAAAGGGAACTGTTGTGGTTGTTGGATGTCCGGAAACGGCTGCCTTGGTAACTAAGTAACTCCGTAGGTCTTCGAGTTCCCTGTGTGGAGTGGAAAGTGATGGCTGGATTGAAGTGGGTGGTGGTTGATTGTGCACACCAGATTGAGTGGAACTGTGAGGTGACAGACACTTTGTCGCTCGTTTCTTCTCTCTGTGTAATGAATCGAAGAAGGAAAAGCAAAGATGGATTGGAGAAAGAAGAAGTAAAAAAGCGATGGGCGTGCGATTTGGGGACCGACTAGGTAATGCGATGAGCGGTGACCGCTTCGTGAGTGGTTGGATCAACGGGCTATGGGCCGGGTTCGTTACAAGACCAAAAAGGTTGGTGTGGTGTAATGGGTCGTCCGTGGTTTGGACCCTTAATGCCCGTAGCTATGTAGATGCAAGTCAAAAGAGTACTTGACCGGGCGAATGCAAATGCGATGCGGCCAAGTGTTGGTGCGGGCTGCGTGCGGGCTGCGGATGCGGTGCGGGTGAGAGATGTCCGAGCGGGTACGAGAGTCGAAAGAGGGCGGGCGGGCGGGCGGGCGGGAGGTTCGGTTTGTGTAGTGTGGACTGGAGTGCAGTGTGGAGGTGGATATCGATTACCGGTGAGGTTGCTTTGGAGATTTGGGCATGTAGATAGTTAGAGGTAATGTCGGGATCATGAACAATCCTGGGATGGTGACGACGTCTCTCTTTTGTTTATTTCCGCAGTGTATAAAACGGGGCATTAAGGACGGCACTCCCGCTACCCGAGTGTTTCCGGTGTAATGAACCAGAACAGGACGGTTGAGGCGAAAGCTACCTATCTTATGTCTACCCCGATTCTGAATGAGCTGATGCGTTCGGTTCCAAGACGTCAACGAATTCACGACTATCCAAGACCCAATATCAAAGTCCCGAGATCGGAATGAATCCGAGAACCGAATGGCAAATGATAAAATCATGCGGCCCGAGTCCGTACCTAGCGTCCGGTCTATCCGCTGCGGCGTGGGATTTTGGAGGTTAGGAAGGTCTGGTGTTTTTCTTTTCCTTTGTGACGATGGGGGACAACCTTGATGGATATAACGGCACCCATTGCAGCTGAAACGAGAGTCTTCATTGGTTGATGATGCTACTGCAAGGTCCACACTTGATCGGCAGACCCCGCACAGACTATTATGATTGTGGAGTTCATGATGCATCGTGCCAAGCTCGACTTTTATCCTTCACAAATCACGAGATCATCCTTCTTCTCACGAAAGACACTCCCTCGTCAAAGTTGCAGAGAAGAGAGGATGGTGGTTCGCAGTTGGCAAATCGATTTCAATCCCGTCGGAGTTTCATGGATGCATGTCCAGAACAAACATTCTTCAAAGTTATCGTCACGCCTGGCAGAATATCGGCACTGTCTTGCTGCAGTGGCTCACCATCTCAATTTCAACCGAGTGCCCGTCACAGTTCCTCTCCCACAAACCACACTGGGAATCTGCCATGGCCATGATTCATCATTCCCAAACCGCAAGCCGACGTTCTGAGCTGTGTTTATCACTCCATCCTGGAGGCTATCGCTCTGAGCATTCATCATTCAATCAAGCACGTCTATGGCTGTTTTTCGCTATCAGGATGCGGGAAGCTGGGAAAGCTAACTGCACTCGAGGAATCGAAGACAAGCCCATTGCTTCTCTGACACCGATGTTCAATGGTAACTTCCGGTGATGATCGAGATCCAGGGAAGACAGTCCCTGTTGTGTTCGTTTTCTCAAATGACCAGAACTGCGATTTTATGGGGAAGCAACGAACCATGGACGACACAGTTACCGGACAGTCGCGGGAACAAGCATGGATTGATATATGGCCCCTTGAGGACCAAGTAAGGGAAGTCGGAAAAATATGGTTGACTCGCCGCGAACTCGATGTATTTCTTTCTCAAACCTTTGAAGGAAGTCTTCTTCTACCGACAGTTTGGGCTCAAGACACTCGGCAATTTACTTATAAGACCAGGGGACAACCCTTCCGAAACGCGTCTTGGAACCCGACCGCGTTCCTGGGGTTAACCCAACATCGTGGTTGTTGTTGGACTGAGTTTGGGCAGTATTGTCTTGAAACATCACCATGCCTCCTACTCCATGGGGATTTCAATGTCCGACTGACGACTACCTCTAGCATACGATGCCAACAGCGGATAGACACACCTCTGTCTTGTGAGAAATACTATCACACAGGCGGTCTTTATGTTCTGGCCTCCAAAGCCACAGAATCTTCCAGCTGCCTCAAGAGGGGAGCTTCAAGGAACCGGTAACACAGTCACTCGCGAAAGTGTGTCTGTACCTCAGGTTGAGTGGGCTTGAGGTCACACTGATGAGGAGCTAGAAAACTCGAGCTTGGAGGCTGGTGTTTCGACCTTCCATCTGGTTGATGCCTGCTTGCAAAAGTTGGTCTCCTGCAGAATCGACCCCTCCAGGTCACGTCATATCGTGTTGTGAACAGACGGCTCATGAAGCGTCATTCCGGGAACAAATCATGCCAGTGACGTTGAGACGGAAGGCACGAAGATGGCCATTGTCCACGAGCTTCCGTGTGCACCATCGGATTCCACGATTGCACACCACCGAGGTCGGGAATTGTGACCATGGCCACTCTTGTGCTCCAGATCGTTCGCCAGTTTGACCGACAACATCTCAATCTTCCCAGACATCCGATGAAAGATTGCACAGAGCCACTAGTTGTGAACAGGTTATCACCATGTGCTAACTCAGGTCAAGGTCGAGGTTGCGGCAGGCGATGTTGAATGGCGTATATCTTGTCGTACCTGCCGTTCCAGTCATACAAACAAGCCTGGAGCGACCTGGACCTTCGAGCGCTCCTTCCTTTTCAACTTGAAAACTCCCACCACTCCAGGTTGAGGTGCAGCCCAGTCCTCAAGGTTCCCTTCGAAATTTCTGCTTCGACTTTTCCTTCCCGCCCTCGACCTTCCTCGACCTTGCCCTTCTTCCCGCCCCTCCACAAACACGCAAAAATTCCGAAACCAAATCCAAAACCCAAACACCTCGAATCCTCCAAAACCGTCACGAGCATTCTTACTGGCGCAGTCTACTTTGGAGTACAGCTTCCCTGTAAGTTGCTATTATTGTTTTTTCTCCAGCTCGCTTCCCCCCCTGACGAGTACCCTTCAATACCCAAATTCTCGTCAATCTTGGCGGCGACATCAAGCTCCCCTCACCTTGTCGTTTCACCATGCAAACAAACCCCCCACCGGACCACCCAAACACCGCAGTGACACAGAGCAGTCCTTTGATATTAGACGTGTACCAGCACGTCCAAGGGAGCGATGCTGTAGCACTCCGGCTGTTCCCTGCCATGCTGCCACCCGTTGCCGTGTTCCTGAATTTCACTTTGCAATTTCCTGTTCCGTCATGGGTCCACGATTCCATATGGTCGCGTCAAGTCCTTCTTTTCTTCCCTTCTGAGACTACGCCTCTCACCTCACTTTCCTTCTTTCTACCTTCTCTTCTTACGGCACTCCAAGCTGACACTCGTTTCACCAGCATTAGAGAACATTTTCTTGACTCTACAACCTTTTGGTATCAACAGCCAACATGTTCTTCAAGAAGTCCACCGCTGCGGCCGCGGCTGCTTTTGCTGGAGTTGTCGTCGCCCTCATTGACGGAGGTGCCTGCGCTGAGAAGCAAGTCAACGCTCTCCGTGAGCGCGATGATGGAATCTGGACCACCGTGTCTCTCACCACTACCGTCTACGGTACCACTACCCAGACCGTCCAGTTGACTGCCGCCGAGGTGACGAGCACCTCCTGCGAGACCATCACCTATGAGACTACTCTCAGCCCTGTCGAGACCGAGACTGGTTCCCCCGTTGAAGGCACGTACTCATCCGTTGCCAGTCCTGAGAGTACCACCACCGAGACGTCTACTAGCGTGGCTTACGCCACCGAGACCTCCACCGTCGACACGTCCAGCAGTGAGACCTCCACCAGCGAAGCTTCCACAACCACCGACGTCACTATTGTCGTCCCGGCTTCGACTGTTATTGCCAACACTACCACTGACTTGATCACCTCTCACGTTACCGTCACCGTCAAGAGCGGTACCCTCACTTCCACCATCTGGGCTACTGCTTCCGAGACCATCAGCGTCACCATCCCCAGCAGTGGCTTCCCCCTGCCGAGCTACAACTCCACGGCTACAACTGTGGCCAGAACCACGTACACCAACACGACCACCGTTGGACCTGCCACCAGCTTCTTGTCATCTTACACCTATCTTTCCTCCAGCACTCCTGCCTCGATCGGGGTTACCACTACCGGCTACGGCAGCCCTTATGCGTCTGCCACCGTCACTGCTGGAGCTGCCGGCATGAAGGCCAGCAGTCTACTCGGTCTCTTCGGTTTCCTGATGGCTCTGTTGGCATAGAGTTGCGTCTTTCCTGCCTCTTGGACATTCCTTTAGGGAAGCCATGGATAGTATGACAAGGGTAAGATCTCTTCTTTACGGTCCTAGAAGCATGAGCTGACCGGTGTCCTAGATTATGACATATTCCATATCTTATGATCAATCTTGGCTCACTCCGCGGGTGTTGGTATTGCCGTATGGGGTTTGGTGATCTGGTTGGCATGACTGCTATGATTCCATTTGGAAGCCATGTTAGTGACATGGTCGGATAGTTTTTCTCTTCTTTCACTCCTGCTTCAATTTTCCAAAAGATTTTCATGACTGTTATGATGTGGATGCATCAGAGTATAATCGGTAATGACTTATGGTTTCTCTGCAAGATGGTACGCATGAGATGCCGTAGACAAATGATCTCGGAGGTCCTTGGGCAGGCTGATGATGAGTGGATAAAAGGGTACTGCATGTACAATAAGCCCTGATATGTCGAGTAAAAGCAGTAACTCGACGATATGATTTCCATTCTGTCCAATGTCTCATGAGACTTTCCACCTACGAATGGTGGTAAGAATAAACCGAACACGTTACGGTCAGTACATTACACCTTGGGTATACTGTTATCACGCATCCAAGCGTCTTTGATATACCTTTGAAACTAACTTCCGGGCAGTTCCTGAATGGGAGAATCCCTAGGTGACTCTGGCCGATGTGCTTCCAAATTATTGTGATCCCTATCACAGTTTTGTAATGGCCTTTCCTAGCCAAAGCGAGCCGTATTGGACTGTCCGTGTTCGGTTTATTTTTAGGACCACTTCGCACCTGTCAGCCGATATCACCTTCAAGTCTTCAAAGTTCTTGAACGGGGACGTATTGAAATGCTTCATATTTTCTTTATCATAATATACGGGTATCTCAACTTCAGTCATTACATTATCCTTGAGTCTCCTCCCACTTCATTACCCATGTCCCTTTTGTTTTTCATCAATAATCCCATTATCATTACCTCTTCCTCATCCACCTCTTCCTCTTTTCTCTTCACCCTTTTATGACACCTCCGTTCCCTCTTTCCAAATCCTCAACACTACCCCTCAGGCCTCCCGTCTTTAAACATACGTCCTCGACCCCATACCTCCACCCCCCTTCCCCTTCCTCCACCTGATCCACCCCACCACCACCAACACCACCAAAACCGCAAAAGCCAAGAACTGGAAGATCTCGTCCGCCAGTCCCTTCTTGCAGCTCGACTGCAGCCTGCTCCAAGCCGTCTTCTCGTTCGGGTCCCCGTACAAAATGCCGTAGTACCAGTCGCCCTTGTACTTGCGCTTGCCCTGGTTCAAGAGGTTGTTGTCGAGGATCTTCATAACCTTGGTGGGGTCGGTGCAGGAGACACCGCGGGTGCCGATTGCCCAGGCCTGTGTGTGTTTTGGTGTTTTGTGTCAGTGGATGTTGTGATGTCGTACAGAGAGACAGGTTGGAGGATGGATGAAAGGGGGTTGGAGGAGGATGAAAGGGGAAGTGTGAGGGACGGGAGGCACTGAAGGAGGATGAAAGGGGAAATGGAGGGACTGGAAGCACTGAAGGCAGGAGGAAAGGGGAAATGTGAGGGACAAGAGGCACTGAAGGAGGACAAAATACAAATGAAAGAAAAAGACGTACAATACCACCAGCTAACAACACCAAAGCACCGATGGCATCGGCGCCTAGTACCACGATGTCTGGGATGAAACTGAGAAACAGGGCGGCGATGCCTAGAAAGCCTTCGAGAATGCCGTAGGCGCCCGTGAAAACGGAGTATTGCGTTGTGGTGGCTGCGGAACCGACTTTTTGGGCTGTGATGAAGGAGGCGGAGAGACCGATGATTACGGCGCCGAAGACGATCTGATGAGGAGAGGAAGGGGGTGTTAGTAGAGGTAGGTAAGGTAGCTGGGAAGTGATCTTGGGGATGAAGGTGAAGACAGGGGGGGTTGAATGGAAGATGAGATGGGTTGGCACAGGGAAAGGAGATGTGGTGTCCGAAATCACGGAGATGGAAGGAATTGTAAACAAATGGGGTGGGTTGTAATTGTGATATTGGGAAAATAGGTAGGAGAGTTAGAGGTAGGTAGGGGTAACGGGTTATAGGAAGTACGTGAAGGGTGTGAGTGATACAACATGAAGTGATTTTATGATATGAGTGTCGGTGGTAGGAGGAAGTAAACATACCTGAAGGCCACGAAGGCCGAGACACAAACCGGCGAGCATCTTGTCTTGTTTTTTCTGTTTCACTTCAACAACTAAATTCTTGATGATGGGAAAGTTCAAAACCAAAAGGAAATCTTTCCGGCACTTGAAAAGCGAGCGAGACCACCAACTTTTGTATCTAAACTCCTCTCACCTCATGACATGGCGAGGTGGTATCAAACGGCCGAGGCTACCTCACACCACCCCCATGGCATCGGATATCATGGTAACAAACTAAACTAAAATCGAGACTAGGTAGTCTAGGCAGTAGACTACTCGCCCACCCATGGTTCGCCCATAATGTGGTCTAAGTCTGCCAGTGATGGCCAGTGATATGCATGTTGGTGACCATTGTCACCCTCCTCTCCCGAAATTCGCGAATCGCGGATCGGATGTTGCCTAAACGATCCTTATGGTCTTTTTGTCTGTACTCCTAGTTCCTGAAACCTTTTTTTTTTTTTTTTTTTTTTTTTTTTTTTTTTTTTGTCTTTGCGAACTTAAAAGTGGAAAGATATCGTCGTGTGTACATTGTGACTCCAAAGATAATGACATCCTCTTGTCCCTACCCCCAGTCCAGTCCTCACACAGCCGAGTCAATATTGCTATACCTCTTTACCGGGTTTTGACTGCCGTCAATAGTCTGTCTGTATTCACATCTTCCGTTGTTCGTTCGGTAACAACTCAGAAGGCTGAGCTCCGTGGCTCCGTTCATACAGTAGTAGTGATCTTCACTTCCCCGCCCGCCCTATATCCACACAGTTACATAGCCTTTTGTGACTATTCAATCAGAGTTTGCGAACAAAATAAATGCGAGCTCGCATTTGGCAGGAGAGGCAGGGCAGAAAGTCAGCCAGAACCAAAGACACAGCCAGAACAAAACCCCACAAGAACCGTACATTAAGTCTAACAGACAAGCACTGACAGGCATCACAGTACAGTAGTGTAAAGACAGGCTGAGAGAAATGCCGTCATATCGTAACATATCCCCTCCCAGCTCCTAGCTCCCAGCCACATCCCGAATCCAAAAATAAAGCCCTGGAACAACAAAGGACTTTTGCTGGCAAATCGCAAATGGTGGTACTCATTTGGGAAATAACAAACAGAACTTGAACCTCAAGGGGCAAAGCCTAACTGGTCCCAAGGTTCAATGCAACCCCAATCTCACGAACCGCCTGAGTGTCACTGGTAGCTCGCTGTTGCCTAGAGTTAGTGTTGTTAGTGCAAAGTATGAAGTGTAGCGAGGTAGTACTAGCGAGGGCTGTTGTTGACTTGTTCATGTTACCCCTGAGCTTGACAGCTTGTGTGTGATTGGTTAGATTGGCTGGTTTGGGGAAGATAAAGTCCAGGTGCCAAGGATCCAGATATCATTCGGGGCCGTCTCCCCGAAACTATGACTCTTCCGTGTAGGTGCAAACTTTACGGAAAGGTTCTGAGCTTGATATGTATTCAATGGCTTCAAAACGAAGACTTTCGCATGTACATCAGATTCCACGTGTAAGTGAGCCCGCAAATGATCCCCGCCAGAGGTCTCGAGGAGTTGCTCTTAGACGGATGTTGCATTTTCAGACCGTCTTGTGTCTGTGAACAGCTTATTCCCTACCCATGTGGACGCTATAGCAAGCGGTTACAAGAGAGATTCTTGCTCCAAGAGGGTATTGCTCAGAGAGACTGACTGTACCGAGCTAGCCAAACTGCCAGGCTTGTACTCCGAGGTGCTGCGAAGCTGTCAGAACCTTAACCCGGGTTCCAAGCGGTCTCCCGTCTTCCCTTGCCCATCGTACACATCTCCAGGGGACCTTGTCGAGTGAGGTCCTTCCCCATCCTGGTGTCGTACGGGGTCACTGAGCAGGAAATGCCAGGCGTACCGTATAAAGTCCAGCAGTCTTTGCCCCTCCTTCTCTTTCCGGGGTTCGTCTTTCGGGTGATTCCGCCTGGGGGTCCTCGTCGGGTACCATCTCGGGGCTATCGGTGTGTCGATGTGTTGGTACCGTTACTTTGTCTCTTCATACGGCCAGTTCTTCCGAGTTCAAGGTTATTTTCTCCGTTAAGACAGAAACAGGGTCGCATAATGTATCATCATTGTTTTCGTTCTTGAACCGCACCAATCGCTGTGATATGCATATTTCGGGTGTGTATAGTAACAGCGAGGTTGAGACGTAGTCCCACCCTCAAACATTGTCGTCTAACCTCGAGGTACCTATAACGACAATGCTGGAATAGCATGTTCCAGCGGTTCTCTGCGCACTTCCCAAGCAAGCCAGTCGGATCTCGTTGTCCTGTATCACCACGTTAGCATTCATTCCACAGTCCTTCCCTTCACATTCTCCCCAGGATAACTCACGGTAGTAGTCCCATACTATTGATCTTCCAAACTCCCACCGCCAACGCCAACACCTGCATAAGCACATACGCCGCCTTCACCTGCAAGATAGACCCCCTGTTGCTATCCGTCTCGAATCTCTCGAAAGCCTGGTTGGTGCTCAACAGACCCATGATGGGGTTCTTGAACGCCATAAACACCATCATGATACTGAAGATCTGGAGCGAGTTGCCGGACATGTACATCATGATGAGCGTCATGGGCAGGTTCTTGGCGGGCGCGAGGGCGACTTCCCAGGCCTTTTTGAGCTTGAGCTGATCCATCTGTTCGGGGGAAGGGGGTTCGCGCGGGGGAGGGCGGGAGGCATCCTTCTTCTGTTGGTGCAATTGTGTTAGCTCTGTACAAGGTGATGGTTGTACTCGGGGGTTATCGTACCTTGGAAGGGCCGGACACGGCTTGCGACGAGTACCCTGGGGGATCGGGGATGCTGGCCGGCTTGGACTTGTGAGGCGGTGGGTTGGTAAGGTCGGTTACCCATCTCGGGGAGGGGTCGGCAACGGGTTTTAGGTCTGTCATGGCGGGCGTTATGGATGCGCTTAAAGATGTCGGTAGAGTTGGTGATGGAGGTAGAAGCCGGATCAGATGCAATGCGATGACGCCGGGAGGAGACACAACGTGTACGTGATGGAGTCCGTGCTTCTGTAGCTGTCCCTGAAAGAGCGCCCCACTATTTGAGCCGCTTCCCCACCCTGGACGCTGAGTGGTGGGGACCGTGCGCTGTTGATGATGCTACGGAGCTCCACTGAAGCGTGCCAGCCGTTCACTGGCAGAAGGCGTGGTCCAGTGGGCGTTCAGTGCAAGTCGCAGGGTTCGCGATCGCTGACCAGGAGGTGCCGTAATTAACGAATCGACGGTTCAGGGGACGCCCCAGGACGGGAACCGGTGAACAGAAGCGAACATTATTTCCATCGAACACCCCCGGCGAGTCCGCAATTTGAACTAAACATCATCTTTTTATTTGGCTTGGAGTTTTGCGACTAGGAGGCTGTTTCATCCGATTCAACTACGTACAGCAAGTGGAGGGTAGTTTGCCCCGGACAAGACCTACACCGAGCATACCGACGACGACGAGCATCGCGATCCATTATCGACGACTACCTCGACTCGACTTTGACACTCCGGACCTCCGCGGCGGACATCGGATTACTTGACGCGACTTCGAGGCTGAAACGAAGAGGAGGACAAGAGAGAGGGTGTCATCTGCTGTACATCGGTTGGCTGGTCTCGACTCGCGATATCGCAAACATACCTACCATTGTGTTCCAGCAAGAGGGGCTTTTCTTGTCTACCACACCACCACGCCTTGCGCCTGCGCCGAGCTCGTTTGCCATTCGTCCATTTTATCCATATCGAGCCTTTTCGTCGCATCGCAATCGCATCACCGGGTTCGACTCGACCAAAATAGGGATAGTAGTTGAGGAGGTGGACGATACACACTGCAAGCAGCCAACATGTCGACCCAACAAGGAGGAGGAGACTCCAAGCTGTTCGCGAGGGTAAGATGAAAATACTATGTTTGTTAGACGGGGCTTCCCTTTTACCTTCGGGATATGCCGTTGCTTTGTCTACCACCCCTCCCATCCAAACCAGCTCAGCTCCTGTATCTCCTCCCTTGCTTGTTTGTTTCTCTTTGACATCGCGAACCTTGATGGCAAGAAGCACATGAGCTACCCCTGACCTCATGAACACCGCAACCATGTTTGTCGCATACCCTATCCCCACCGAACATCAGCTTACCTCAAACTCGACAGGGCAAAGTAGCTGAGCTACGCCTCGAGCTGAACAGCGGCAGCAAGAAGGACAAGAACTTTACCCAAAAGAAGATTGCCCTCAAGAAGATTGTCGCCAACATGACCATGAGCAACAATGACATGGTTGGCTTGTTCCCGGATATTGTTGCCTGCATGGCCATTCAGTCCCTGGAAATCAAGAAGATGTGTTTCTTGTACTTGGTCAACTATGCGAGGATGAGGCCAGACATTGCGGTAAAAGCAATTCCGGTCCTCGAACATGTAAGTCACCACATCTGCCCTTGTTCTGCCATATAGTCACTAACAATAACCAGGACATGGAAGACCCAAACCCCCTTGTTCGCGCCCTCGCCCTACGCACCATGTCTTATATCCACGTGCGAGAGTTTGTCGAGGCTACCGTACCACTAGTCAAGCACCTTCTCCGCGATATCGACCCCTACGTTCGCAAGACGGCCGCTTTCTGCGTGGCCAAGCTCTACGATCATGATAGACACATGGTTGAGGCCTCAGACCTTATCGACAGACTCAACAACCTTCTGAGGGATGACAATCCGACAGTGGTGGCCAGCGCTCTGGCGAGCTTGATGGATATCTGGGAGAGAAGTGATGCTATCAAACTCACTATCGACTACAGCAATGCCTCCAAGATGGTTGCCATTCTGGCCGACTGCTCTGAGTAGGTTATCCCCCTTCCAACCCAAATATTGTCTGCTAACAACCACTAGGTGGGGCCAAACCTACATCCTCGAAGCCCTCATGTCCTACGTCCCCCAAGAATCCGGCGAAGCCCTTCTCCTCGCCGAGCGCATTGCCCCACGCCTCTCACACTCCAACTCCTCGGTAGTCCTCACCTGTATCCGCGTAATCCTCTACCTCATGAACTACATCTCCGACCAAAAGCAAATCTCCGCCCTCTGCCGGAAGCTCTCCCCACCACTGGTCACCCTCCTCGCCAAGGGCCCCGAAGTTCAATACCTTGCCCTGCGCAACGCCCTCCTCATCCTCCAACGCCGCCCCGAAGTCCTCCGCAACGACATCCGCGTCTTCTTTTGCAAGTACAACGATCCCATCTACGTCAAGGTGACCAAACTCGAGCTCATCTTCATGCTCGCCAACGAGAAGAACATCGACGAAGTCTTGACGGAACTCCGCGAGTACGCCACGGAAATCGACGTTCACTTCGTCCGCAAGGCTGTCCGCGCCATCGGCAAGCTGGCCATTAAGATTGAGCCAGCGGCCAAGCGGTGCATCAACCTGCTGCTCGAACTGGTGTCGACTAAGGTCACCTACATCGTGCAAGAAGCGACGGTAGTAATCCGCAACATCTTCCGCAAGTATCCTAACCAGTACGAGTCTATCATCGGCACCCTCTGCGAGCACCTGGACTCCCTCGACGAACCAGAAGCCAAAGCAGCCATGGTATGGGTCATCGGCCAATACGCCTCGCGCATCGAGAACTCGGACGCCCTCCTCGAAGACTTTTTGTATTCCTTCGCTGAAGAGCCCGTCGAAGTCCAGCTCGCCCTGCTCACAGCAACCGTCAAGCTCTTCATCCAACGTCCCACCAAGGGCCAGGACCTCGTCCCCCGCGTGCTCAAATGGGCCACCGAAGAAACCGACAATCCTGACCTCCGCGATAGAGCGTACATGTACTGGCGCCTCCTCTCGACAGACATGGAATCAGCCAAGCGCATCGTCATGGGCGAGAAACCCGCCATCACCGCCGAATCCGAGCGTCTCGACCCCGTCACCCTCGAAGAGATGTGTCTCAACGTCGGCACCCTAGCAACAGTCTACCTCAAACCGGTGCAAACCGTCTTCCGCAACGCCCGCCCCCGCAAACTCCAAGACTCACCTTGCCTCCAACGCCCCGACTACCCCGAATACGCAGCAGCCCAACTCCCCAACCCCAAATCCCTCTCCCAATTCGGACAAGGTCACCAACCCTCCGATTTCGACCCGCGCGTCCCTGGGTCCCGACCTGCCCCTCCTTCTTCTAACACTCAGAGTCAAGGAGGAGGGAACCTAGCCCAAGCAGTCCACGACGCAGACGCTTACTTCACGCAGCAAGCTAGCCAGCAAGCAGCGGTCAACGACGCGGATGCGTATTTTGCGCAGCAGATGAGGCAGATGCAGATACAGCAGCCTGGCGACAGTTTCGGGGGGGATGCGGGACACGGGTATGGGCAGGGGTATGTGGTTAGTCAGAGCTCGGCGTATCAGCCGGGGATGGGGGGGATGAATGGGGCTCAGGGGGATTTGTTGCTGTGAGTACCTAGACTTAGTGTGAGGTGGAGGAGAGATGAGATAGGCGGGAGTTGAAAGGGGTGGAAGAGTGAGAAGAGGGGGGAAGAGGGGGAAGAGGTGTACTGTATGAGGTAGTAATGTAATAGGTAGGGAGTTGTAAAGGGTGTTAAGTGTGTCAAGGGAGAGTTGTTGGGTGGTAGAATGGTAGGGTGGTTGGTGGTGGGAAAAGATATCCATATTTAGGTTTAGGTTGTAGATAATGTGAATAACAGTAATATCCCGTCACAGCTACGCATGCATGGTGGTATGTTCTGGCGTATATTTTAATAAGCGGCTTGTGAAACATTCGTGTCACTATACTCGAAAGACAAAGACGCGAGCGTAGGACCTCGTATGTTCCAACCTTTTATTGCACTCAAAATTAAGTGAGAGAACCGTAATAACGCCGATCTAAACATGGTGTACGTACTAAAAAAAACCGAAAGGGAATATTTTGCAAAGGAAAAACAGTACAATTACCAAACAAATCCGAATATGTGTCCGTAAAATGCCAGCCCCCAAACCGTTGCAGCCGAGCGCTTAATTCAGAGTAAAATCCTTGAAAGTCCACTTCTCCGTAACCTTTGTCTTGGCCTGCTTCTTGAACGGAATGTGCCTCCTCGCCTCCACCTTGCCTCTGAGCAACATATTCCTGTACCTGTCTTTCAACAGGTTACCCTCCGGCTTGAGCAACCGCAGCGAATCCTGCAGCTCATCCGGCAGGACCAGCTCCAGATCCTTCTCAGGCAGCTTGAACTTGCCTAGTTGCCTGCGGCGCAGCTCGACGTCGTCATCCTCCTCAACACTGGCGTCGTCGTCTTCGTTGGGGTTGGATTCGGCTTTTTGGAGGGCAAGCTGCCTCTCCTTCTCGGCCAGTTCCTTGGCAATCTGCTTAACTCTGGCGGCCTCGGCCTCCCTCTTCTTGATGGCCGCCTCGTGCTTCAGACGCTGCTCCTCGGCCTTGCGGCGCTTGATCTTGTTGCGCTGGGCTTGCGTCTTGCGCTCCGGTCGCTTCTGCTTCTTCTTGGACAACCCCTCCGCATCGCTCTCGGCTCCCTCCCAGGCGGAATCATCCTCCCACTCGGACAGCTCGGCTCTCTTCTCGGCGGCCTCGGCCTCGGCGCGCGACTTGGCGGCCGCTTCGGCCTTGAGACGCTCCTTCTCGAGTTCCTCCAGACGCTTCTTCTCGGCTTCCTCGGCCTTGCGCAGCTCCTCCTGGTAGCGCTCAGAGTAGTCGGTGAAGGCGGGGTTGTACGACTTGTCGCCCTTGGGCTTGGGAACGGCAGGGAGCTGCTTGCCGGTGGCGGCGAGGGAGATGGGTTGTTGTGTGAGAGTCTTGGGGGCCTTGGGCTTCTCGGCCTTGGGCAGGAAGTTGAACGTTTCCTCGGCCTGCTTCTTCTTCTTCTCTTCCTCCGGGTCGGCCCAGGCGTCAAAGGTGGCGTCGACGACCTCGACGGTGGTGGTGTGGTGGCCATCGGCGACGCGCTTCAGGCGGGAGAGTTCCTTCTGGGTGACGTAGGTGGCACGGAGGCGCTTGGAGGGCAGGACGCCATCGGTGACCTTGCCGGATGTTTCAGAAGCCGGGCGCTTCTTGAGGGAGACGGCGGGGACGGCAGAGCGCTGGGCGAGGATCTCGTCGGCCTTCAAGGGCTTCTTGAGGTGCTTGGGGAGCTTCTTCGTGATTTCAGTGTCGGGCTTGACGTCGATGGCGAAGAGTTCTTCGGAGGCTTTCTCGGCAATGACACCACTGTAATGCGATTCATGTTAACCAATTGGTTTGCTGGGTAAGACAATATGAGGGGACCGTACCCCTTGATGATCTGGGCGTTCAACTCCTCGAGACCCTGCTCGACCTCCGTAACGTCGACATTCTTCCTCCACGCCTTCTTGCCCTTTCTCGACGGTTGGTTGTATTGCTTGGGGGCTTCGGGATTGCCCGACAGGGGTTTTAGAACGGGCATTTTGGGTATGTGGTGGTGTGTTGTTGTTGTTGTTGTTGTTGTTGTTGGGCAATGAGTCGAGAGAGGTTCGTGCAGATAAGAAATGGAAGTGTCGATACCTCGAAACCGCCTGAAATTCTGGGGTCTCCTCTGCAATCAATCCGACTTTCCAGTGGGGTGTGCAACTCAAAATTTCAGCGGCGACAGGAGGCTGCGATAAGATAACCTGGAAGCGCTTCCCCAGCCGTGCTCAGCTGGCAATTGCAACAATCAACCAATCACACTTTGGAGTCAGGACAAGCCCATGACGGCCGCCAAGCCTTTGGATCGTCTCTGTCTTTTTGGCCGAGTGAAGTGTCGAACTGTCGGGTCTGGGCGCAGACTGCGGCGCACCTCCCCCCCACTGATGGCTTGGCGCGGTCCCCTTTCTCTCGCATGAGTCCGCTTCGGGGAAGAAGAGGAAAGCCGCAAAGAGAAAAGAGTTGTTCAGACTTGATCATGAAAAAAGACACGTAGTATGGAATGTCGGTCAATGAACAAATCTGCATCAATATTAAATTTCATAATATTTTCAACTGTTTGTAGTTTAAAGTCTCTTTCAGATCTTTCGATCCGATATCTGTTTACACGTGTAGTAAAGAAGACTGAAGACCCCAGCAACAATCGACTCGGCAACGGGACCCCGACTGGATCCAAACACCGACCCGATTCCAAGCACCCGACTTGTCTCCAGCTTGCACCCCCGGCCACGCCCCGTCCGTCGCACCACCACTGAGGACCACTCAACGCTGCACCAGTCTCCGGCAACTCTCCGCCGTCCACTTCCACTTCGATCCATATCCCTCGACCAGACAACTCTAGACCAACTCCGACCGCCTAAACTTTCTGCCACTTAACAACCACTTCCTCCAAAGCCCGAAAGCTTTCCCTTGACCGCGTTTCCTTGGATTCCGAATACCTTCAGCTACCCCGCCAAATACCGTAATCCGCAAACACATCCATCACAATGGCGCAAGCAGGCGGGTCATACAACAACCCCTTGAAGAAGTTCAAGTAAGACAGCATACCCGACACTTTGCTTCCATGGCCGGACATTGCACTCGAGAAAACAAAAGACAAAAGACAACACAAGATGCTAACTACTCTTCCTCTTCACCAGGTTGGTCTTCTTGGGCGAACAAAGCGGTATGCGACCACCTACCTACAACACTTGCTTCCAACACCGATCCTCACTAACCATTGCGCGCAACAGTCGGCAAGACGTCGCTCATCACACGCTTCATGTACGACTCGTTCGATAACATGTACCAAGCCACCATTGGTATCGATTTCCTTTCCAAGGCATGTCAACACCTCTGACCGCTTTCAAGGCAACACGCGCCGCCGCAGCGAGTACCTGAAGGACACAATGGGGGAACATGTTGGCTAACTGTACGGGAAACAGACCATGTACCTCGAAGATCGAACAGTCCGCCTACAGCTCTGGGATACAGCCGGCCAGGAGCGCTTCCGCTCTCTGATCCCTTCGTACATCCGCGACTCGTCGGTGGCTGTGGTAGTTTACGACATTTCGAGTATGTTTCCTTTTCTTCCCACCTTTCTTACACATTCATTGTCTTCAAATTCCCAACTAGCTTCCCACTTCCCTCACCGCCTTCCACCCCGCCATACATATCTCCCAACAGCTTCCCCAGTCTCTCCCTCCCCCACCCAATGGCACCTCACTGACTGACTGACCACTTTCTTGCAATTGTAAAAACAGACGCCAAATCCTTCCAAAACACACGAAAATGGATCGACGACGTGCGCGCCGAGCGGGGCAACGACGTGATCATCGTGCTGGTCGGCAACAAGACGGATCTGAACGACAAGCGCGAAGTGACTACGGCGCAGGGCGAGGAAGAAGCCCGGCGCAACAACCTCATGTTCGTCGAGACGTCGGCAAAGCTGGGCCACAACGTCAAGACGCTGTTCAAGAGGATAGCCCAAGCTTTGCCCGGGATGGAGGGCACCGGTGGGGAAGGCGGTGCCGGTTCCGGAGGACAAGGAGGCGGGGCGGCGACGAGGATTGATGTTAGCAGTAAGGAGACGGTGGCGCAGGAGGGGTGCGCTTGTTAGATGGTCTTGGTCTGGTCTGGTCTGGTCTGATCGGGACAGGGACAGGTGCGGCAGGCTCGGGGGAAGACTGACTACCTCTTCCTAGGGAAAGGGGGTGCTGGGTGGGGAACGAGCGGCTGAGTGAAGTTGAGGGGAAGTGAACGAGGGGAGACAGACAGCAATGGGGATGAATGACCATGTTGACGATGTTAACGAGGTTAACGATGTAATGGGGAATATTATGATGAGAGATGGAACATGATGATGAGGGGAAATAGAGGTGGGCTAGACAACCTGACAACGCAACGGGGAGAAATAATGAGAATTGGCTGTGTTTGTGCTTACGGTTTGGCTGGCTGGCTAAGCAAGGCGATCGGAGCATAGCATGCAAAGGGGGGGTTGGTTTTGTTGGGGCTTAACGCTTATAATAATATGATAAAAGACATAATACTTGCATCTACTTGAGTTGGACGAATGATATGCGTATCTTTGATGATATCTGGACAGCTTCAGTCTTAAGACGCCACTGCTTTCCAAGTAAGACCATCTGGAGGACGTGTGTCGAAGCTATATCGTTGAGGTAGCGTTGGATTGACCAAGACCGAGACATGATCATTAGATATGGCATTTGATGTCTTAAGGGTTGAACAAAAAGGGCGAATTGACAGCAGGCCGAGATATCACAAACATGAAAGTCAACATGTACTGGCAGAAGATAAATAACTTCATTGTTTGTCTATCATATTAACGCCAAATTCGCCAATTCCAATAATACCGGATATGCTTTGCTACTAAAGGTAGATGTCCTGCAGAAGACCAAATCCCCAAATGCCGTGTGAAATGATTCCCTCCTTAAACCAGTGGCGACCAACCATAGAACCAGGGGGGGGTATATGAACCGTAGCAGCCATGCCAGGGTAATGTCCAAGGTCAACGCTCTTCTAAACTGGAGTGTTGTAGCCGTTGGTCGGTTTGATCCTGTCTTCTCTCTGTTTTCCTTCCGTCACCGACCCTCGTCTTGTTTCCGACTCTGACTCTTGTTCGCGTCAACTTATCGGGACAGTAAGCGAGGAGGACCACCTCCAAAGAAAGAGGAAGCCCTCCCCACACACACGTATCGACAGACTCGCTGTGATTGGGCTCGTATAATACAACTAATAATCCCAAGAAACGAGGAGGCGGCTGTTGGTGGTGGTGATCGTCGTGGCGTTGATGGCTGTGGTGGTAGTGGTGTTACTAATATCGTGCGCTCAGTCGGTATCCATCTCGTCATCGTCGTCAACGTCCTCGAAATCGTTCTCGTCACCGTCATCCTCATCGACACCACCAAAAACGCGCTCCGAGATCTCTTCCACGCCGCCGTCTGTCCTGACACGGAGCCTCTTGACCTCGCCGCCGAACGCCTTGGTCTTCTTGGTGGCCGCCTTCTTGGCCAGCTCCTCGCGCTCGAGCTCCTCGACGTCCTGGCCCGTCTCCTGGGCGAGCTCGGCCAGCCTCCTCTTCTCGGAACCGCGCAGGCGGGGCAGGAGGTGCTCGTTCTCGGCGACGAGCTTGCGGGCGGCGGCGACCTCGCGGGCGCGCTTGCCGGCCATGCGGCGCTTGTAGAAGATGCGCTCGCGGCGCTGGCGGATCTCCGAGATGCGCTCCATGGCCTTGACCGTCTTGGCGAAGAGCTCGCGGTCGTAGCGGACGGGCACGTTGCGGCGGGCGGCGAACTGCAGGGTGCTGTCGACCACCATCTCCTTGCCGGCGTTCTTGCGGTAGGCCTTGGTCCACTTGAGCTTGCGGGGGTTGCGCTTCATCTTGAAGTTCTTGTGGCATTTGGAGCGGCAGAAGCGGAAGGACTTGCCTGAGGGAGGAGTATCATGTTAGCATTGGGACATTGATGGTGGTTGACGATAGTACTGGGGATTGGGACAAGACGAACCATCGTTACGCATAAAGGTAATGCCCTTGGAGGGCCAGGCCGGACGGCCGCAAAAGAAACAGGGATCGACACGCATCTTGACGGGTTATGTGGGTGGTTGTGGTGGTGGTGGTTGAGGAGAAGCAGCGAGCCGGGTGTGGATGGGCTCGTTGTCTTTTACTGAAACAACAAAGTCAACAACAGCCGAACGGTCCAGGGCGCCGCTTCTGAAAATTTCTGGATGTCGGTGTTGGAAAAAGAAGTGGGGCGGAGGGGACGCTTGGCTTATCTTAGCGCTATCCTGTTATCGGCCGATGAGGTTCGGGTTAGGGTTGGACGTGTGTTTAGCCAACTGCCCGCCGGCAACTTGCTTCTTTTCCTTGGTCAGAAGAAAATGAAAACCGAAAGCCATTGAAAGGGTGCCGGTATAAAACAGTTCGTGTTGTGCCAACGACGGTTCCTGTTGATCGGTTTCTTGATGCAAGCTGGCTGGCAATTGTGGTGGCTTGTTTTGGATGCGCTCCCGACAAACGAAGTCCATCATGCTTAAGTCAACGGGCATACAGAATCTTGCCAAGTATCAGTCCAATTTTTTATCAATCTGCCACAATGCCCGCTGACCTTGACCTTGCCTGGTCCATCCCCTGCTGCCGATAATCAGAGTCGACACCCCTCAAAATGTTCACTATTAATTTGCCATCAGCCTCGTGACTCTGAACTTTCATTTTTGACAATAGCTGAAGAACTGATGAGAGTGGCAAACTTCTTCTCGAGGGCCATGGCGCATCTGGATGTTGAATTGTCTGTCATGTTGCACAATGACCAAGAACTTCTGTAATGGAAACTCGGCTGTAGGCGAAGGCTGCTGTGAGCCAGTGTCTGTTGATGAACCTTGAACAACGGGCGTTAAACTGTAACCAACAACTCCACCAAAAAGAGAGATTTTCTTTGACATGTTGATCTGAATTCCCGTCTTCTCAGATTGATCCTTCCTCAATCACATTGCTCCTTCCTTCTCACTCACAGTCGAGGGTCAGCGTGCTGACCGAGAGCCCCATCGGATCCACAGCGCTAACTCAAAAACGCGGGGGTGGAATCCGGGGAAGCGTCAAAAGTGGCGTCGAATTCCCCTGAGGCTCCACCAGACTAGCTGCTGCCCTGCGACGGTAAGGGTCCCCGAAATCGTTCTTTCCTGTTTCAACAGTAGAGAATTGAAGATATCGATATCGCTTTCCTCAATTACCTTGAATCTGGTAATCTTCGTATTTCGCCATGATTCCCTCCACGGGAAAGACCGTTTATCGTACGACGCTTCATCCCCAAACTCAAACGTAAACTGGTTCCTCCCCCAGCCACAGCACACGTGCACCAGACCACTCCTCGCTCCGTGGTGCCATTCGATATCGCAAAATCAGACGACGGAGCTCACAGACGGACTGCTGTGATACATAAGTGACGTCCAGCCACACGAGATGATTGGTGTTTGGATATTGACTGCCACTGTACCCCGCTCAATTCTGGGTTACACCATGCCTCAGCCAGACGGTTCCATGTCTCGATATACCGTTAGGCATGGACGGAACCGCTCACAACTGAGGAAGGAGTGGAGGAGATGCAGGCGAGAAAGGCGGAGGTGGACGGTGGCTTCCTGTCTGTCTGGACCGTCCACTTCCTGCAAGGCAAACCGGGGAGGAAAAGTGACACGACAGGAGGTCAAGGCTTGGGCATATCCCCCAAAAGATGGCATCAAGTTAAGGACACTGCGTGGAGAAGGAGAGAAAACCACCGCCGGGGTCTTGAAGGTCTAACAAGCAGTAACAATACCTGCTGCTTTCTGTCGTGGTTCCCATTTCTGCCACATAAAGGGGACTCCCGTCCTTCCCACTCGATATATCTCTGCCTCTTCTCCTCTTCTTGTGGCACCCGGAGAGAACACTCATCCTCGTTTCTCAGATTTGTCCAGATACACGAGCAAAAATCAACCTATTAACACTCGAAGCGTGCAGCATCAACTGCTGATCAAGCAAAGAACACTCAACCACAAGTAGAGGTACGTCTGTGATTCATTTCGTTTAGTCACTCCTTGAATATCATCCCTCGATGACAAGACTTCACGTGTGGTCATCAAGAACTTGTCATCTCGTCGAAACCTCAGCCCTCGCCATCACTCGACAATCACTTCATTTCCTCCACCAACTGCATCTTCTCTGTTCATCACCACTCAAACATCACTCCCTCGTCTTCCCTCAACACCAGATCCCAACCTCCCTCGACCATAACCCACTAACTCAACAACAGCATCTCCCTTCAAACAAACCCCCAAACAACCACCAAAATGCCCGTCCGCATCCCCGCCGCCGGTATGACCGAGTACATCTTCTTCGGCGCTGCCGGCGTGGGCACGCTCGCCCCCCTTGCCATGGGCATCCCGGGCGCCGAAGAGCGCGTAGCTCGACAGACTACCAAGTGGGCGCCCAGATGGGAGCGCAACATCAACTTCTTCACGAACCACGTCCCCGTCGAGCGCGGCGTCCAGCGTATCACACCCCCCGTCGAGCGCGCCGTCCATCGCATCGAGCACGAATTGCCCCTTGAACGAGCGGCTATTGCTACGAGCCATGTCGCGGAAAAGAGCATGAAGCCGTTGGACAAGATTAAGCACAATTGGACCATGGATTAACTTTTCCTGATGTAATTGGGGAGTAAGGGCTGGAATTGGAAGGATGGTTGTAACACGGCATAGCTGGAGTTTGGAACAGACGGTCGTTTTGCACGGAAAGGTTATGAATTATGGGTTACGGACTGGGAACGGGATAGGATTGACGGGACGGCGAACGATGTCTTGGTTTTTCTTGCATGGATAATGACAATAAGGACCACTGTTGGTGGCTTGCCTACGATGTCTTTGCTCTAGGCGACGACCACCAATCTCGTGTGGAAGATGGCAGTAGTAGTCCAATGGAGAGCGTCGAGTTACCCCAAACTACATATACATCCTGTCCATTCAAACATCATACCTCGAGTCACTCCCATGATCCTGCGTGCACCTTCGTCCCTCTGATTGAATAGAGGCACTTCTTTGATCATGCCTTATACCTCAGTATCAAGTCTCCATGGATGAATCTCCTCAGTCACCACCGGTAAGAGCCGGAACTTTGTGAGTACAACCCAAGTTACTGCTGGGTGAGCTACCCGGCGGCCAGAAACAACTGTTATGTGGGTAATAGGAAGACTGCACACTATCCAGATATCCGGTGTCCCGATGGCAGATACGACTTACTTGAGAAGTTGCCACCTCACTACATCTCCCGAGAAAAACCACGCTTCATCCCGAGTACACATCAAGCCAACTCATCTCGAGAGGTATCTATCTAGCCTTCAACATCAACCGTCGAGCAAGTAGCAAGTAGCAAGAGACCGAGCATTGCATATGTATCAAATAGTGCCATCACACTGACGACATTGTTCTATTAAAGCACTGTTACCTCTAGATGATGGGCTAGAAATTGCAAGTCATAGCCGTCCGTTGAACAAGAATAAGTACTCGGTGATTGTAGTACATAGGGAAAAGACCATTGGGTAGGTACCTCTAGCTAGGTAGATTTGATTGGATTTTGCTGACACCTCTCTTCCTTGGGCATCCATCTCCATTGATATCTCTGTGAGGTCTTGTGGACGGGGCCAGCGTCTTCATGAATTGAGCCGATGGCCGGTTGGTTGGGTGGAGATGAAAATTACCTATGGAATTGGGACTGGAGAGAAATAGGTTATGGATGGACACCTGCAGGACCAGACATCAACAAAGGTTGTCCGTGAGGGTTCGGTCACCAGAAACAGTGACCTCCAGAGGGGGGTTTTAACTTTTAAGAAGCTTATGCCGGATGGGTATAGGTAGATCTGGCAGGCGGATTCTTGCGGCGGTGTTTGATAAAAAGTGCCTGAAAATACCGAAACAGAAGAGAGAAAGGGCGCTGCTACCTACATGATCTATCTGTCCGAGTGTCTTCACCAGGAGGTTGCGGTCTTGGCTAGGTATCTGGCAACTCCGACGGACGGATCATGGTAATAGATAGCCGTAGTGGTGTTATCAACAAGGGGGCTCTGTCGTCAGTTCACCTCCTCTTGCGCCATCCCGAGAGCCTTTCCAAGTAGTACCAAACACCTTTCCCATGTGTAGGCCGCCAAACGCATTGCCGCCTCTTCCCCGCGCGTTCCGGTGGTCCCCCAGAAAAACCACACCCGGATGTCGTGGACTTTCCCGGAGGCTGCCGGGGCAGACCGATAGGTCCCGATAGGGTGGTGTACCGCCCAGCCGGGAACCAGCCGGTAAGAAGTGGAGAGCTTGGCCAGACCGAGAGCCGCCGACAGCCGGCCGAGAAGTCCGGGGTTTAGGGCGGATTGTACCGATTTTGTACTGCGCTATCAGCGCTAACAATGGAGACCTTTTTGACGATGATGTCTGATGCACTGACGGGATGTCTTCGCCTACCGCGCTTACATGCTTTCTGAGAAAACAGTGCATATCATGACATGGAAGATCAGCCTTGCGAAGAAGGTCGGTTCGAATTCGGAAAGATTGGAGATCTCATGATCCACGGCCCGCTCCCGAAGAGGAACTCGTTGGATCCAGTGGTTGTGGCTGTCATCTTCCCAGGGGTACTCGAGGTTCCTGCATCCATTTCAGGATGACTTGAGTATCTTCTTCGAGTTGTGGTGTTGAGAGCCAGTCTCGATGTTGAACGGTTGAAGACCTGGGAACTAGGCATGCCGCAAGAGGAGGACTGGATTCATGCATGGCGATGGTTTATATCCATTCAACGTCGATACAAGAGAAGTCCCTTGTATCTTGAACATAGAGCATCAACATTGACAAGATATCTGGGGCCAAAAGGGTCCCTCGGGGTCCCAATTCAGGGGTAAACCGACTCCACATTGTCAAAGGGCCAAGACGGTGTTGCCGTCTTTGTCCACTTGGAAGAACCAGACTTTTCAGTCATTGACGATGCTCAGATGCCCAAAATGGTCAGTTTAGTGAACATGAGTATAACAAACACACTTTTTACCAGGGTCCAGGAGTACGCGGAGATTTCTCTTGTGGTGTGTTCCGGTGGCATGTCCAGGTTGGCACTGATCGGAGCCGGGATTCTGCTACCCAAGTTCCGATCCGCCTAACACTTAGGCCGCTGAGGTGTGCAGGATGGTGTTAACCGCCATAGGTGTCACTAACACCAACCTAACAACCCCCGTGAAACACCAACCCCCGTTGATTGGAAAGTGTCGCGTGCCCTGCACCGTCTCGTCACCGAAAACTGTTGCGTCATAGGCCAGCGATCAAATAACCGAGTCGAGTCGAGCCTGGCAAGCCTGGAAAGGCGGTTGGGCCGGACAGGGAGGACACGCGAGAAAGCGCTGCCTTGGAGTTGTAAGCGAGAGGCAGCCCGACGACGAGGAAATCTTCGAGGGATGGCATCAAAGTTGAAGAATGGTCGGGGTGATGGACTCTCAGCCGCGGATTTGATATGAGTGCCAAGTGAAGACGGTAATTGCGAACGACGGCACCTTTAAGTTCAAAGTATCAAACAATCCTTTTGGACCGGGAAAGAAAAGGCTGGTGAGGCATAACAATAGGATGCCAAGAGCGCCTCGCAAATTCGCATGGGTATGCCGATTGATCCGAGTTCCATCCAGTTGGCGCCGCCTCTTTTGTTTCACGCGAAGTGTCGCAACTGGCGTACAATCCGGATTCCGGGCTCCGTCGCGAGCCCGTCAATCCGTCGGTCTGGTGTTCACAAAAAAAGTCTTGGTTTTTGGCATCGTTGGGTCTCGTCATTGGTGATTAATCTCTGGTTGCTTGGCGTCGGACTCGTCCAACTGCCCACTTCCTGCAAACTGCACCTTTGTTGGCTGCACAGAACCAAACAACTGAACTTTGCATTTGATCCGCTCTTTCAGCTGCTGCAACCTCACATCCGCCAGCCGCCGCCGCCGCAAAAAGACCCCTTTTTTGCTGTCGGCATCATCGTCATCATCAATCGCATTTTCAATTGTTCTTTCCTTTTTCTTTTGGCTTTTGTTTTCGCGATATACACGCCCAACTAGAGTCTATACATCCGCTCTCTGTACATAAACAACAATAGTAATCATGTCGCGAGGTCTACTACGACTTCGGTTTCCCCGGCCGAGGGTAAGTCTTTCGCATCTTCGATCCCCAGCCACCGTCACCGTCGTCACGCCATGCTAACAGCACGCGCAACAGACCTTCCTCGGCTTCATGTCCCTCCAAACCGGCACTGAGCTGATCGCCCTCTCGCTCGTCTTCAACCGCATCACGGGCATCTACGGCATCCTGGCCCTCTTCACCGGCTTCCCGCTCTCCTTCCTGCAGATCTCGCTCTACCTGCTCTCCCTCCTCGTCGTCGGCTCGCTGGCGTACCTGATCCCGCACATCCGACAACAATCGCCCTTCCAGAACCTGGCGCTCGCTTTTCTGTACGGCATCGACACCCTCCTCAACTTTGCCTACGTCACCTTCTTCGCTACGACCTGGTATCTGAGCCAGTTCCACGACCCCCAGGGCCCTGCGAGCAAGGGCGACATTCCCGAGAGCGCGAGCCCGTCGAATGGCGAGGGATACGAGCACGATGATGCGCAGAAGAATCAGCTGGAGAAGGCGGTGGGTGTGCAGGAATCCGCGGCTAGCATGTGCCTCGTTGTCGGGTTCACGCTGATCAGGATCTACTTTGCGCTGGTGGTCTGCGCGTATGCCAGGGCGGCGGTGCAGAGATATGTGGACATGAACAGCGGATGGGCTGGTGGTCCCCTGGGTTCTGGGGAGGTTGATGATGATAATGGCAAGGAGGAGGGACACGCGGCGGATCCGTTTGTGGAGGGCGCGCCGCTGGGTGAAGGGTGGCAGGGCAAGATGGGCCGGATGATGGTCGGGTTTGGGAGGGGGTATTGGTTGGGAGGGAGGAAGGAGGACGAGGAGTGGGCGAGGGAGATTGGGGGGCGGTCGAGGGGTGGGAAATACTCTAGGGTATAAGGCTGAGACTTGCGAAGGTTTCATTTTGAGCCTTCTTTGCTAGAGGACGCCGAGTTATCGAGGAGCTCGAGAAGCTCGAGGCTCCATGGTTGGCTTCCCGTTTCAAGCCCTTATTGAACGACGACATAGCGAGCAATCATCCGGCATACGACACAGCATGCATGCACGGCATAGACGAGGCGTTGGCCGCGACAGCGAAGCGAGCCACCCTCACGGCGCGTTGCTTTAGAAAGATGAAGAGGAGGACACTGCGGACGGCCTCCTCAAAGGGGATCTCCCCCGAGCGGCTTTCTGTACATTGAGACAGACATTTGAATTTTGCTTGTACTTGCATCGCATCTGTACAACCTACTACGGACGGCTGGGGCACCATATCCATGATATATCTACCTTTCAAAGGCACCAAGGGGTTAACGGCGCAAAGACATTTGGGCAAAGGGAATGGTTGGCTTGAAGTTGGTTATAGACCATCAATACCAGCAGGGAGATATTGGACGACGTAATGATAATAATGGAAGGGTTATCTCCATAACATAGGCTCAAGACATATTGTACTCTATACTTGACAACGACAGAAGCAGAGAAGTGGAAAAGCAGTAATGACACCATAGTTCAAAAGTCTATATATCCATGTCTTTGTGTGTCTCCCTTTGAATATGCGCAGGGCTTAGCCTTGTAACTGCTGCCCCTTCTTGGAGATGCCTTGGAGATGCCTTGGAGATGCCTTGTCTCGCTTATACCCTCCCATTCAACATGCCCACATCCCACCATGTTGACCCCGCGGGTGGTTAATTTGCCTGTGAGGTCGTCAAGGTGCAAGAAACAATGGAGGAAGCATGTCACTGATAGGATAGTGGGGGATATTCACATACTGTAGCTCTAATAGCCTAGCGTTAGAAGATACTGCTTAGAAGACGATAGCTCCAAATGTGGGTTAAACAAATAGGCTCGGGGGATGTTCGGGAAGCCAAAAAGGGTTCTTGATATGTAATCCATCCTGTCACGTGCCTGTCAAATAGACCTGAGACCATGTGGATATCAAAGATGGGACGGGGAGCTGTTTACCCGGAACCCCTGGATATCGTACGAAGACATCGGATGGAGAAAGTTTGTTCTCTCTTTTCTTCCCAACGGTTTTTTGGGTCTCTGCCTTCCCGAGTCCCCGTGGGCCGTGGCGAGGTGGTCGGGACAGGTATTGTTAGTGCGGTACCTCTGGATACGGCGGCATGCGGATCGGAGGCCGGAGGGTGACAGTGTCCTTTGTCCACGAGTTGAAAATTCGAGACATCCTATTCGCTGGAGGCAGTCAGCAAGAGGCAACTTGGTGAGGGTAGATTTATACAAAGGCCGGCCAAAGTGGGTGCTAGGCCGATCACGCAATCGCTCCGGACAGCCATTCATGTGCCGGCATCACCACAAGTGGACTGCGGGGCCGGGCGCCGATGAAGGTAGGGAAATCTACTGTAAGGTAGGGGACTGTTTAGCTGTACTTGTTAGTGAGGTATAGAGACATCAGCGCCCATTACATAAGTGTCCGGGCCCTGCACGCCTGTTGTCCGGCTCCCGCATTGCGACATCCAAAATCTTTTGAGACTTGTTCCGGTTCTTAAAGTTGGGCGTTCTCTCTTCTCGTCTTCTCGTCGAAGTGTGAATCATCGATATATCAACCATCCCTAACCCTTTTCTTGTGGTTGCTTGTTTCCTTCTTTCTTCTTTTTTTTTCTCTTTTCTCCATTGATACCTCCTTCCCTCCCTCCCCCAGACTCCAGCCATCACCAGACTCCACGATGGCTTCCACACAAATCAAGACGCCCCAAGAGGCTGGTGAGTTTGCTTCCCTTGTCCCTCCCGTTCCCTTCCTCTCCAGAGATCCTGTCCCCCGCGACAGCTCCGACCCAATCCAGCGCTGTGTCTCAGCTGCCATTGCCCCGCTACATCCGTGCCTTCCAAGTGCAATGTCTCAACACCAAGAAAGATATCACGAGATTTCAGAACCAATGGGAATAAAACTGGTACTAAGGTCAAATGACTAATACGTGACGCAAAACACAGTCGCCAGAATCGCATACCTGGCCTCCGATGTCGTCGTCTCGGTGCAGCCCTCGCTCGCCGCCGAGTCCGACTTCTCGGCCACTCTCAAGAGCCTCGCCTCTTCCAGGACACAAAGCCTCGCCTCCAAGGCCGCCGATGCCGTCACCGAGATCATTCCCGTCAGACACAACAACGACCCTCTTCTCTCAGTATTCACACCCATCCGCTCCGGCCGCTTGGTCTCGGTAACAACCACCTCCGAGATCCTCCTCTCCAGCATCGCCCACCTCTACAAGCTCGCCCAGCTACCAGTCGTCCTCCACGTTGCTCTGGGCCCCAAGAGCCTCCCAGACTACACCGCCATCACCTCGATAAGGAATTCCGGCTGGACTTTCCTGCAGTCCAACTCTCTCCAGGAGGCCCAGGATTTGGCCCTCACTGCTCATGCTCTCGCCGTCCACTCCGGCAAGGGTGTTATTCACTTCTTCGACCCCAGCTCCAGCGCGTCCGAGCAGCCCATTGCCGCTGAGGATATCAGCCTTGTTCAGGAGATTCTCAACCTCGACAATGTCCGCCGCTTCCAGTCCGCCTCCATCTCGGGCTCCTCCATCTACGCCAACGACGGCCGCGTAGCCGTTGCCCCTGAGCAGTTCGAGCCTGTTGCCAGCCAGACCGTCCTTGATGCCCAGGAAGTCGAGCTTGCCCCCGCCCAGGATGGCGCCGATGAGTCCGCCCAAACCAGCCAGCAACAGAGCGAGGCCAGCGAGGCCAGCGAAGCCAGCGCGACCCCCAGTGCCTCCATCGCCACCACCATCGAGGAGCAAGCCCCCGTTGTCACCTCCGAGCACATCTACAAGTACGTCACTTCGATCTGGGCCAAGCTCAACGAGCTCGCTGGCAGGCAATACAGCGCTTTCGAGTACTCCGGTCCTTCCAACGCCGAGAACGCCCTCTTCGTTTTCGGCTCTGGCTCTCCTCTCTTCGCCCAGGCCATTGCCCAGGCTCAGTCAGACGACAGCTTCGCCAAGGCCGGTGTTCTGACTGCCCGTCTCTACCGCCCCTGGTTGGGCGCCAAGCTCCTCGAGGCCATTCCCAAGTCGGTTAAGCGCGTAGCTGTCCTTGAGCAGGTCTCGAGGAAGACTACCAAGTGGGGTCCTCTCCTGATCGATGTTCTTACCTCGGTCAAGAGCGGCCCTGGCGGTGTCGAGACCATTGTTGGCCACCAGCTTGGCTACATCTCTCAGGAGACCGTTGTCCAGGCCCTCCGTGGCATCTTCCAGAACCTCACCTCCGAGAAGCCCGTTCAGAACCTCGAGGTTGGTGAGCGCGAGGCCCCCAAGGAGGCTTCCGAGTACGGTCTTGAGAAGCCCAAGCTCGAGACTGCCTACACCAAGATCCTCGACCAGCTCTTCGGTGAGCGCGCCTACATCGCCAACTCCATCGAGAAGGACAACGCCGGCGTTTCCAACACCATCTCCGCCACTCCCGAGTACGGTTTCGGTGCCCTCCTCGCCCGCAAGGAGCGCAAGCAAAAGTTTGTCTCCGAGGTCAAGGAGGCTGCCAGCAACGGCCAGTTCTCTTCTGATGCTCCCAAGCAGGCTCTTGCCAAGTGGGTTGCCAACGCCGAGGACGCCAAGAAGGTCGAGGAGGTCGCTTCCGAGGCTGTCTCCAAGCTCTCTGAGGATGGCTCTGACCTCTCCAAGTCCCTCCTTGAGTACAAGCAATTCTTCCGCAAGCAGTCCCTCTGGCTCGTTGGCTCCGATGCCTGGTCCTACGATCTCGGCAACTCGGGTGTCCACCACGTCCTTGCTTCCGGCGAGAACGTCAACCTGCTTATCATCGACTCCACCCCCTACTCCGAGCGCGCCGCTGCCGATGCCAACCGCCGCAAGAAGGACATTGGTCTCTATGCCATGAACTTCGGTAACGCCTACGTTGCCTCTACCGCTGTCTACAGCTCCTACACTCAGGTCCTCCAGGCTATGGATGAGGCTGACAAGTTCAACGGTCCTTCCGTTGTCCTTGCTTACCTCCCTTACTTCGGCGAGCACGACTCTGCTCTCACCGTCCTCCAGGAGACCAAGAAGGCTGTCGATATCGGCTACTGGCCCCTTTACCGCTGGAACCCCGAGAACGAGAAGAAGGGCGAGTCCAACTTCTCTCTCGACTCCGAGCGCATCAAGAAGGAGCTCAAGGAGTTCCTCGACCGCGACAACCACCTGACTCAGCTCATGAAGAAGGAGCCCTCGTTCGGTGCTGTTCTTTCCGAGGACTTTGGCACCGAGATCCGTGCTCAGCAGAAGCGTAAGGCTAAGGATGCTTACAACCAGTTGCTGGAAGGCCTGTTTGGTGCTCCCCTTACTATCCTCTATGCTTCCGACAACAGCAACGCCATCTCCCTCTCCAAGCGCCTGGGTAACCGTGGCCGTGCCCGTGGTCTCAAGACTACTGTCATGTGCATGGAGGACTACCCCGTCGAGGACCTTGCCTCTGAGGAGAACATCGTCTTCATCACCTCCACCGCCGGTCAGGGTGAGTTCCCCCAGAACGGTCTTTCCTTCTGGCACGCCGTCAAGGACAACACCTCTCTTGACCTCGCCAACGTCCGCTACTCCGTCTTCGGTCTCGGTGACAGCCACTACTGGCCCCGCAAGGAGGACAAGATCTACTACAACAAGCCCGCCAAGGACTTGGATCGCGTTCTTGCCAACTTTGGCGCTAAGCCTTTGGCTCCCCTTGGTCTTGGTGATGACCAGGACGCCGATGGTTTCCAGACTGGTTACTCCGAGTGGGAGCCCAAGCTCTGGGAGGCTCTCGGCGTGGCCAACGTCGATGGCCTTCCCGAAGAGCCTGCCCCGAGGACCAACGAGGACATCAAGCTTGAGTCCAACTACCTCCGTGGTACTATCGTTCAGGGCTTGAACGACACTTCCACTCTCGCCATCTCTCCCGACGACGGACAGCTCACCAAGTTCCACGGTACTTACATGCAGGATGATCGTGATATTCGTGACGAGCGCAAGGCGCAGGGTCTCGAGCCCGCCTACTCCTTCATGATCCGTTGCAGACTGCCCGGTGGTGTCTCTACTGCCAAGCAGTGGGTCCAGATGGACGACATTGCCAACGAGCTCGGCAACGAAACCATGAAGCTCACCACCCGTCAGACCTTCCAGTTCCACGGTGTCGTCAAGAGCAAGCTCAGGCCTGCCATGAAGGCCATCAACCGCGCTCTCATGACCACCATTGCCGCTTGCGGTGATGTTAACCGTAACGTCATGTGCAGCCCTCTCCCCGCTCACTCCAAGTACCACCGCGCGGTCTGGGAGTGCTCCAAGCGCATCAGCGACCACTTGATCCCCAACACCACTGCCTACCACGAGATCTGGTTGACCGATGATGATGGTTCCAAGACCCAGGTTGGCGGTAACGCTGTCCAGGACTTTGAGCCCCTCTACGGCCCTACCTACCTTCCCCGCAAGTTCAAGGTCTCCATTGCCATCCCTCCCCACAACGATGTCGATGTCTACGCCCACGATATCGGTCTGATCGCCATCAAGAATGAGGACGGCAGCCTCGCTGGTTTCAACATGACCGCCGGTGGTGGTATGGGTGCCACCCACAACAACAAGAAGACCTATCCCCAGGTTGGTCGCATGCTCGGCTTCGTCACCGCCGCCGACGTGCACATTGCCTGCGAGAAGGTCATGCTTGTCCAGCGCGACAACGGTGACCGCAAGAACCGCAAGCACGCCCGTTTGAAGTACACCATTGACGACATGGGCGTCGAGGTGTTCAAGGCCAAGGTCGAGGAGTACTGGGGCCAGAAGTTCGAGGAGGCTCGCCCCTTCCACTTCGACTCCAACGTCGACACCTTCGGCTGGACCAAGGACGAGACCGGTCTCAACCACTTCACCATGTTCATCGAGAACGGCCGTATCGAGGATACTGCCGAGTTCCAGATGAAGACTGGTCTTCGCGCGATCGCCCAGGTCCACAAGGGCGAGTTCCGTCTCACCCCCAACCAGCATCTCATCCTCTCCAACGTCACCGATGAGGACAAGCCCGAGCTTGAGAAGCTCCTTGCCCAGTACAAGCTCGACAACTTGCACTACTCTGCTCTGCGCCTCTCCTCGTCTGCTTGCGTTGCCTTCCCCACTTGCGGTCTCGCCATGGCTGAGTCGGAGCGTTACCTCCCTGTTCTCATCACCAAGCTCGAGGGTGTCCTTGAGGAGGTTGGCCTCAAGCAGGACAGCATTGTCATGCGCATGACTGGTTGCCCCAACGGTTGCGCTCGTCCCTGGTTGGCCGAAGTCGCTTTCGTCGGCAAGGCCTATGGTGCTTACAACATGTACCTCGGCGGTGGTTACCACGGTCAGCGCCTCAACAAGCTGTACAGGGCTAGCATCAAGGAGGAGGAGATCTTGACTATCATGAAGGGTCTCCTTAGGAGGTACGCCAAGGAGAGAGAGGAGGGCGAGAGGTTCGGTGACTGGACTATCCGGGCGGGCATCATTAAGGCGACTACTGATGGAACTAACTTCCATGAGGGGGTAAGTGAATCCTTTGAGTCCTGATGATGCAATTTGTGAACATTTTACTGACCGGCTTTCTGCTACAGGTTGCTGAGGAAGAGGGTGATGAGGAGTAAACTGTCTCAAATGGGTTGTGGGTAAGGCGGTCAGGGAGCAAGGGGAGGAAGGTTCAACGGTCAAAGCGCATTCTCCTTGGCGTCGAAAATAACTTGGTGCAGTTTTTGTTTATTGCTTTTACACGTCTCTCTGTATATACCTCTTTGATATCTCGATGCATTGTTTTTTGAAGTTTTTTGACTTGACGGTTACTCGAGGTGAGGTGAGATGGGATTGCATGTTTACTTTGACGTCACTCGCGTTACTTGGGGGTTATGCCAGGGACCGAAGAGTTGCGATGGCACATGGCAGTTGCTTGCTTGTGCTCGTGCTTGGTGCGTTGTACACGTGCGTGCATTTCGAGAACAGTACGGCAGTATGAAGCACACGCCAGAAGCACAGGAAGTGATGAACTGTTCAGGAACGGCGGGGACTCTTTTTCAGGAACAGGAACTGTAAAACACCGAACAACGTTGGACGCCAAGCAAGCGTTCCTGAAGTTCCTGAACAGCAAGCCTGCAAGCCATTCTTATAGCCAATAGGATGCACGGAAGAGAGGGGCAGTGCCCAGTCGCCCTGTTCAGGGTTGTGTTGTGGTTGGTTGCCCAGTGACCGACTGGTTGAGGACGGGAGTACGGGACAGGATCGAGAACCTGAAATCGACAGGCTATCTGAACAGAGAGTGAAGAAGCAGATGGTATCTTCAGTTCACGGTCAACCAGCCTCCAAATCTTCAATCTTCAATCCTCAAAACACATGCCGAAAAACAACAACAAGCACGACAAGCTGAACACCCCTCTTCAACTGCTACCCCTGCGCATCAACAAGCATCTGCCGTCTTCTTCTGCTGCTTCCCCACTGGCAGAATTCATTGGTAGCCAATTGCGGTCGCATTTATCCAGCCTACCAGTAGCCATTGACAAGCATCCGCCTGCGCAACCCGACCTCCTTCTGCTCTGGGCAAGCGAAAGCCTCCATTGGCGCCGCTTCTCCAGCTTCCACTTCACGAGTGAGCCCAGCCACCGAATTGTGGTGCTCCCTCCGCGCCGTCTTTTCAGTGAACGACGGGGAACTACAGGAGTACGACAGACGATTTCACCGCATTTCAACTAAAAGAAGAAAAAAAAGGGTCCATCTCCTTACGAACAAACGAATTGATCCCCCTTGACTTCACCGCGTGTCCCCGTTAGCAGGTCAGTAGCCCCACGATAGAGGTAACATGAACCTCCGTTTCCACTTCTCCATTTCTCAGTGGAGGAGGCCCTGAGGGTGGTGACCCGACAGCCGCGATCGATCTAGTGCTAACTGACGCGCAGTAGTCTCCTGTCGACATTCGACTTTCTATCCAAACGACACTTCACTGTCACTTCACCGCATTGCTGTCTGTCAGTCAGGTACCAGAGTCAATCGATCGTACCAGCAAATCTCAATCCAACCGAACGACCGGAGAGGGGCCGCGTCCCTTACGATTCTCCAGTCCGTCAGTGACATAGTGGTTGTATACACTCCGCTACTACTACTCACAAGTCAGGTCCATTCTATCCATCGAATCGAGATCCAGGACAAGGGAAGTCGACAAGTCTCACTCTCACACACCGCCCGACACGATGGCCGGGTATGGTCACAGCACCGGCGGCGGCTTCGGCAGCGGCAGCGGGAGCGGTCCGCCAGGCCCTCAGTACATGCTCCCCCAGTACGATGAAGGCGACGACCCCGATGCCGATGCGACACCAACTGGTCAGGGCGTCCGCCTGTTGACGAACCTCGACAACAGCTCGTACATTTCAGTTTCCGAAATAACCAGCCAGAGTTCACATATAGATAATGTCAGACCGTATGTCATGCCCCTCACACAACCCCTCCATACCAATCCCTCAACCCAGACACATACCCGAACCCAGAGTCCTCCCTTCCATTCCAATACCAGTCCCAAAACAAAACAAAGCCATGATCGAGTCATCGTGGTCAACACATCCCCTCCTCCTTCCCCTTCCCTGTCCCTGTCAGTACCCAACAAGGGACCCGAGAATCAAGAGGACCAAAGAAACAAGACGGACCTGGAGACGCCCCCGACTCCAAACCAAAGAGAGCACGAGGACCCCGAAGACGACTCCGACATGGGAAAGGCCGTGACGTTTGCTGCCGCGCCAGAGATCCTGGGGAGCGACGACCCTCAACAGCAATACGCCCACCTACCTCACTATCCTCCACCATACAGTCCCTTTCGACCCGAGGAGCAAGAGCAATTCCTTTTGCGACAGCAGCAGCGGCAACAACAAGCGGAAGCGCAGCTACAGCAACAAGAAGAATCTCAGCTACGGGGAGGAGGAAAGTTGCAGAAGAGGAAGAGGCTGGGTCAAGTGAAGCCTCTTAAGCTGTCTGCGCCTTCACCTTCTCTGGCCTTGCCGACAATTCCGGAGGGCGCATCCCCGCGACGAGCGTCGCTTCGTGAGGCGCGTAAGAAGCAGCAGCAGCGGCAAGGAAGCAAGCAGCGGCCCAGCAACATTACCGAGGAAGGGGACTCTACAAGATCACTTACACCACCACTCTCCGTTCACTTTGGATCACCAAAAAGGCGAAACTCAGAGGCAGCACGCTCACATATTATTCCTAATCACAGCAGCCGGTTACGACAAGCTTATGAGCCCTCGATCGACGCCCGCACCTACGAACCATCACTAGATACCCGAACATACGAACCCTCGTTTAGCGATCGACGACACATGTACGAACCCTCCATCGACGAACGATCATCGATTATGGACCCCCCACGCATCCCACCACCCGACGGCGGATCTTACGTTTCTTCCTACATGGGCACCGAGAGCATGGTTTCGGGACACGGCAGACCATGGAGTCCCGTATCGACTGCCGATTATCGAGTTCCACCACAAGGACGGTACGAGCCTTCAGAGATTGATGGTCATCCTAGGCCAGGGACACCAGGATCGAGTTATGGAAATGCGCGGCGACCACTTCCCGCGGCACCAGCGCCTTTCCAATACAACAGCCCCAGCCGCGCAATGAGCCATCATCCACGATATCATGGAGCAGGAGGTTATGCCGACGATGTGACAGTTAGCATGGGGCCGGACGATGATCGAACAGACATATTTGGCCCTGAAACCGACCTCAGCGAATCGCGGCACCTCAATGATGCTTACGGGTTCCGGTCATCCCAGATAACTCTCAGCGAAGATCCCCACGGCACCCATGCCCGTTCCCGGTACGACGACGAAGACGATGTTAGCACTACTTACTCCTCTAACACCGGCACTAGCGCTTCAGGCGTCGACAAATTCGAGCATTACGGCCCCATCCCAGAAGAAGGCAAACACGAGCGCCGCGGTGTTCGGCCACCACAGATGTCAAGGAAGGAAGTCCAGCTCATCAACGGCGAACTGGTCCTCGAGTGCAAGATTCCGACTATATTGTATTCGTTTCTGCCTAGGAGGGACGAGGTTGAATTTACGCACATGCGGTACACGGCCGTTACTTGCGACCCTGATGACTTTGTCAGCAAGGGGTATACGTTGCGGCAGAATTTTGGTCGTACTGCTAGGGAGACGGAGTTGTTCATCTGCGTCACGATGTACAACGAGGACGAGTACGGCTTTACACGGACTATGCACGCAGTCATGAAGAATATCTCGCATTTTTGCTCGCGAAACAAGAGCAGGACGTGGGGCGCGGACGGGTGGCAGAAGATTGTTGTCTGTGTGGTTTCTGATGGCCGAGAGAAGATTCATCCTCGGACGCTAGACGCCCTCGCAGCCATGGGTGTCTACCAGCACGGCATTGCCAAGAATTTCGTCAACCAAAAGGCAGTTCAGGCGCATGTGTACGAGTACACCACGCAAGTGTCTCTGGACAGCGATCTCAAGTTCAAGGGCGCCGAGAAGGGTATCGTGCCATGCCAGATGATTTTCTGCTTGAAGGAGAAGAACCAAAAGAAGCTCAACTCCCACAGATGGTTCTTCAACGCCTTCGGCAAAGCCCTAAACCCGAACGTGTGTATCCTCTTGGACGTCGGAACCCGCCCCGGCGGCACAAGTCTCTACCACCTCTGGAAAGCCTTCGACACGGATTCCAACGTGGCGGGAGCCTGCGGGGAGATTAAAGCGATGAAGGGGCGGTTCGGCGGGAATTTGCTCAACCCTCTGGTGGCTAGTCAGAACTTTGAGTACAAGATGAGTAATATTCTGGATAAGCCGCTGGAGTCGGTGTTTGGGTATATCACGGTGTTACCGGGCGCGTTGTCGGCGTATCGGTTTCATGCGCTGCAGAATGATGAGACGGGTCATGGACCGTTGAGTCAGTATTTCAAGGGCGAGACGCTCCATGGACAGCATGCGGATGTGTTCACGGCGAATATGTATCTGGCGGAGGACCGAATTCTGTGTTGGGAGTTGGTGGCCAAGAGGGGCGAGAGGTGGGTGTTGAAGTATGTGAAGGGGTGTACGGGTGAGACGGATGTGCCTGGTGAGTTGCCCGCTTGATGAGATGCAGATCCTTTCTGTGTGATGAGATACTAACAGCATGTAGACACCGTCCCGGAATTCGTCTCGCAACGTCGTCGCTGGCTCAACGGTGCCTTCTTCGCCGCCGTCTACTCCCTCGTCCACTTCCGCCAAATCTGGAAAACCGACCACACCTTCATGCGCAAAGCCCTCCTTCACGTCGAATTCCTCTACCAACTCCTGCAACTCCTCTTCACCTACTTCTCCCTTGCCAACTTCTACCTCGCCTTCTACTTCATCGCCGGCGGTCTCGCCGATCCCCACGTCGACCCTTTCAACTCTGACGGCCACGTCTCGCGCATCATCTTCAACATCCTCCGCTACGTCTGCGTCCTGCTCATCTGCACGCAATTCATCATGTCTCTCGGAAACCGTCCGCAGGGCGCCAAAAGGATGTACCTAGCCTCCATGATCATCTACGCCGTCATTATGGTCTACACCACCTTCGCCACCGTCTTCATCGTCGTGCGGCAGATCAAACCCAAAAAATCCGACGACCCGGACCTATCTCTCGGCAACAACGTCTTCACCAACCTGATCGTCTCCGTGGCTAGTACCCTGGGGCTCTATTTCCTCATGTCCTTTCTGTACCTGGACCCGTGGCACATGTTCACTTCAGCAATCCAGTACTTCATTTTGTTGCCGTCCTACATCTGCACCCTCCAGATCTACGCCTTCTGCAACACCCACGACGTCACCTGGGGCACAAAGGGTGATAACGTCATGCGCACCGACTTGGGAGGAGCCATCGGTAAAGGCAGCACAGTCGAACTGGAAATGCCTTCGGAACAACTCGATATCGACTCCGGCTACGACGAATGCCTCCGTAACCTCCGCGACCGCGTCCTCGTCCCCGCCGTCCCCGTGTCCGAGGAACAGCTACAGCAGGATTACTACAAATCCGTGCGTACGTACATGGTGGTCACATGGATGGTCGCCAACGCTACGCTTGCTATGGCTGTTAGCGAGGCTTATGGTAACTCTGAGATTGGGGACAACTTTTACTTGCGCTTTATCCTCTGGGCGGTGGCCGGCTTGGCGCTGTTTAGAGCGTTGGGGAGTACCACGTTTGCGGTTATTAATCTTGTGTCTGCATTGGTGGAGGGGAGAGTCAGGCTGAGCTTGAACATGAAGGGGTTTAGGTGGATTAAGGAGAAGTGGGGGGATGCGGATGTGAAGGGCAAGTTTGAGGGGCTGGGGGATAGGGCTAGGGGGTTGGCGAGGCGGTAATGTGGTGGTGGTTATTTTCGATTCTGATTTCATGATGTTACGGCCTGAACGATCTCTTGGGCTGGGCTTGGGCGGCAAGCAAGCGAGAGCGAGCGAGCGAGCGAGCGAAGCCTTCAGGTTCGAGGGAGGCAGGCTCTTTTACAGTTATTTCTTTGTTCTTTTCTGACACGCACGATATCACGACACATACATACACATCATACGTATGGTATGATTATGGGATTTTTGGGACAGGGTTGGCGGTTTGGCGGCTTGATGATCTTTCAACCTCGAGTTTTAAACAATGCTCGAAGGGATGGGTTTAGTTGATGATACCACATATTTTTGTTTGGGAATTTGGTTAAGGGGCTAGGAAGGATACCACCAAGGGTTTGGTTGATACAGGACAACAACAACAACAACAACGACTGTTTATGTTTGTTTACTTTTGCCCACGAACAAAATGGGATTTGACTTTGGGTCTTGGGTTGAAGATAATGTCCTTCACCACTAGGTACTATGTTAGAGTAGTTATGATGTGTTGAGTACATAGAGAGGACAGCTTGAAAAGCGGAATGAAGGTCCTGAGTTAAATGCTAGAGATTGCATTTATGAATGATCGTGTGGTGATGCTGAGCTAACGAAAATGTTCACATGTTCAAACCTCGATTTGGAAGCAGCATAATACGAAATGAAACAATGGTTAATGAGTTGCAGTATACTGTCTTGAACGTTCCTAGGTAGGTATAGAAAAACCAAGCACTCGAACATGGTGCTTCATATTCTATTCATGTTTACAACCAAAGTAAACAAACACACCTACCCCTTAACGCCTACTCATGGGGTTCGTAAATCATATTCTGGTCGTGACTCCTGCCTCGCTCGCTCGCTCCCATTCTATGTTTTCTCAAAAAGTCGTAAAACTAGTATCCTTCATGTTTGGAATTGCGAAACGGTATGCAATATCGTATCGTAACAGTCGTCAGAGTCGTCATTGTGGTCGTAAAAGTAAGAAATGGGAACAAGTTGGTATAGGTAATCGCATTTAGTAACCTACCAAGAAATTAGCATTGCCTACTAAACAACATGCACGTGTGTGGTATATAAGATATCCCTCCCTCTCTACAATCCCAAAAGAAAGAAGAAAATCACTCCTCATCACCTGCAAGAGACATACCCTTCATCAACCTCTCCATCTCCCTTTCTCTCTCTCTTCTGCTCCCCGTCCCCGGCTCAACAACCGGCACACCCCCAATAGCCTCCAACCTCCTCCTGAGCTCCTCCGCCTCGCGTTCCTGCTCGCGCTCCCTCTCCCTCTCCTCCTCCCTCTCCTCCTCCTTCTTCTCCTCCACAGCCTTCTTCTCTTTCTCCTGCTCAGCCAACATCTCCTCAAATTCATCATCAATCTCCTCCTCATCCACTCCCGCAGCGCTAGTACCGGCTTCAGCAAGGATGGTATTAACCTCATCCACCTCCGCCATCTGGTCACGCAGTTTGTCGACGAGGGACTCGACTCTATCGACGCCGCCGACTTGTTCGTTCAGGCTCTCCAACACCCTGCTGCTGGTCTCCATGACTTTCATCATCGCGACCGAGTCGCTGGCTTGTTGGATCTTGGCCGCCACGGCTTCTAGTTGTGTCAAGCTTGCGTAGCGCCCCTCCAAAGTTTGCTCGGCTAGTTTCTTTTGCTTCAAAGCCGCCAGGGCAGCGATCCGGTTCTTGGACTGCACGGCTTGGCGAGCGGTTTTGTCTAGTTCGGAGATACGGCCGGCTAGGAGGTGGGTTTGGTGCGTTAAAGAGGAGATGAGTTCCTTGATGGAAGCGACGGTGGTGTCTTCTTGTGTTATCTGCTGTTGCTGATGCTGACCGGCGTCATCGGAGGGAGCCTTGATTTTGAATGTGGACCCGTCGTAGAGGATGACGTCCTTGTCGCGGGAGAGGAAGACTAACAAAACGTCGAGGTCGGTTTCGGTGAGGAGTTTGGCGTCTGAGCCGGACTCGAGTTGGACTTGTTCGTTGTAGGTTTGGAGGAAATGTGCTTTGGACCAGGTGCGCTCGAAGCGGCTGTCTGTTAGGGCTGATGCTGTTGTTGCGGCGAATTGTTTTCCGGCTTCTTCGACGTTTGCGACTACCACGAATTGGCCCTTGGGTAAACTGTGGGATCGTAACCATTCTGCTACTCCCAACTGCTTTAAGGCCCAGCCGGCTACGCCCCCGGCGATTCCCAAAGGCGACGGTAGCCATGGCTTGTAGTATATACTCGTTTTGGTGGTGAGGAAGTCGTGTAGCGGCATGAGATCCTTAGCAGCCAGTGCTTCCCTAACCACTGTCCCTAAGGCTAGCGGGCGACCGTACTTCTTGGACTCTAAAGCGCGGAGGAGCGATTCATCGGCGTTGAGAACGAGGAGATTCGGCGTTGAACCTTTTGGGGCGGGCGCAAGGCCGGAGCGGGCGAGGTGTGCAAGGGCGGAACGCCAGGCGGAGATGTTGGCCTGGTAGCCGTCGGGATTAAGAGTGCGGAGGGAAGTGAAGTCGGAGTAGAGGGCTGGGAGGCGGGCTCTGGTGAGAAGGAGGGTTAGCTGGGAACACAGAGAGGCAGGCGGCAGCAGTCGGGTGGGCAAGACGTACTTCCTGAAGCTAGGCTCGTGTTCGACTAGGTAGTCGACTAGGGATTGTTGGTTGCTCATGTTGTTGGGTATCTGGATATCGTTGCGCGGAAAATTGGAATCGAAGTCAAAGGTAGGACCGAAAAAGAGAGGAGGGAATCGCGGTCGTCGATGATGTGCGATGCGCCGGTTGGGAACCTTGGTGGCTTGCGACAACAAGACCAAAACAAAAGCTCAAGAAGCAGCAAGTGCATGCCACCAGGCAGGCTTGGATTGGCTGACACACGTGTCGTTTCGAGTCAATGGGCGCGCAAAGAATTGGATGGGCGCAAGCAGCCTAGCCTGGCGGTGGTGATGAGATGCAGAAAGAAGATTTGGGGAAGAAAACAAATCGAGGTTGGATGGAATTTGGGCTGTCGTCACTGTGGTGATCGAGTTACAGTGGGCTTTCCTTATCTTACCTCTATCAGTCATAGACCAGATGGACCCCTGTTGATCTGCTTTCATGTGATACCACCCAAACCTCAAGGTGAAGAGACCACAACAACATGAAGAGTTAGAGTGGTGGAACCTCTAGGATACAATCGGAAGTTCTTTCAGAAGTGATCATTCATGATTGTTTAAATTCAAGAAAGAGTGGCGTTGAAGGAACCGGTCACAGACAATGCAAGGGATGGGGCTTCCCCCTTCTTATCCAGCATCTAAGCCAGCCACAAGCGTCTGTCTCAACGATCTATTGTATTCACAACACCATGATATCTTTCCCACTGCCCATACCCACCTACATGAACTCCAAACGCCAGCCAGCTAGTCCAACAGTTTCCAAATCCCACTCAAACGAATTCCGTAGAGTTTAAACTTCTTTGTAACCCATCATATTTTAGAACTCCTCCACCGCGCAATTAGGATGCAACACATAAACAATATTGCCCTCCGCCCTTGCCGAGGTACCCTCTCCCGCAGTACCTTCCTCGCCAACGATACCTTGTCCGCGGATAGCCATGAGGATGTTGTCCTATTTTAGTCAATGTCAGCATCGATTCCTAATATTATTCACCCACAGTCAAAGGGATAAGGGAAAAGGGGGGGCAGAAAAAAGAAACATACCTTGACCATCCTCTTCAAAACCTTCACCACCAACCTCCTCTCCTCAACATACTCTTCTTCCGTCGCCATCTCCTCCTCCTTCTGTTCAAGGTACCACTCCACCAGCTGCTCGCCCTCGATCCCCTCCCCTGAGCCTTGCGTCTCGTCCTCGGCGACCTTGGAGACGATCAGGTTGACGATGGAGATGTATTTGTCGTACGAAATCGTCTGCTTCTCGCGCGCTTGCGAGGGCGCAGCGGAGGGTGCCGCAGACGGCTGGCGAGCAGCATCACCGCCCATGTCGACGTCGCCGTCCATATCAGCCTCGGGCACTCTGCTGGCATTAGCGGCAGCGGCTTGCAAAGCAGCGGGGTCGTCGGCGGGGGGTTCAGGAGCGTCGTCCTCGTCATCTACTTCCACGTCATCGTGCTCGACGGAGATGATCGATTGACGGAGAAGGTGGAACGCCTCGTTGACGAACTCGGGCGTGATTTCCTCCACGCAGTTGGCCTTGGCGATGGCTTCGGACAGACGGATCATACTCTCCAGCTGTCTGACCGTGATTCTGTACGAGTTCTTGCCGATGCCGCCTTGGGCGTCGTCTGCGCGCAGGTCCTTGTAGCGCTGGACGAGGACTTCCTTGGCCTCGTCGGTGAACTCGGGGCGGAAGGTGCGTGCGAAGCGGATGTACCGCTGTATTTGTTCGGTGGAGAATTCAGGCTCGATGGCTTGGTCCCGGTTTTGGTGGAGGCCGACGATGTGTTCCGCAAGATGACGGTCGACCTGCTCGTTGCACTCATCGAGGATGACGAAGAAGAGATCGAAGCGGGACATGATGGGCGCGGACATGTTGATGTTGGCGCGCAGGGTGGTCTTGCGGTTGTACCGGCCTCCGACGGGGTTGGCGGCGGCGAGAATGGAGGTGCGCGCGTTGAGGGTGGCTTGGATGCCGGCCTTGGCAATGGAAATGGTCTGCTGTTCCATGGCTTCGTGGATGGCGACTTGGTCGGCGATGTCCATCTTGTCGAACTCGTCGATGCAGCAGATGCCGTTGTCGGCCAGCATGAGGGCACCGGCTTCGATGGTGAATTCACCGGTTTCTTCGTCCTTGACGACGGCGGCCGTGAGACCGGCGGCGGAAGAGGCCTTGCCGGAGGTGTAGACTGCACGAGGAGCGAAGTTGACGACGTACTTGAGGAATTGGGATTTGGAGGTCGAGGGGTCGCCGACGATGCAAATGTTGATGTCGCCACGGAGTGCCATGCCCTCGGCGGTAGTTTTGGAGACACCGGAGAGGAGTTGCAAGAGGATGCCCTTCTTGACAACTTCGTGGCCGTAGACCGTGGGTGCCAAGGACTGGACGAGGCGTGCGTAGATGTGGTCGCTGTGCACCATGGCACGGAGGTCTTCCATCTCGGCGGGTGTGTAGGAGCTTAGCAATGCTTCCTGGGCCTCCTTGATGGTCTCGGCCGTCTCCGCCGCGGCGCTGCTGTTGAGGGTACCGACGATGTCCATCAGAAGGGCATCGCCAGAGGCACCGATCGCCGACACATCAGGCGTAACCATGCAAGCAAGGAACGCCAAACGGTAGGTAAGATCGCGCACACCCAAGGCCTTGAGACCAGAAACACCACTGCCACCCGCATCCGCACCCCGATCATCACGCACCGACACGTTCCTCACACCCGGCAGACCCAACTGACTGACATCCGGCACCACAATCAGCGCACCGGTAAAGATACACTTCTCGCCAGCCTTGGCTCGATCCACCAGTTCACCGCGCAAAATCACATCCATAGTCCTGGGCATGCTTCCCGTGGGAATCTCGCTACTGTTCTCCTGCACGCGCACCTTCTGCCAATCCACAAAGGTGCTCTGTCTGATATCCAGCTGCCACGCCGTGCGGTTCTGGCATGTCAGGTTGGGACACTGCGTCGGTTCAGTATATCGGAAAGTCTGCTCGACATTGGGAACGACGGTGCGACAGGCCTGGCAGACGAAGGTGGCGAGAGCCAGCTCGGGCCGGACTTCGGAAGTGCGCGTGACGGTGCCGCTAATCGCAAGAAGCTGGCCGACGTTGTGGGCGCGCATGGAGCGCACGCGCGAGACGAGGGGCAGGTTGTAGAAGGCGATGGCGAAGAGCTTGTCGGTTTGTTGGTTGGGGTTCTTGATGCCAAAGTCGGACTGGCTGGCATTGGCGCCTCGCGTGCTGGAAGCTGTCGTCGAGTGAGCGCTCGATGCCGTAGGTTGGCGATGTTCGTTAAAGTATTGAGGTTCGTAGGCGGCGATTCGGCTATGGAGGGCGGCTGTGAGGAACGGAAGGAAGCGGTAGTAGGAGTTGGTGATGGCCTCGGCGAGGGTACCGTCTTGCCACGAGGCAATATGCTTGTAGTCGACGTAGAAGGTAGATAACGAGTAGGTCTTCATGCCGTGGATCTGGGCGACGTAGTACTTGTCTGTCGTGACTGCGCTCGAGGTTGGTTGGCCGGACGATGTTGGTGTTTCGACGTAGCTGGTGGCTGTGTCAGCATGTAGTATATGTTTGTCTGGTATCTGTAGTCATCATACCCGTCAATGAAGGCCTCAAACGCCCTCTGGACCATCACACCAATCCTATCCTGAACTTTGGGAATGTCGGCAATGTTCTGAGGCCTCGAGCGGACGGGGACCTGATCGTCGGCGAACCCTTCCTCCCCTTCATCTTCGCTGGCCGCTCCGAGGCTTTCTGAGGGAGGTCCTCGTGGACGAGCTGAAGAAGAACTGAGTTGACCGTTTCGCGCCCTGGGAGTAGCTCCTCCTCGCGATGCGATTCCGTCCGACATCATGAAGCCAACATCGCTGGACTGCGCCATTGGTGTTGCCATCTTGGTGGTGTCTGTGTTTGGAATCTGGTGTTGAATCGGTCCACCTGGGTATCAAGAAGAGTTGGTGGAGATGGGAAGTTGTTGAGGTCAAGTATGAAGTATGAAAGCCCAAGGGATCAAGGGACTCGTTAGTGGATCGAGGGGAAACTGTGAACGAGGGGATCTCCTCCCTGTCAAGAAAACACGATAAAACGCGCCAGAAAAGCTGAAGCGCGCCAAGACCAGGAAGCTGGCGCGTACAAGTGGGGCCAGTTTTTAATGGCCTCGCTAATAGGGTACAGGTCGTGTATATGCATACTATCCGTCATTGACAGTAGTGATTCATCTAATGAAGTATTCTCCTCAAAGCAACACTGTTGCCGTAACGATGCATCGCCATTCGACCTTGACCGGTTCCCTCACCTTGCTCAAAGTCACAATGTCTGTTGTGTTCAAACGACAACCGACTTGACATTATTCACAGTGTGGCTCATAGTCCCCGATTCTCTCCCAATGGTTCTCATTCTGAGGTAGTCCAGCAAGATGCTCCTTCCTCACAAGCCGTTGGAAAATGGAAGGTGCTCCTTCCCCTTCAAGAAATATTTTCTCTTTTCTCGCTGATTTTTCGAGCAACGAAAAAGAAATTTTCGTCGGTTTAGTTGTGTTTCTTCAGTGTCTCTTCACCTTGTCAAGTGTCTCCCGTCGCGATCGTCGTCGCTCTGTCGGTCCATCTCTTGGATTCGCTCCCACACCACTCTGCCTTCCACATCTCTCTTTTTTTTCGATCATTTTCATCATGTTCGCTGGATCTTCGACCGTTCAAATCCATTTACCAGCACTACCATGGTGTCATGCTAATCAAAATCTGACAGCTGCCAGGCCGAGTCCTCAATGGTCACCTATTATAACACCGGAGTTATGTCAGACAAGGTACAACACTAATCAACATAAGAAGGTGAGGATATTGAGGTCGAACCAGTCAGAAGCGGTCCCGATCATGCTCGGTCTCAAACTCCAACATCCCCGGAGAATACAACCTGCAGTGCTACCACAATTTCATCTGGGCTGATAGGCTTTAGCCGAGAGAGTCAGCCGTTTACTGCTCGGAACCAGGAAGCTCGCCCGGATCTGTCGGCGGCCAAGAAGGCCATGTCCTTGCTCCGGCTTGCTTGACGTGACGACCTTCTGCAATCTGGTATCCGCCTGCCCCCCGATCAGATCTCTGGGTAGGAACACCATGTAGGTGGGCAGCGTGGCAGCGAACTTGATCTATCTTTGGCACTTAACCGCTTTTCTGGCGTCTCAGCTTCTACTACCACTTCAGAGGCGAACAGCAACGTCAGGTTAGTACAGTCTGTTGACATCAGAGATGGATCGACAAGCGAAACAACGAGACTTTCATTGCTGACTCGGCTAAACAGAGCTATGTGTCAGAGGATCGGACCTGGGCCGCGCTATTTTCGGATTTAATCAGTCAAACGACCACGATGAACAGCAGCACGGATTTCACTCAACTATGGCATCGCCATTTGGCCAACCTCCGCCATGACTTCTCGACTGGACCTGTTGACAGCACTAGTGTACGAGCTTTGCCTTCGGAGCCGGCGAGGAGTGTGGATGGGAGAGGAGACAGTGAAGCTACGCCCAGGGGCCCTGATTACCATGGAACTCAAGCAGCGTCGCTCCCAGTTGGACATCAGTGGGACGGAGACATGGAGATGGTGATCGATGCTTTGCAGGAGCTTGAGGTGCAAGTTCGCCTGGCCTAACACTTGGTCCAAAACAAAATGGCTAACGGAGATCTGCAACAGTCAAAGCCCTATCACCGCCACCGAAACCCTCAGCCCCGATTCACTGTGGTTCAGAGACAATCATCTTCGCCGTGATGCCGACGGTGATGGAGATATAGAAACTGAGACTGTAATATCGTCACCTCAGAATTCGAGTTGGTCGAGGACCGTCGGGCCTCCGAAAGCACAACAAGATCGCTTCTCTTTGCAGCTACAACCACAGCTGAAAAGCCCAGTTAACCTCTACACATCTGCGGCTGCCAAGGGGCTTGATACAAATGCTAGAGCACGGGCAGAAAGGAGATACTCTCAGGACTGGTACAGAGATCATGCAACGCTCCTCTCACACTCTCAGCAACCATACGAAACGTACTCGGCTTATCCAGCATCACCAAGTCTCAACACCGCTCGACCTGATCCCGAGACCGAACCGCCAGAACCCAGAACCAGGTTTAGCTCGGTCTTCTCTCCCTCCCAGCGCGGTCGATACGCACAGCTAGCCGAAGAAGTCAACGTCTTGATCCTCAGCTGGGCCACAACAACAGCAACAAACGCAAACGTCAAGCAACAAGGCCCAATGAAACACAGGTCAAGTCGGCAAGGGTTCAGTACCTCCACAGAGTCTGTCCGCAACTGCTTTAAACGACTCGGATATCGAGTTCAATGCCGATCGATTCCCGAGGACTATCCTACTGCGGCTGTGGAGACCATCCTGGCCAAGTTTCTCGCGGACTCCGATATGGACCAGGAGAAGAAGAAGTTACTGATTGTTTTTTACGCTGGGGAAGCGGGCATGGTTGGAGGGAGGATGATGTTGGCGAATGCAAGTGGCACGAGTCATTTCTTCTTGGAGGACATTCGCGAACCCATCATGTCGAGTGAGGGCGACGTCTTGCTCATCTTTGACTGCCACTACTCCATGAATTCGAATGAGAGCACAGAAACCGAAGATCAAATGCTGGTTGAGCCGGGTCTGGCATCTTCACCCTCCATTAAGCAACTTTTGGGCGCCTGCGTTCCATTGCCCGGAACGGAAACTCCCAACAGCAACTCGAAGGGGGCTACACTAGCAGCAACGAAAATGACCCAGGCCCTATGCAGAGTCCTGGACAGCACCTATGCCCGAGGAGACGGCAAGGTATCAGTGCAGAGGCTGTGCTCGTTTATGAAAGAGGAGTTACGACAGGACAGAACGGGACTCGACCAAAGGGTATTTGTTACGCAGTTGGGAGGAAGACACTTGTTGGATATCGAACTGCCTGTATTGTCTGTTGGTACTGGTATCAACGTTGGTGGTGGCAATGATGTTGGCGGTGATATGTTGCGGGGCATGAAGGTCCTCCGAGGTTGACAACACGGGGGCGGCTTTCAGGTTGAACCCCAGTGGGGTAAGTTCAGTCCATTCGAAAGCTTTTCCGCTCCCTTGAGAAAATCACCAGGGAGCCTTTTACCTGACCTTCCCTCCTTCCAATCACTTACTTTGGATAGTCTTCCGGTGGTGTTGGTGCACTAGAACAGTAGCCCACTCTAGTCTACGGCACAGCTGTGAAACACCACGAGAGCTGAGGATTGAAGATCCAATCATACTCAATCGTAACTCCGCATTTGGTGATCTCCAGCTCTTGCTAGCATGTGCTTCACGTTTCCTGTTCCCGAAGCGGTAAACTGATGGAAGACACTAACATGGGTGTTTCGAACTAGACCAAGTTGATTTACTCGCCATCACCAAAGGACGTTCTCATCACTTCTTGATCACATATCTCCAGTTGGGGAAACGTGTTTCAGCGTGGCATGGGATTGCCTGCGTGGATCTCGCAAGATACATCGAGATTCGAATATGTCCGGTTTTGGCGGGGAATGTGAATGGCTTGATCTCGATGTGAACCCCAGCTACGGAGTTCCCAACCCACCCGATCAGGCTGAGGGTGTGTGATCAACAACAATGACAGGCATCGCCTCCGCGGAGCTCCATTGGATCAAGGGTTCTTCAGCTGTCAAACTCGAAACCTCCTTCCCTTTATCAGCAACATCGTGATAGCCAACGACACTACGGGCTAGTGTCCGAGCCCGCGTGCGGAACCTGCCGCGAATAGTGTCAAGGTGATGACCCTCAAGGCATCCCTCATGGCCACGCTCGTTTCTTTTTTTCCGTGCGGGGTATAGACAGTTCCAACCGCCCTACGACTGAAGAATGTTTCCGAAAATGGACGTACAGTGGGAAAGGGACGAGCATGGGCATACTAACCTTGAATAGGGACTCCAGCTATCACATTTGCTGATGCGTATGTATTCATGGTCTTGTCAAGCTCTCTAACCTCACTCGCCCCCGCTTTCCCTGGATCAACCCATATTCAGCTTGGTGATGCTGGTCAGTCTCTGGCTTCAATTTTCATGTCCACTTATCTAGGATAATGCTCGGCACGAGGACATCGAGATGTAAATGGACCCTTCGACAATTTGGATACCGTTGTCCACATCCACTAGTTTCTGCGATGTCGCAAACCTGAACAGGCTGGAATCTGGATCCATCATAAACCTCCCCATAGTCGACACTGTGGACACCATCAAAGGGCTCAGCCTCTGGACTCATCACAGACACACATAACACATCACTAGTAGTCGTTGGGGCGTGATGGCGTCAGCTTGCAGCTCAAAGGCCAAGGTCGTGATATGGAAAGCTTGAAAGCGACAGGAGAATAACGAGACATGTACAAAGAGAAGGTATAAGACCGCTGTCCTTCTCTCCTCAACAGCTTCTCGACACCATCATCAACCTCATCGTTCCCTTCTAGCAGTATTCCACATCTGCAACTCATCATGGCCCCCTCCAGTCAAGAGATTTACCATGATACCGTGGACAACGCCACACCCAACGTCAATTCCAGATCATCCTCATCCTTCGACCCCAACGACATCTCCATAAATGCTCATCCATGCGACCTTGGCCGTGTTCCCGGCCTCATCGACGACATTGCCTCATACAATTGGGGAGATACTGACTTCTCCACAGACCGCAATGCTCGGATATCCTTGCTGTCCAAGGCTCGATCTCTGATCGCCGCCCTTGAAACCCCAAGAGAGACTCTGCTGAGGCATATTGGTGCGGAGGTATGGCCTCTACATGTCCTGATCTAGTCAAAACCACCACTAACCGACCGTGCAGACCTCCAACTTTTACATCATCGTCATCGGTATCGAAACCAACCTCTTCCACGAAATGGCCAAGAACAACGGCTCTCCCAAGACTGCCACCCGTCTCGCCGAAGCCATCTCCTTCGACCCAGACCTCCTCCGTCGCATTCTCCGCCACCTGGCCTCCATGAACCACATCATCCAAACCGGCGAAGACAAGTACCGGCCCAACAACTTCTCCAAAGCCCTCACCACCTCTCCCCTCGCCGGCTCTTACCAGTTCTATCGGGATGTCTGCCTCCCCGCCATGAGCAACCTACACAAGTGGCTCAAGACCAAATCATACCGATCCCCGACAACCATCATCGACAACCCCTTCACCTTTGGGCACCAGACTTCGCAGACGTTCTTTGAGGTGATTGCTTCGACTGCAAAGAATACCGAACACTTTAATGATCACATGGTCGCCTACTGCCAAGGTCATCCAGCATGGTGCTCTGAAAGTGTTTACCCAGCCGCCGACCGTCTGATCTCGGGCTTTGATCCCACTCCTCTGCCAGACGGCTCCGACCCTGTGATGCTGGTAGACATGGGCGGCAACGTCGGCCATGATCTTCAGACTTTCATCTCCCAACACCCCTCCCACCCCGGCCGGCTAGTGCTACAAGATTTGCCCTCCGTCATTGCCGTCACTCCTCCCTCTCTCACCTCCCCTCTTCCCAACGGGAAGCATATCCAACTCCAAGAACACGACTTCTTCAACTCTCAACCCGTTGTGGGTGCACGAGCGTACTACCTCCATCACATCATGCACGACTGGCCGTACGCCAAGTGTGGTTTAATCTTGGAGCAGATCAAGAAGGTGATGAAACCGGGGTATTCGCGGCTGTTGATCAACGAGCAGGTTATCCCGGAGAGGCGAGCGAGTTGGGAGGCGACGTATTTGGATTTGTACATGATGGTGATGTTTGGGGCCAGGGAGCGAACGGAGAAGGAGTGGAGGCGGATGTTGGAGGATGGATGTGGACTCAAAGTGTTGGGCGTGTATGGGCCCGGGGGAGGGGTGGAGGGGATTATTGAGTGTGAGGTTGCTTTGGAGGAGGGAGAGGGTAGGGAGGAATAGGGCTGGTATGCCTGCGTATGAGGTGTGATGGGTTGGGTGGCTGTTAGGGGGGAAAGGAAGAGCAGGATGGAGCGATAAAGCGGAGGAGAGGAATGATAAGAGGTATCTCTTTCTCCTCCCTCCATGTATGCCCGTTTTGGAACCTGAAATACTTTACCAAGCAAGGTTGGTGAATGACGCTCATAACAACGGAGAGTAGCATGTTCGCGCCCCTCCATATGCTACAACGACGAGGTGGAAGGGAGGTTAAGCAGAAGGCCAAAAATAGAAAGAAAAAAAAATGGTTGAATGGTAGTAAACCCTAACCCTTCCAAGAGGAAGGGGACAGCAAAAATCGATCCACCCAGGGGTCGAACCTGGAACCTCCTGATTCGTAGTCAGACGCTCTGCCATTGAGCCAGCGGACCTTGAATTGTTGAAAACCGGTCTCTAACAAAGGGTTTAAGTTCTGGAGATTTGGAAAGTCAGAAACTGGTGTGTGTGGAAGAAAGACTTTTCCATCCGGGAGTCCCTGTTTCTTTTTTTTTCGGGCTGGCTCCACAGATCTCCATTCAGGGACCGTGTGGAACGGTGGAGCCAAAAGCGGATTCATGCGTCTTTTCCGTTCTGGGACATCCCGTCCCGCAAAACATTGAAGAAAATTTCAGTCTGTCAGAACACCCCATATCCATGAGGATATTTGAACAGAAAAATTGGACACAACAGACATCAAATCACCTCAATACGGTCCGCTGGCTCAATGGCAGAGCGTCTGACTACGAATCAGGAGGTTCCAGGTTCGACCCCTGGGTGGATCGAGGATTATCGGGTAGCAGTACCTGATCTTCTTTATTTTTGTTTTTGTCCTCGGTTCGAGACAGGCACAGGACTTCGTGTTGGCGAGGGACACTCCTTTTTTCCACCACCACACTTCAAGACCGTTCACGAATATTCTTATCACTTTTTTCAATATCAAAAGCTATCAGTGTACCAGTCTTCATGTTCATCCATTACATTCCTAGCTGTAAATGTGCCTGATCTTTCACTACACTTTTCCAACATTAAACCCACCACCAATCTACCTCAACCCGTGCATTACTCTCATCCTCTTCTCCCAACAAGATGATCTCAAAGTAACAAACCGACCCCGACCATAAAACCAGCAACTACTGATCCAAGGATCTCACTACCACCACCGGGAACCACCGCCCCATTAGCAGCAGGCGGCGGCTGACTCGAAGCAGCCGGCACCCCACTCCCACTCGTCACCGTAGAAGTCGACGTCCCGGTACTAGTAACCACCGTCCCCCCACCAGCAACCGGCGTCCCCGTCGCACTCGCCGTCACACCCCCCACTTCCCCAGTCGTAGTCTCCGCACTCCCACTTGTAGCAGCAGCAGGTGTCGACGCAGCAGGTGGTGCCGGAGGAGGCGGCGGCGGCGGCGGCGGAGCACCTTGTCCATAACCATCTGCTCCCCCCGTCACACCCGCTCCCGCCGCCGCCGCGGTAGTAGTAGAAGAATCACCACCATACCAAGCAGCATAATCCGGGTTCTTGATCAGTTCACCACCAAACGGCTTGGAGGGATCAGGCGGGTTCATTTTCTCGAAAGGAAAGTCGCCGCCGGGCTGGGCGGCGGCTTCCCGCGCTGCTTGGTCTTTGTATTGGGCGAGCTGGTCGGGGGAGCCGTTGACGATGCCGATCATGCCTTTGGAGCAGTGGGAGGGGGTGGAGCAGTAGAAGGGGAAGGGGGATGTTGAGCCGATGGTTACGCGGAAGATTGAGGGCTGTTTTTGGGGGGTTAGTTGTGTGTCGAAGAGGGAGGGAAGGGGTTGCGCATGGGGTGTGAGGGGTGAGGGGTGAGGAGAGGTAATGAAGCGAGGATGAAAAGGAAAGAAGAGGGAAAGAGAAGGGGATAAGAAGAGGCAAAAGAAGAGAAAGGTCAATGCGAGGAGAGATGCAGGAGTGGAAATAAGAAGGAGGAGAAGGGAAAAGATGGAAAGGGCAAGACGTACATTCTCCTCATTACTCTTCGCCGGCAAAAACCCCGAGAAAAACGGTCCCTCGATATCCGCCGTCGCAGGCTGGCACGGATGGCCAAAGTAACCCTTGACGACCGAGTGGTTCCTAGGTAGGAAATGGAACTCGAGAGTGTCGCCCTTGTTGGCGGTGATGATCTCCGGGCCAAAGACGAGCCCATCGGCTTTGATGACGATGGTTTCTGCTGTTGCTACCCCCATAAGGGTGCTAGCGAGCATGGAGAGGATCCATGTCGCGAGGTGGTTGTGGGAGGATAACATGAGTGACTGTTGATCTCGATGAGCTGGTAGGTAGGTATGGATTGGGTGGAATGTCTCGCTGAGTGACCGAGGGTGAACGAGTGTCTGGGGTTCAGCTAAAGACAGGACTGGACTGGACTCAGGAGAGACTGGTGAAGGAAGCGAGAGACCTGGAGAGAAAGGGTCCGGTGAAGGGGCGAGCCGGACCTTAAACTACCCGGCGTCAGTCTTTATCCTCCTGATATACTGAAGGGATATGCGGGTTTGTCCTACTTATGAACCCCCTTTCGACGACCTTGCTCATCTGTTCTTTCATCTCGAGTCAAGCTGGCTTAGTTGGCCCTGCAGCGAGCAACAGTGAGTGACGGTGGCACTGCTGGCCGTTTGTATCGTATATGAGGTGACATAAACAACCAACGCCGACATCATAATGGTGCCTTGTTCTCTGTTTACAGGCTGAACTGGGGAACACCTAATCACATGGACTCGTTACGCAGGACCGTCGAGACGTCCCACTGTGGCCAACGGTGTGACTTTGTAGCTGGTAAGTACTTGCACAAAGGAGGCGACCGAGTCTGCGAGTTCACCATGCTTCCCGTCTCTTGGTTGCGCCAAATTGGTATATAATTGACGGGTAGGAGATTTAGTGGGATGTCGGGGGAGATGAGGAGGAAAGCAGGAGTTTGAAAGGAACAGGATACTGGGGGTGTGAGGAAACCTTTGTTTACGAGATGTTAGCAATGAACGTGGAGAAAACAACAGCCGTTTGTCGACTTTGGCCTTTTTTTTTTTTGTATCTTATCCTGAGAGTTTGTTGTTCGAACTAGAAAGCCCAGGATTACCTCCAGGCTTGGAAAGTGTTGGTGATATCGCAAATCCGAGGTTTGCCTCTTTGTCTCGTACCTGCAGTGCCATTGTCTGAACAAAGGACCGAACCCCATCACTGAAACAGTTTCATCCAGGTAACACGGCATGAACCATTCCACAGGTGTTTTCTTGGACAGCATACTTGGCCCTGGCGAGGGAGTGATGTCACACCCAACACAGCGCCCAAGGCAAATTTGCGCTTGTGTTTCCGTGTCTCCAAACGGGCCGTTCACTTCGAGTTACCGAGTCCTATTTCGGCGTCACGGTGCCACAATGGGCGACTGTTCGCATTGGCGAGATGTGTGCCCGTCCGCTGTCTGGTCCTCCATGCCAGGTACTAGGGGCAGACAGCCACCATGGCCATCACCACCGAGCTGCCTAGAGACACAGCCCTTTCCCAAGTCCATGCTTCAGATTATTGAGAGTAAGCTCTGAGCGAAGGAGGCAGGTAGGTATCGGTTGATGCTGAGGAAATGTGATAGGAAGCCATGCTATGGACTCGGGAGTCGGGGCTGGGCTTGTAGATGGATTTATGGGAGCTCTGCTCTGGAGTGAGGTGCGTTTGGACGATGGCTTCGGGTCTGTTTCGGTGTTAGCTGTGGCACATAAGAAAGTGAGAGCTAGAAATTCCAAAGGCGGTGGGTTACCAAGCAGGCCAAACTTTCGTTCTCGGGGCGAAGCCTGGGGGCAGGAAGCCGGTTCTAGCCTTGACGAGTAGAAGTGTGATGTCGACTTGAGGCATCAAATGCATCTGAAGGCTTATAGAAGGCAAAGGGTAGATCGTTTGGTTTTATTGCGGCTGCCATTAGTATAATGTGAGAACTTGCTACCGTTGGGAACTTGTTAGCGACTAGTTACACCACTATCAGCATCCCCGCTAAAACAGTTGTGTCGAAGATAGAGCACCATCTAAGTTGCAATTGTGGATACCCCCTCATCCTCTCCACCACTTCCAACTTAATGACGCGGACTTTAACACCGAAAAACGTCGGCCCTCTGCCAGTTTTAGACTTTGACCATCCCACCACCCTCGCTTGCCGACTTGTCGAAAAGCATTCTCGGAACCAGTCTTTCGCTGGTGCCTGCCAAGACAAGGACATCAGCCGCCATCGGACAACCTGCGCATGTTTTCTCCCTTTCGTCGCATTCTTTCCCGTGTCCGCAATATGCACCCCGGATTCCCTTCCGAACCGGCAGATCAACGACGTCGTCCCTGGCGAGCTACAAAGTGGCCAGACCATTGCGGAACGTATAGACGGCCGCTGCTATAGGCGCGCGAACCAACAACGTCCTTGATGCCATGCCCCGCTGGCTAAACGAAGCTGTCCGGTTCACAAACAATGGATCCGCCAGCCGGGTGATATAACAAGATGACAGCCGGCCTCGACGAGCAATATACAACACTCTCCCGCCTCGCCCGATCCATCTTCTGACCGGTGGACAAATTCTCTCGAGTGCTTCTTGGCACGAAATGTCACCATGGAGGACGCGTGGTCTGCCCGGAATCCGGAGTCAACGTAGCAACACGCAACCGAATGCTGCCTTTCGAGATGCGCCGATACAACGGGGACGGATGAGAAGAGGCTCCGATGGGATGACAGGGCTTATATAAGGATGGAAGATCCGGATAGTCCCCATGTTCAGTCTGCTCGTCAGTTCCGCAACCACCGCCCGTTCGCCAACATGAAGTCCTCGTACCTGTTGGCCAGCCTTGCCTTGGGGTCCACCACCCTCGCAAGGCTGATTCCTCGCGCGGAGCTCGATAGCAGACAGTGGACGTGTCGCTGGACTGGTCACTGCCTTGGTATGGCCCATCATCCTCTAAAACACTCCTCCTGGTACTGACATCCAACAGGCGATGATTGCGAGACAAACCGAGACTGTGATGGCGACCTCGTCTGCCGCAACTACGAGTGCGCAAACCCCGGGAGCCCCGTCAAGCCGACCACCACGCGCAAGACCACAGCTCATCCCACAAACACGGCACCTCCAGGCTGCGTCTGGCCAGGACATTGCTTGGGTACGTCCCCCCTTCACCCTTCGACAACTCACCTTCTTCCAGCTACTAACAGCCTTCCTTCCAGGCGACCCATGTGAAACCGAAAATGACTGCGACGCCGATTGGATCTGCATTGCAGGCAAGTGCGCTACCATCCGTCCTCCTGTGCCGCCTACTACGACTACTCGAATTGTGCCTCCTCCGATTACCACCACCACTCGGCCTGTGCCTCCCCCGATCACCACTACTACGATGACTACGAGCAAACCGATCACCGTACCGGTGCCTACTACTACGAGCAAGCCGCCCACGAACCCGGGAAATCCTAGCTGTGGGGATAATCCGTTGGCTTGTATTGGTATGTCGAAGCTGTTGCGTTTTGCCTTGACGAAGAGTAGCTAATCAAGGGTGGTGAACAGGCTCCCCGTGCTCGACTGATGCGGACTGCAAGTTTGACTTGATAATTTGCCAGAATGGTGTTTGCGGACTCTAAAACGTGGTATCATATTGTTGCTGGTGGAGTGAAAAAACGAACATCTATCCAAAACCTTTCCTTTTCGGATCCAATAACTATTTTCCCAGATTCACAAATCATATCCTCTACCACCTCCTTGCCGTCGACGCGTCCTGTCTATCCTCTCCTGTCACCGTAATCTCATGCGTAACAATAATGCCGTTTTGCTTCCCCTTCTTCCCACTCCCTCCCGAGGTCTGTGGCTCAATCAGTCCCGATCTCCTCTCCACGGACGTCGTCGTTTTATGCCCTACTCCACTGCCCTGCGGCATCACACCCGTCGTAGCAATATCCCTACTGCTCGCCGTCGAGCTCCTACTTCCTCCCACAGCCTTGCCATCATCCGAACTCACAATATTCTCTTCACTACCCCATATCGTATCGTTTGGAAGCGTCAACGGGTGTCTGCTACCCTTGCTAATCACAACCCTGCTCCTCGGCTCTCCCTTCCCTAGGTGACTGCCGGGATTACTACCCAGCGGATATCCATGCTGTCCCGATACACCACCCTGGTGGTTCCCCGATGTCCCTCCGCTCAGCGAGATGATGCTCTTCTCCAAAAACCTCTTGACCAACGGATAAACCATGGGCATATTCGTCAACACAAAACTGACAAAGCTCTCCCTCACAGACCAATACCCGCTCTGCGCCGGATCCGTATTCCCCAGTGTCAGAATACTCACACACCTCAGAATCCCAAACGCCATCTCGACAAACCCGCCCGAGAACATCAGCAACAAAAAGAACTTCTTCCTCCACGTGAGATTACTCTTCCACACCATCGGCAACGGAATCGCCAGCAGGTAAAAATCCGTCACCGTGTTCATCACCATCACAAACACCGTCTGCAACAAGCTCACCGCCGGCATGCAATTGTTGCCCGGATCCGGGTATATCTGCCACTGCTTCTCAAACGGCACGCACTTGAACACGGCCACGCACACGCACGCCATGTACGACGCCGGCATGATGATGTACGCGCCGATGATCCAGTTGCGCATGTTGTGCACGCCGACGGTCAGGCGGGCGTAGTAGACGGACCAGCACGCTTTGAGGAGCCAGAGAAGCGTGGTGTAGAGGAGGAGGCCGGCTACGTGCGTTTTGGAGCCGAGGATGCGGAGCCGGTATTCTTCGCTTTGGGGGGAGAGAAGGGCGCGTTGGGTGTCGGTCATGGCGTTGTTGGCTAGGCCGTGGAAGGTGGTGACGAGGAAGTAGGCGGCCGTTGTTTCGGCTGTGTAGATGAGCTGCTGGGGTGTTAGCCTGGGCCCCTTCTCTCGGAAAAGAAGAAGACTCACCAAAGCGGCAAACATAAAAAAGTCATCCAACGCCAACTTTCGCCATCCTAGCTGGCGGATTCTGCTGAAATATCGGAGGATAACGACGATGTAGGCCGCGAATTGCAGACCCCAGGCTTCGCGGACGAACCGAGCGGCTTCGGCTTTTACTTCATCGGGTGTTCTAGAGATAATGTCCATGATTGTGGCTGTCTCCAGGAAGGCTGGTGTGTAGAAAACCTGTGGACAAGATCTGTCTGTGTGCCGGAAAGCAGTGGAGGGGAGTGACAGAAACACTGCCTCAGCAACAGCACATCGATGGATCTTGGTAAGGTAGATGTCGGCCCACAGAGAGTGATGGAAACTGGGAAGGTCTGACAACCTCACATCCAGCAGAAAAAAAAAAAAAAACGAAGGAGTGGAAACGAACGAACGAACGTACTTGTTGGTGTTCTGTTCTGTTCTGGTTCTGGAAAGAAACGAGGGACGAGGGAAAGACGCTCGACCTTTGATCTACCCGACGGGCTGGATCCTTCTCCCCTATGTACAACTATCCAAGGGGCAAAAGCACGACAGTTGGAATCTAGATCTACTGCAACTGTCTTTCATCTCCTTTTCTCTACGCTTCATCTGGGTCTCTGGGGCTCTGCCTAGTGGCTAGGTACCTCTAGGTAGCGAGTTGCCTGCCGGCCGCGGAGTTACAATTATTACCTACCTGTCTACGACCTACGAAGAAGTTGCCTCTTCAGCTAATAACCAGAAGCTGACTCGAGTGAGACTAGGTAGAGGTTGTGTTTAAAAAAGAAAGAGCGAGTGGCCATGGCATCTGTATCCCGGCTGCTCCATATCTCTAGTGTACTGGGCGCGGCGGTTCTTCGCCAACGCCTTGTTGTCCCTGATTCCCCCTGAGTTAAACCGGAAACCGTTAAACCCCAAGGTTTAAGGGTACGAATTACGAAACCGTTCATGTCGCTTCCTCGTGTAGGCACATCTCTTGTCATCTTCACAGTAGCCTGCTTCTTCGAGGGGCTGAGGACTGGAGGATGGTTGCAACCCGGGACCCCCGCCGGTAGTAGAACTGTGGATTTGGGATTTCAGCGTTGGATGCAGCATCCAGAACATCCTAGGCAAGTGAGGTGCCTTTTTACCCATCCATCACAGTTGCAGTTCATGTCTCAAGAGATCTTTCTTCCTCAGTATGACCCAGCGCAGCGCGATTGTGAAAGCCCACATTGATTGACTGAGAGGTTACCTAGTGGATACCTAGGCAAGTCCAGTCTCGAGCCATGCAAGAAGAGGGAGGCCCTTCGAGATCGATGAGTAAAGGTAGACAGACAACTGGCAGGAATCCAGAACATTAGAGGTAGGAATGGAACAGGAAGAGACAGACCTCGTCCACCTCTCTACAAAATCCATGTCAGCCCTTCCGGCCGGCATCTAACCAGACCCTGCCATGCCTGCCATGCCTGCCTGGCAGCCAAGCGCCGTTACGAGCCAACAAGGGCCCTGGGCCCGGGGCCCGGGGCCAAAGAGCCGAGCGGCTGACTGGACGTTTAACGGGCACTAGGTCGGTTTAATGTCGATCTTCTCAACCTTAAACTGCATCTGACACAGTGGGACCGGGGAAGGCACCGGGAGCAGGGGGCCAGGGGCAGGGGAGGGGAGGGGAGGGTGAGGGCCAAGCAGGTGATTTGGAATTTGCGAATGTTTTGTTTAGGCTCCATATCAAAAGTCAGGACGGACCACTCTGGTTGGTTTATGCTGGCTTTAGGAAGGCTAGGCTCTTGACAAAAACGAACTGGAGAAACTGGAGAATAAGAAACGAACTGTTCATCTCCGAGCACATGCATGGAGTTCACCCCCAGGGCAGACCCCAGGAATAACGGAGATATTCTGTGAAGAAGCTTTGCTCAAGCGATGGAGAGAGGAGGAGGAGGAGGAGGAGAGCTGAGAATGCAGTTTTGCTTTTAGCTGTACAGAACAGGAATGGAGGGAACTGTGTTCTTTCATGAGGGCTGCATTCTTCTAGCCAATGGTATTCTATTGTCTGGAAGTCTTTTGAGAGACAAAGAAGTGGCACACTCTAAAAGGGAGAGATGGGCATAAACGGGGGGGGACGAAAAAGAAAGGAAAGAATAGTGGCTGGACTTCTTTGTGTGGTCCTGAACTGTCAGTCGGACATTGTGATAAACCGTCATTTCAACGGCTGGAGGCTGGATCAGTCTTGTCAGGGTCTGAGACATCAAGACCCTCGAGGTTATCAGGGGGAAAGATGCACGATGCGCAGGTGGCTGAATCAACGGTGAACCGACAGCCGAACGGGCGTTCACGATTCTACAGGTGTGTCTCAGTTGGCCACTGGTGTCTCGTATCGATATCTAGCGTTCGTAACAGTGCAGGACTTTCTTTCCCTTTTCGGGGGAGGCAAAAGCAAAACGAACCATGACAGTTGCATAGAAGCGAGTAAAGCTGAACAATAGTTTCGTTCGCTTCCATCTTCTTGGGACAATCCTCATGCATGTTCTGATATGGAATTCCGTGAACTGTGTTCGAATGCTCTGAACTGTGTTCTCTGTTCAGACGTTGAAGAAAAAAGAAAAAAAAGGCCACGCGTCTGGACACGCAGAAAGACGGATGGTACGACGCAAGATACGATCTGTCATCTAATGATCTTTCATCTCGCTCGCGTGGGAGGGAAGGGAGACTTTTTTGTTCGATGTCTCAGTTTCAACATCAGCAAAAAGGTCCTTTTCTTTCGGGGGGCCAGATGAGGATGAGATTGAAGACAGAAAACCTAGAGAAGTTGGAAGTTGAACCAGATATCGTCTGTGCTGCTGTCATGGTTCACGTCTCCCACCTCCATATCCGCCAAACTCCTCTTCTTCAGCAACGCCAACAGAGACGGAGCGGTCTCCAGTGGGCGAGTCCAGGCACGGAGTTCTCTTCCGCCCCCCTCTCTCTTTCCTTCTCTTTCATCCCTTTTTCTCATTGGGCCCCCCTGAGGGTCCCTGACCCGGCAAAGAATTTCCCTTGCCGAATGCGATACGATCGACAGGGCCCGGGGTCCCCCAGCCAAGGCCCAGCCAACGGTTTGCAGCCAACGGCCACACGCTAAAGAATGCCGAGGAAAGCCTAGCCATGCCCTGTAACGTTAAATCCACAAGCTTGCGAGGTCCGCTAGAGACTGATCAGCCATTTCCTTTTCTCCTCTGGGAAAAGCTCCGTATGGGGTAGCATAAGGCTGGGCACGCCCTGCTTGGCGAGCTTGGACAGCCCGAGAGGGGGTGATGGCGCCTCTGGATACGCATCTTCATGCGGAAACGATGCGGAACAGACGGCACAGGACGGGCATGATGGAGACGATGGAGAATCAGGGATTGACAGCATCCACAGTGAACGTCTTGTGTCCGTCTTTCGTATCTGGGGAAGTGGAGGCTGTCACATGCACGGAATTAAGACAACGACAATGAAAGAATGACTTGGAGATGGGAAGGAATATCCTGGGGAAGGAAAGCAAAAGGAGCGGTCTGATTTTGGCCAAGTTTTGGAGACAACATGAACGAAGGAGGCCAGAACTGAAAAGAAAAGAAAAGAGCAAGGCCAACTCGGCGATTTTCTAGAATCAAGGTCCACGGCAGTGGCTGTTGGTCGTACAGACAGTACAGTGCAGCCGAATATTGAGCCTGGTTAGAAAATGCTACCACGACTTGCCGTCCGCCAATCAGCATCAACACGGTTGTATCAGGGTACGACCGTGCTATCGAATCGTACCATCGCAGCAACTGAACTGGCAGTTGGTACAGTGAGGAAGAACAGTGCAAGCTTGCTGGTCACCACCACCACCAAATTTGCCAGGGCATCATCACTACCTCACTATCTTATGTAGACGATCATGACTTACGACCGCCGTCAAAATGCTCGCGGGATGTGGGACATACACCCAGAAAAGAGGCGTAGGTAGCCCAGGTAAAGGAGTGACGGTGAATTCAGCCCTCCTCCAGGCTTCACCCTGACGGTCATTATCTTGTTGCTTTCTGTGAGTGGCTATTGGCGATGGTGGTGCGTCTCAGTTACCCATTCCGGTTTGGCCTCAGGAGAAGAGTTGCCCAAGTTCGTTCAGGAGAGGGCAGCATTCCAAGGAATCGAGGCGGGCCGACTATCAAGTCGACTATCAGAGCCTGGGGTTGCCTTGTTAATCTCGAATATGCTGATGGCTCCCCCATTTGGCGTTCCTCCTGATGTGGAAATGTGATTGTGGACATCACCATCGTTCTGGAAGATGGATCAACCGCTTTGATGCTCAAGTGACGACGAGGAGGATGACTTAAAAGAGCTCTGTCACTCGCCTTTCCCAGGTCGAATCCTACCTTCTTTCCTCCAAGCTCTCATCACGATCGTTCTTAATCTTAATACCCAGTAAACATGTCTTCCGTTACCACCAACGGCCATGCCAATGGCATCAATGGCACCAACGGCGTCAAGCCCCAAAAGTCCAATGTTGATGTGTAAGAGCACCACCACCCTCTGGAGTCCAACATACACTAACCCATACCAGACTAATCGTCGGTGCCGGCCCAGCAGGCCTCATGGCCGCCGCCTGGATGGCTCACTGCGGCATCAACGCGCGCATCGTCGACAAGCGCAACACCAAGATCTTCACCGGCCAAGCCGACGGCCTCAACTCCCGAACCATTGAGATCTTTGAAAGCCTGGGCTTTGCCGACCGCGTGTGGAAGGAATCCAACCATATGCAGGAGATCTGCATGTGGAATCCCAACGCCGAGGGCATTATCCACCGCTCGGACCGCATCCCCGACACCGTCATCGGCATCTCGCGCTTCCAGCAGTGCGTGCTCAACCAGGGTCGCATCGAGCGCTGGTTCACCGACAACATCAAGAAGTACTCCAACAACACCATCTCGGTCGAGCGCGGCGTCCTGCCCGAGTCGCTGGTGATTGACGAGTCCAAGGTCGAAGACGACGACGCCTACCCCGTCACCGTCACCCTCCGTACCTTGACAGACGAGGAAGCCACGCCCGTGCAAGCCGCCACGGCCTCCAAGTCTGCGGTGTCTGACGGTCTCTTCCGGAGCAACCTGATGCAAGAAGACGACGAAGCCGGTCTCCTCCGCAAGGCCCAGTCCCGGCCCGGCACCGAGGAAATCGTACACGCCAAGTACGTCATCGGGTGCGACGGCGCCCGCTCGTGGACGCGCCGCGCGCTGGGTCTGGAGCTGGAGGGCGAGGCAACCGATTACATCTGGGGCGTGATGGACCTCATCCCCATCACGGACTTCCCCGACATCCGCCACCGGTGCGCCGTGCACTCGGCCGAGAACGGGTCGCTGATGGTCATCCCGCGCGAGAACCGCATGGTGCGGCTGTACATCCAGCTCAAAGAAGTCGTTCCCGACGCCTCGGGACGCGCCGACCGGTCCAAGATCACGCCCGACTTGATCTTCCGCGCCGCGCAAAAGATTATCGCGCCGTACAAGCTCGACTACGAGTACTGCGACTGGTGGACGGCGTACCAGATCGGCCAGCGCGTCGGCAACAGCTTCGCTGACGTGCACAACCGCGTTTTCTTGGCGGGAGACGCCGTGCACACGCACTCGCCCAAGGCCGGGCAGGGCATGAACGTCTCGATGCAGGACACCTTCAACCTCGGGTGGAAGCTGGCCCTCGTCCTCAAGGGCATCTGCAAGCGCGACATCCTGGCCACCTACCAGAGCGAGCGCCGCCGCATTGCGCAAGATCTGATTGACTTCGACCACAAGTTCTCCCGCCTCTTTTCTGGCCGCCCGGCCAAGGACATGATGGATGCCGAGGGCATCGACATGGAGGAGTTCAAGCGCGCCTTTATGCGCGGCAACGAGTTTGCCTCGGGCATGCAGGTCGACTACGGGCCGAGCAATCTCGTCGTCAAGCCAGGCGATTGGCGCGAGCAGGGCGACAGAAGCGAGAAGAGCGCTAAGCTGCTCACCGAAGCCAAGATCAGCGACGACAAGTTCGCAAAGAAGCAAGCACTGGCCACGGAGATCCCCGTCGGCAAGCGTCTAGCTTCCTTCAAGGTCCTCAGCCAGGCGGACGCCAGGCCGTGGCACGTCCAGGAGCGGTTGAAAGCCGATGGCAGGTTCCGCATCGTGCTGTTCGCTGGTAACATCCTCTCGCCGCAGCAGAAGGCGCGGGTGGACAGGTTCTGCGCCAAGTTGGACTCGCCGGAGAGCTTCCTGCGGAGGATCACGCCTGCGGACAAGGCTATTGACAGCGTCATTGATATCTTGACGATCCACTCCAGCCCGAGAAGGGAGACGGAGCTGCTGAGGGACTTCCCGGCTATTTTGCATCCGTTTGATCAGCATCTGGGCTGGGATTACACAAAGGTGTATGTGGACGATGTCAGTTACCATGAAGGGTTTGGGGATGCTTACAAGAACTATGGCGTAGATAAGGAGAGGGGATGTGTGGTGGTGGTGAGGCCGGATCAGTATGTTGCGTGGGTGGGTGATATTGATGACTTTGAGGATTTGGAGAACTACTTTGAGGGGTGCTTGAGGTTGCCTGCTGTGGGTGCTGCGCAGGATATAAGCATTGTGACGGAGACTGTCAGCAGCGTGACTAGCAAGGTGGCTGGGGAGGTTAAGCTGGCCGTGAGGTCGGTGGTGGAGTAGGGAGGTCATTGAGAAGGACGATTTGATGAAGAGAGAGCATACCCTATAGTAGAGTTAGATCAATGAACAAGAATTTGAACAATTACCTGCATCATCCAATAGCATTAGGCATGCCCACTGCTTTGACATTGGGGAATGAAGTCTGATCCTCGATGTTGTCGTTTCATGGTCCAATCGGGAGCAAGTATGACCACGGGCATTTGTCCCGGGCCGTGACCCAAACGTGCGGTTCGTTAAACAGATCCACGACCAGGATGAAGCCTCGAAAAGATGAGATGAGACGAGGCGAGAACTCTCGGACCTCCATGTATCGTCACCATGACATAGCATGATAGAAGCCGAGAAGATACCTGAGCAACCCGTACATATACCGAACAACATACCTGAGGCTTGTTTCTCCATGGTTGCCGTGCCTGTATTGTCGATTGGTGTTTTGTCCCTTCTTTCCACACATATACCCAACATGGGACACGCCTATCCAACAGGAGTGGAACCGGCAGAAGCGAAACGCTTCATCAAAGAATGCTGGACCCTTCAAGGTGTAGCCTACGTGGTGATTGGGGTTCGATATTTCAGTAGGATCCGGCAATTGGGATGGCACAAGCTCGCGCTAGACGACGGTTTTATGTTGTTGGCTTTAGTGAGTTCCCTTGGCTTCAATTTGTTACTTCGCCTTGCTCGGGGCGGACATGAAGCTTACTTCTCGCCTTCCCGGCATCCAGTTCGTCTACACAGCCGAGAGCGTCATGCCTCACCTCTTCGTTTCCTGGTGTCATGGGTTAGCAAACAACGGCATGACAGAAGAGCAACGAGCTACGATAAACCCAGACTCCGAGGAGTACAGACTGCGAGTTAACGGATCCAAGATAAACGTCGCCGGCCTTCTTTTGTACACGACCCTTCTTTGGCTTCTTAAAGCTTGTTGGTCGGTGTATTATGCACGCCTAACGTGAGTGTCAGCCTTTGAACATTCATCTTAGCGTGGATAGGAAGAAACTGACCCGGTAGATATAAAACAGAGCCGGAATCTACTATATGCGCCGCTGGATCATCGGCGCCTATATTCTCATGCCTCTGACCTACATCGCCTGTGTGTGCGTCGCCTTACTCCAATGTATCCCCCCTTCCCGGCAGTGGCAGATCTACCCCGACCCGGGCAACCACTGCCAACCGGCGATATCAGTTCTGCAGACGGTTTTCGTCATGATAATGAACACCGCCACGGACTTTTACCTTCTCGGTATCCCCCTGCCTATACTCTGGAAGTCGAATCTGCCCTGGACGAAGAAATTGGTGCTGTTGGTCATGTTCAGTGGCGGATTTATCGAAATGGCATTTGGGATTATGCGGTGTGTTAGTATTTTAACTGTGAGTTGGGTCCCTGGACATTACGAAGGATAGACGGCAAACTGACTCCCTCAAGAGGGGAAACAGGGACCCCGCACAAACAGGCTACTGGTCCGTCCGCGAATCCTTCGTCTCCTTCGTCCTGACCAACATGCCCATGATCTACCCGCTTCTCAGGCGGTTGATGGATCACGTCGTCTACTCCCTCGGTGGTTGGGTAGATCACGTCGTCTACTACCTCGGCGGCTGGTCACGCCAAAGCAGGACAAAGAATGGGGGCACCACCACCACCAACAAAAAAAACATCAGCATCAAACCCAACGGATTCATGCTCACCCCGCAAAGATCTCCATATCCCATCGACAGCCCCATGTTCAGCCCAACCTACTCGGGTGAATCACGCGGAGTGACCGGTAGACCGGGTCCCATTCCCGATCCGCTCTTCCCGATACCCGGCAGCGATCTGGAGACCTTCTGGGTAAGCACGACAAGCGAGGAGACCGGCACCGGACCACCAGGTAGTTCTAGAGACTCTAGGCAGACTTCACACGCGACGGTTGGGAGTCAAAGCGGGATGGTGAGTTATCAGTCGAACTGCGACAGTCCTACTCGGAGTAGAAACGACTGTCGTCAGACGATGCAGACAGCGCATGGACCATACTTTGGGATTGTGACGTCGGTGGAGAGTTCAGGGATGATTGCGGAGCAGCCGCATCATGGTTGGTGCTCGGGTGAGAGTAGTAGTAGTTCGGACAACGGTACGGCGGGAGGTGCAGGGGGGATTATGGTTACGAGGGAGGTTGGTGTTGTGATAGAGGAGGGGGTGTGCCCCCCTAGGCCGGATACACCTGGGTTACCACCGCCGGCTGAGCTGTGGGGATGGGGGGACTTCCACTTGGGGTATTGATGCATTGTTGAAACGAGAACGGATGGATTGGGTTATGCATATGTTGCTTGTGCTGGGTTTAGGTACGGTGGAATGGGGATTGAGATGTGAACGTTGAACATACCTGTACCCAACATATCTCGCGTGTTGTTCAGTTCCCAAGCTATCTGGAGACATGAACAGCGCCCGGTAGTTGGAGGACTGTCCCGTGAATGCCCATTGTCTTCTTGGACCAACCGGAAAGTAGCCCGTCTTCCGGTGTTCTTGTCGAACACTGAACAAGGCTTATTGTCCTCCAGCCTTACCCGGAGGCTACCTGGAAGACGAATAGGATGCTTCCCCGGCAGTGTTCTCGAAGCCGGGTACAAGTCCATTGTCCCGGAAGGGTGTAGCCGATGGGAGCCTTTGTCCCGTTGTTCTCTCCCAAGTTTTGGCGGAGGTTAATCGAGAGCCTATCGATCTGGGTGTCGTAGATGGTCTTCTTTGTTCAGCTTTTCTGTAAGTGATATCTGATATTGGGAATGGGGGCATCTCGACGAGTGTCGAAAAGGTATAAGTATCGGTGTTGGGATCATCCAAGTTTGTTCGATTCCTGTCATCAGCATCAGCAGAAACATCAGCAGCAAACACTTAAGAACAACAAGACTTGAAGTCCAAGTAAGCTTCTCACCAACCAGCAACACGTCAAGCCACACCCGCTTCCACCAACCAACCAACCGTTCGGGTACCGCTCCCGAACCACCAACCGTACGTATCATCATGTGTTTCACCACCACTTCCACCACGTGCACCAAGCGCACCTTCACCTCTATCGAGGACGAAGACTCTTGTGCCCCTCAGGCAACCAAGCGCATCTGCCTGCCCATCCACAAACCCACCCACATCGGTCCTCTCACCCTCAACTCCCCTCCCAAATTCGCTCCCATGCGTCCCCTCCCGTCTATCTGGCCCTGGAACATCATGGACGCAGCCACTGACCTCGACGCAGATGCCCCCATCCCCCCTCCGGCCTCCATCGCCTCCCGCATCCCGCCCTTCCACACCCACGGCTCTTCGCACTGCGGCAACCACGCCCACGAGCACTCCTTCCCTTCAGGCAAGAAGTTCAACAAAAACAAACGAGTAGGTACTCTCTGCTCCTTTTGCTTTGGTCCGTATAAGCAGGGTGACCTCCACCAGCTTCCCTGCGGCCATTTCACTTGTTTGTCGTGCTTGGAAGAGAGGGTGAGACAGATCCCTACGTTTATGGCTGTTAACGCTGGGCTGATTAATCAGACCGTCACCAAGCTGCGCGAAATCATGGATTATCTCGGTATCATCACCGAGACCGATGGTCTGGCTGCGACAGTTAGGCAGTACTGGATCGAGGAGTTTGCTACCCTCCGCCAGGAGCTGGCGATCCTGACTAACTTGTCTTGCTCCTATTGCCTGGTGCATATCCAGCCGTCCCGGTTTATGACTTGTTTGTCGCCGGAGATGTCAAAGGTATTGTGGTTGACGGAGGAGTGGCTGGCTGATGAGGAGCCGGAGGATAGGATGGTGTGTGGATGGCCGGATTGTAGGGGGTATGTGCCTAGTTGGTGTGGCTACCTCTTTGCTGGGGAGAGGGAGGTGAGCGAGGCGGAGGATGCGGAGGGGAGGAGGTGGTGGTGTCCGAGTTGCAAGGGGAATTGTTTCGAGACGGAGGAGGGGTTGAACCCGGGGAGGTAAGATGTCGTGGAAGGAGGAGTGTAAGAGTACGAGGAGGATGGTCGAGCTTTCGTTTTCTTGTGTATGGAGTTGGCTTTGTGGGATTTCTTCAAGGTTTCCTAGAGTGTGTCGTAATTGCTAGTTAGAAAATGCAGAAAATCGAAAGAAAAAAATGGAAGACAAAATGCGCAAACAGGTTCGATGTTCGTGAATAATGTACTTGGATCTCGAGACAACGTCAGCGTCGTTGATCCTGATGCGAATAAGATGTGATTTTATCTGTGTCAGTGAGAAACAAGCGCCAATTCTGTTAGTGACATAACAGTTATAGCTCAAACGACGCGGACGGGCAATGGGTTTTGTGCCGTCCCTCTCCGGGCGGACGTCGGATTCTGGCTCGCGCGCGCAATCGGTTGATGGTAAACGGCTCGTCGACGGCAGAGTATGTAGCTAGCTATTGGAGATGGAGGGCTCAGCATATTCGAAAAGAGGTCGAAGGTGTGAACGAGAAAGATTCTTCAGTTGCTCCTAGCAAACGGAGAAGGGAAGCAGAATGGAGGACGCCCTAGAAAGCGGCCCGAGCGCCACCACGGCTTCAGTTTGCTGCGGCAGTCCCCGCCAACAGGAACTCCTTCCCGTCCGCAACATCATTCCACTTTCCGTTTTCTTCAACCTCCATCATGAGGAAGACATCTTTTGATCAAGGACAAGCAAATTCAAATGTCTGCTTTCCAACCACCCGCATCCAATCCTCAAACCTCTCGCAGTTCATTCCCCCATCACCCTCCCCGCACCTTTTTCAACCTCCATCACTGTCGCACCCGGCACTTGAGGAAGACACCTTTTGATCAAGAACAAGTAAATTCAAACTCTATCCAATGCCTGCGTTCTAACCAAGCTCTAGGTACCCCGGCAATCCTACCACCACCGCTCAATCAAAAACATCAGTAGCATACCTCTCATTCCTCACCCCCTCAAACCACTTCAACGCCCTCTCCTCACTAACCTCCACCTCCTCCACCTTGAGTCCGTGCAATTTCAACCCCTCCACCAACCCTTCCAACTTCTCCAGCTCACCCTTCTCCCTCGCCTCCACAATCATCTTCTGCCTCTCCACCGCAATCCTCACCACCACCTTCTTCACACTCTCCCCGACCTCCCTGCTTCCACAGACATACACCTTCGCGCCTCTATCCCACAGCCCCGCCAATTCCTCCCGATCCTCCCAGATGCGATCGCCAACGTACTTGCACCCCTTCGTCTCTTCACTGTCGGGACAGCGGCTGAAAGCCCTTCGAACCGACACGGCACCGATGGATTCCCACTTGTCGAACTCGTCACGGTACAAGTCGTCCTGGTCCGGGTGGCGACACCCGTAGAACAGCACGGCGGGCGCCAGGGAGCGACCAGCAGCGATCTGCGCCGCGCGTTCCTGCACAAAACCGCGGAAGGGAGCGAGGCCGGAGCCGGCGGCGACCATGATCAGGGGGGTTTTGTCTGCGTCTACCGGCAGATGGAAGGCCTTGTGGCTGGGGCGGACGGAGACGTTGAGCTTGTCGCCTGCCTCCAAGCTGGCCAAGTAACTGGTAGCCACGCCGAGGTGTTTCTTGTCTGGGTTTGACAAGGAAGGGGTTTCGAGGATGGAGTAGGTCAAGGTAACGTGGGACCGGTTCCAAAGGGGAGACGAGGAGATGGAGTACTGGCGCACGCGCATGGGCGGCAGCAAAGAGAGGAAGGAGGAGAAGGGGAGCGGGATGGCAGGGAATTGCTCGAGGAGGTCGAGGATGGAGACGCGGCGGGAGGTGATCTTCTCGGTGTAATCGGGTCCCGCCAACTGGCGGAGTGTGGCCTTGGTCTCGGCGTCGTCGGCGGCTTCGGCGAGAGCGAGGATGTTCTTCTTGGTAGCCGGCTGGGAGAGCTCGACGTAGGCGCCTAGGACGTCGTACACGGGTACGGGGACGCCCGTGGGAAGGGTGGTGGTCTGCCGGGACGCCTCGATGGTGATGTTGGTGTCCCATGCCAGCTGGAAGCGGCGCATGACGCGGTTGACCGTCTCCTTGGGGTTGATGGGCAGGACGGCGAGGTAGTCGCCAGCGCGGTAGGCGCCCGAGTCGCTGGAGAGCTGCATCTCGATGTGGCGCTTGGGAGGAGCACCAGGGGCGGTGATGGTCTTGGCGTCGACTACGACAGCCTCCTGGACGTCTTGCCTCAAAGTGGAAGAGCGAGGCTTGGAGAAGTTGACGGTTATGCCGGATTGAAACAAAGCCTCGGTGTCATCCTCCTTGCTGACTTGGTACTTCTCTTCCATAGCAGGCCAGAACACCTCGTCCTCCCACTGCTCGAAATCGGTGAACATCTCGCCCTTGGCAGCGTCAGCCAGACCGAGGGAGCAGATGCGGTCACCGCCGCGCTCCGAGACGGTGTTGTCGACGAGCTTGGGAATGCGATGGAAGGTCTGCGCCCAGTCGTGATGACCGCAGCCGAAGACGGCATACTGAACGCCCTCAAGCTCGTTACCAGTCAGGCTCTCGAGCCAGCCGACGAACAAAGCAGCATTGTCAGGAGGCTGACCCTCGTAGGAGGCAGTGATGAAGATCACCGGCCTGTCCTTGGGCAGGTTCTGGTTGGCCGCATCCAAAGAGTCGACAATAGTAGCCGTGAACCCGTGCGCCTCAGCGTCGGTGGCAAGGCGCTGAGCAAACGTCTCGCAAGTACCCGTGTTGGAACCATAGTAAATGCTGATGGGCTTACCCTCTCCGCTCTTCTTGGGCTGACCAGACACGTGTCCCTGGGTACTAGGCTTGGGAGCGACGAGCTCACCCTTCAGACGGCGCTCCAGGTCAAGAGCAGACATACCATCGCGGAGCATGGCGCGCATGTAGAAGTCCTTGGGTTTGGTGGTCAACGTCTGCTTGTACTGGAGGGTATAGTTGGGATCCTCCGGCATGAAGTTGAAGTTCTGCAGGCAAATGGCCATGACCAGCAAAGCCTCCTGCCACGCGAACGGACGACCAATGCAAGCGCGCATGCCGTTGCCAAAGGGCTTCCAGAAATCGGGGAACTCCTTGTTCAGACGCTCAAAGTTCTCGTCCAGCATGCGCTCGGGCAAAAAGTCGTGGGCGGTGTCGCCAAAGACGGCAGGGTCGAGGTGGGACTTGGAGAAGAGCAGGGCGAAGGGCTGGCCCTTGGGGATCTCGTACTTGCCGCCGATGATGGTGTCCTCCTTGGACTCGACGCCGATCATGGGGATGGTGGGCGAGAGACGGAGGGTCTCGCGCAGGACGGCGGCGATGTAGGGCAGCTTGTTCATGTGCTCGAGCTTCACGGGGCCCTTGCCGCACACGTCGTCGACTTCCTTCTGGGCCTTGCGGTAGGTCTCGGGGTTCTTGAGCAGCTGGTAGAAGGCGAAGCTCAAGAGACCCGAGGTGGTTTCGTGGCCGGCGATCAAAAAGGTGATGAGGTTGTCGATGATGCTGTCGTCGCTCAGCTTCTGGCCCGTCTTGGGGTCGACGCCGTCCAACATGGCCGTCAACAGATCCTTGCGCTCGGAGGGGTGTTCCTTTCGGGACTTGAGCACGCCCTCGGCGGTTTCACGGAGAACCTTGATGTCCTCGTGGAACTTGCGGTCGACCTTGCTGTACATGAAGCCGGGAAGGGGCGCGCGTCGGGAGCGAGTGCCGGACTCGATCAGGAAGCTGGCCATGGCGTCGACAAAGGGGTGCATCTCGTCGTGGTAGTACGAGTTGAAGCGGTAGTCCATGGAGCACAGGGCGATGGTGTCGAGGGTCAGGCGGGTGAAGTCGTCGGTGACCTTGATGGCCTGGTTGGAGCCGTGGCGGGCCCACTTGAGGGCGAGCTGGCTGGCGATCTCGTGCATCTCGGGGAACATGTTCTGGATGGCCATGGGGCCGAAGGCAGGCATGAGGATTCGGTGGGCGATGCCCCAGTTGGGCTCGTCGATGCGGGCGGTGAAAAGACCATCGTGGATGCCGTGTCGGACTTCGTTGAGGGCGGAGCTGACGGTCTTGTGGAATCTCTTTTCGTCACACAACTCGTGGATGAGTTTTTGGGAGCCCTGTTTGACGTTAGCTGTGCATCAAGTAAAGGTATGGTGAAGAGACTTACCACAAAGACCGTGTTTCTGCCGGGGAAGTTGAGACGGAAGATTTCGCCTGTTACTGGTTAGCTGCTTTCTCAAAAGCTGATATCAAAACAGTTGTACTCACCATACTCGTTGGCAAAGTTGAGCATGGACCCAAGTGGGAACTCGGTGTCAATGTCAAAAGCGTTGCCCACCAGGGGCAGCCCGGGGGGTCCTGGGATGGGGACTGTTTCCGGTTTTGTTTCGTCTGAAGACATGATGAAGATGTGTTGTTTTCACACGCCTGGTGCAAAGGGGGGGCTTGAAGTAATAAGCACGATTAGGATGGAAATATTGGGCCCGATCTAGAATGGTGATTTGGGCGCGGTGATAGTTGTCTTGGGTCGGAGTATTGTACGCCGTATTCTTGAGCCTCGGTGGAACAAGAGAGGCTATTAAATAAAAGTTGTAAGTGGGTGTGTAGAGATACTCGGATACTGACTTCTCTTCAAGATGGTGGGATGGATACAAGTCTTTATACGAAGGTCATCAAACATCAGGAAGATGTGGACGACGGCCATGACGTTGAAACGCATTGTGACAGGTCGACCCTTGTCAGTCAGAGCCCCCATGCCCCCTTTCGACGGCTTCTTGTTCGCTGACGGTTCCTCTTGGCTCCTCCACTTTCATCGGTGTCAAGAATGAACTGGGTTCGGTGCCGTGGTTGCGTATCATTGCAGCGGGACTGGCTGTGTAAAGTGATGGGTGTTCCACCCGACCTCGGTTGTCTCTGAGCTTACCTGTCAATGCGCATTGTCTTGGGTCCGACGGCATGTTTCGATCGGAGAATTCACTTTGTTGGGTAAGGTTTTGGACCCCTTTTTTTGTTTGGGTTGATCGAAGCCATTCCCGTCTGGTCCAGGGGCAGAGTGGGAAGTGGCCAATGTCACCAGGGATTACGCCCGTTACGGTGGGAGATTGAAGCGGAACGGAATTCTCGATTGCGATTGCTGACCGACCGGACTTCTTGTTCACTTTCCGCTGCCGGTGCTCTTTCCGCCCGATTCTCCGACAGAACCTTGATGGCTCCGTGTGTTCTTTTGACGATAACGGTCTCGATTACAGTGCGCTGCCAAGGCCTTATCGCTTATCGTATTCTTGACCGCTACGTCACCTCCCATATTGAGCCCTAACCCCAAGCGAACTTTCCCCTGAAAACGGCTTGATGCCATCACCATTCACCGAGGACAATGAAGGAATTCAAAGTTCCATTGTTTGTCCATCTGCGGCTGTATACCGTTGCACAAAAGCGTCAACAAAGCGCCTGAATCCAGTCCGCATGCAGCACACGAGTTTGAGCCTTGTTTGCGCCCACCCCTTTCATTTGAACTCGCAGTGTCTGAACACCTCAAAAGTTCACCGTCCTCTCATCCGAACTGGCCCTTCTTTCACCGACCAGCACCAACATCGTCGACTCTCCAGCACCAACGTACGCAGAGCTTCGATGCCCGGACCATCGCATTTACTGCGGAAGAGACCGTTGGAAATCATGGTGCCGGAATCCCATAAAGCCTCCCCGAGAGGCACCCTTGGAATCAATCTACCCCAAGAAAATACGTAACAATCAACAGCCAAGAACCCCAAAATGACCAGCGCTGACCAGATCCACCATCTTTCGACTTGGGACAATGTCGCTCCTCGCACATACACCGGTCGGGTGATCTGCTTCCCACTTGATGACGATGCTCGCAAGAATCAGTCGGAGAGTGCCAAAATTCTCTTGAACTGTCTGCGGAGCAATCTCGATGTCCTTGTGAAAGAAAGACCCGACTTTGCTGGAAAACTCCAGCTCGGAGCAAACTTGACACCCAACGAGAAGCACGGGAACGTCTACCTCCTCACGTCATCCAACTTTCGGATCTATCTGAGGCCCAAGTACCCGAAGGAGCTCGAGTCCATCTATGGGACAGTCACTGCTCGAAATGGCACAGAGAATGTAAAGGCAAGGGGAATCAACTTCGACGAGAACTTCACCGACTACGACACTCTTAAGCGTTCCAAATTCCCTGTTAGACCATTCATCAACGCGGACTTGACCACCGACCTGATGCTTGAGGAAGGAAAGCCCCCCATCCCGGTTGTGGAGGTCGAGGTTATCTTCCTCAACGGCGGCTTCTTCTTCAACCTCCTCATCCACCACACCTACTTCGACGGCAAGGCGTACCACAAGTTCCTAGAATGCTTCGCCGCCTGCACTCGCAGAGACAAAGTGCCCCAATTCCCCTGCAGCCCCATGGTCAAGCTTCCTTACGAGCAGGACCAGTCCCTCGCCGACAAGAAGTTCGAGGACATCCTCCCCCTGTGTTCCGAGTTCAAGACCTGGCCAAACAACGATCTCAAAGGTCCAACCCAGCCCATCCAGCCCGATATCCCCAATAGCGAGAGACCTCAGTCCTTCAAAAACGACAGCAAAATCTTCATCTTCAACTTCTCCAAGCTCAAATCCCTCAGCCTCGAGCTCGCCCACCTCCTCCCCAGGGGCAACAAAACCACCCCTCCGCCATCCGCCTACACAACCCTCTGCGCCCTCCTCTGGGCACACACCCTTGTCGCCCGCGAAGCCATGCTTAACAACAACTCATGCGACCCCAGCGAACGCGCCATCCACACCCACTTCTCCTCGCACCCTCCCTTCTTCTCTACCCCCGTCGACTGGACCAGCACCAAGCTTCTCCAAAAGTATCCCGACCTCGCGGCCCTTTCATACTTCGGCAACACCGTCACCTGGGCCATCACCACTCTCCCCGACAAATCTCTTTTGCATAGCATCGCTTCGGGAAACAAGACCTCCCTCGCCCAAGTCGCTGGCGCCATCAGCCTTTCCATCTCCCGCGTCGACCCCTCCTTCCTCTACACGCGCGAAGCTTTGTTTAACGCAGTCCCCGATCTGCGCCAGCTCGGTCTCCCGTGGGATAGCCGGATGCCGGCGGAGTGGGGGATGAATAGCTGGGCGGATTTCGGCGCGGATGTGGAGTGGTCGTTGCCTGGTGTTGCGAAGAGTCCTGACTTGAGTAAGGGGACGCTGGCGGACGCGCAGAGACGGGTGCAGAAAGAGGTGGGAGGGTCCGGGGGATTGATTTTGCCGGCGAAGAGGACGAGGCCGGAGAGTTGGGAGTGTCAGTTTAGTTTGCCGGAGGGGGCAATGAGGGCGTTGGAGGGGGATGAGGTGTTTGGGGGGTATTGGGAAGGGGTGGTTGGTGATGAGCCGGTGTTCGAGTGATGGGAGTGATTGGAATTTTGTCATTATTCGAGCAGTTTTTCTCTGCGGTGTTGGATCACCTGCGGACGGGAGTTATCATGGAAACGAACAGAGATGATGGCATCAACAGAAGCAGGTATCGGGCGCACTGATGCCATGGGATATGGAGGGAAAGGGTATTGGACTCACTTCTGTCACCCATTTGAGAACGTGGAATGGAAGGCGCAAATGTCGGAAGGCGTTCATGGTGATACGCCCAGGTTTTGCATGTTGAGGTTTACAAGGGCGGTTAGGAACGCAGTTCACGGAATAGGTTGACAGATAGCATAGTACGAGAATCAAAGAATAGTGTTTGTCTACATTAACCCCCCTGACTGACCCTTCACCCGAAACTCACAAAAGGGTTATTGTGCCACCAACATCGCACCCGTTCACCAACCTGCCGTGTCCGCACAGCCGCGCTGTTCACCCAGTAAGAACACTGACCTTTACTCAACCTTGACAGAACCTGGACGGCGAACCTATTCACTGTTCCTCGGACAGTCACTGCGCCTGCGGGAAACTATGCCCCAACCGATATTTAAATCATCCTCTCGCGGAAGATCTGGCCCACGATTCCCCTTCTTGCACCATTCCCATCAAAATGACCAACACCAACACCAACAACCACGAGCAAAAGCCCAAAACACCCACCATGACCAGCAACCAGGTCCTCGACCAGGCCGTCAACAAAGCCATGGACGAGTCCTTCAACGAGTCCACCACCCAGCCCACCACCCAGCCCACCACCCCCAGCCCCGTCATCACCACCTCCCCCCTCGGCCTCTGGAACAACGTCGCCCCCCGCGTCTACACTCCCCGCCCGCTCTGCTTCCCCTTCTCCCCCTCCGCCCGCCTCGACCCGCTCTCCTCGGCCTCCACCATCCTCCGGTTCCTGCGCATCCAGCTCCTGCGCCTCGTCAAAGTCCGCCCTGCCTTTGCCGGCAAGCTTCAGCTTGGTATCAACCTTTGCGAGTCCGACAGGCGCAATCTTACCTCTGAAGTCTACAACGACTGGCATGTTTATCTTCAGACTTGTGAGGGGTATGAGATCCCTTTGACTGCGCATTTTCCTGATCACGAGGAGGTGAAGGGGGTGTATGCGGGTATTGAGGAGAGGTTTGAGCCGAGGGGGGTAAAGGGGTGGCCGAGTGAGTTTGGGGAGTATGATGAGTTGAAGAGAGCGGGGTTTCCGGTCGAGCCGTTTGTTAATCCGTTGTTGACGGATTTGTCGACACTTGAGGAGGGGGGCGAGGCACTGCCTGCTGTTCAGGTCAGGATTTTGTTTCTGAAGGGGGGGTTCATTCTTAATGTCTTGGGACATCATACGATGTTTGATGGGGGAGCGTTTACCCAGTCCTTGAATATCTTGGCGGAACATACGAGGAGTTTGAGTCCCACGTGGGAGGCTGTCCCTGAGAGCCATGACTTGGCTTTGTCTTTGCCGACTATCGAGAAGCCGTACGAAGAGCTGCTGGCTGAGTGCCCCGAGTACAAAGAGTGGGAGGATCACGCACCTGACGGTCCTACACATCCCGTCTGTCCTCGCTTGCGCGAAGACGACTCGTTGACCGGTTCTTCGAAGATCTTTGTCTTCACGTTTGCCAAACTCGTCCAGCTCCAGAAGGAAATCGCGGCTCATGGCGTCAAAGCCGGCATTTACGAGTGTCTCTCCGGTCTCTTGTGGGCTCTGACGTACTTCTCCCGCGTCACGGCCTCCTCCAAGTCCACCGACCCTTCGTCATTCGAGCGTTTTCTCCACGACCATTTCGCCTCGGAGCAACCCGTCTTCTCCACGCCCACCGACTGGATCGCTCGCGTCGCAGCTTTGAAGTCTACCGACCCCGAGGTGGTGGCTTTCAAGGAGCAGATTGCCAAGGATACGAAGGAGTATTTGGGCAACAAAATCACCTGGATCAGCACCCGTCTACCCTCCGCCTCTCTCCTCATCGACGCCGCCGAGAAGCAAGACCTCGCTGCTTTGGCAAAGATCGTAGCAGCCATCAACAAATCCAGCACCGACATGGCGGAGAATATGGAGGAGTACATCACCACGCGCACCTCCCTCTTTGCTGCTCTCTCCAATCCCTCGGATGACCGAGTCGACGTCGACATCCGCCACATCGGCCTCGCCCTTCGACCCCCGCCAGCCATCCGAATGGCAAATGAACAGTTGGAAAAACTTTGGCGCGGACACAGAATGGAGGTTTCCCCCTCTTCCCTCTTTGTCGTCTCCGTCCTCTGTTCTAGAGCCCATGGTCCCAGCCAACGCCTTCTGTTCTTCTGCCTCTGCCTCTTACTGCCACCGCAACGCCTTCAATGTGACTAAACCGGATGCTGTACGTCGTGTGCAAGCGCGCTATGGCGTTAGCGGGGGACTGTGGTTGCCGGCGAGGAAGGAGCAGAAGGAGGAGGTGCTGGTGCAGGTTAGTTTGCCGCAGGGAGCGATGGGGGTTTTTGAGGGGGTGGTTGGGGGTGGGAGGTGGGTTGAGAGGGTTGTCTAGAGGTGGTGTGCATTGGGAATGGGATTGTACGATTATCGAGTTTGGGATTCAGATTGTGGAGGGACTGGACTACCTTAGGAAGGGAATTGTGGAATCACGGACTCAGATTGGAACCTCATGGAACTGGTTTCATTGGGATGGCGCTAGGTACTCATTTTCAGCAAGGGACGGGAAGGCGCAAAGGTCGGAACACCATGGCGGATGTCACACCCATCACAGACCACAGGATGGATTAGATTACTGTCACAGTATATCAAGAATTCTTGTTGCTTTTTACTTGATACCTCTACTGTCCCATGCTGATTGACTGTTGCAGATCCTCGTATTGTTTCTGGTGACACGACATCCCCGTGGCGCTCCTGCCACATCGTTGGCTCCGTTGTTACTCCTGACGATAACGGACGGGAAGCAGATAAGGAGATGTACGTTCCCGACTCCCGACGGCAACTGAGACTTCAAGTTGCTCTTTCCTTCTACTCATGACTTTTCTTCCCGTGAAAATTTTGAGCAAACTTTGACTTCGACTTCGAGATGGATCCGTCGAGATAATCCAGCATTTCCAACCAGCATCGATATCCGCAATCTTTCACGCATCTCTTCCTCACCCGAGTCACTCGCTCCAGTCACCAGTCATCAGTCACCGCCATGCTGTCCATCTACGTCCTCTCCATATGCCTCCCGGCACTGGCCACTGCCAGAACATCCACCAAGCGCGGCCTGATCTTCACCCCCAACAGCAACTGGCCCAAAGACGACCTGATCTGGATCACCGGTCCCAACAACCTAACCTGGTACCACAACTACCAATCTCTTCCGTCTCCCGAGTCCAACTATGCCGCCCTTTCTCAAAAGCAGATCCAATTTGTGCCGACGATGTGGGGAGGCAACGAGAACGACACCGACTTTCTAGGGAATGTGACTGCTTTGATGGGGGTTGATCTCAGCAAAGATGAGGACAATGGGAAGGGCGACGGGAACGGGGATGGTAAAGGGAAGGACAAAACCAAGCGAGCAGGAGACAAGCGAAACATAACCCATATCATGACCTTCAACAAACCCGACCAACCCTTCGACGTCGGCGGCAGCGAAATGGAGCCCCGAACGGCCGCCAAAGCGTGGATCAAGAACATCATACCACTCCGACGATTGGGAGTCAAAGTCGGACTACCGCTCGTCAATGAGCCGCACAAGGGAGGAAAGAAACGAGACGGGGAAGAGGGATCATGGCTGGACATGTTCTTCGCCAACTGTTCTGGGCTTCTGGACAAGCTGGAGGACGCAAGAGAGAAAACGTGTGGGTTCGACTTTGTGCCGGTCTATTCTCTTGGGGACTTTGAGATGTTGAAGGAGAGGGTAGGGATGTTTGAGGATGCGCAAGTCCCTTTTCTTTCTTTCCATGTCCGCTTCACGCTTTGCCCGTTCCCTTCCCTTCCCTCCACTTCCCTCGCCTTACCTCTATAGCTTCCCCTTTCCCATCCATCCTTACCACCGTCCGCTCTCATAGTCTCACCACTAACACCAACGTCACCCAGCTTCCCCGGCCTCGACATCTGGATCACCGAATTCGGCCTTCCCTCCGAGACCCTCAAGAACACGCAAGAGTTCTACAACCAATCCATCCCTTACCTCGACAGCAAGGGGAGTGTCAAGCGGTACGCCTGGTTCGGCGCCTTTCGAAGTATCGTATCAAACGTCGGACCCAATCAAGCTTTCCTGGATCCATACGGAGAGTTGACGGATATTGGGTCGTGGTATCTTGGTGGAAACGCAACGGGAAGAGAGGCCCTGCCGAGCGATGACTACATGGGGGAGGATGATAAGTGCACAAAGGAGAAGCCGTGTGAAGGGGAGGAGAATGGGGAGGGAACATTGCGGCCCGGCAGGCTGATTGTTCTTTTGTTCTTCTTCATGGCGGTGTTGGTATAATCAGCTCTTGGGGTAATTCAGCGCATCTGTTCAACGCTCACGCTCACTGCGGCCCGGTCCCTTCCCGATCCCTTCTGCCCTTCATCGCCGGCCTCCATTACCCTCTCTCCTCCCTCCTACTCCCATCCCACGGCCTACTCAGCACAATCCCTATACCACGCCCCCAACTCCGTCACCCTTCCCTCATCCCCCAAAAAACTCGCCCACCTCCCGACATTCCCAATCGTCTCCGGCCTCATGGCCCCAAACCACGCATACCTCTCCACCCAATCCAACGTATCCAAATACTTGCAACTCTCCCTACAAAAGCTTTCCACCTCCTCCTTGGGTATCGGATTCGCCTGATCCCAATTCGTGCACGCAAACTCGGTAATCCACACCGGCTTGTCCGGCCCCAGCTGGTGATGCGTGCTCCAGATATAATCATAAAACGACCCCAAGTTCGCATGTCCGTACCAATGCAGACAGTAAAAGTCCACATCCGACCCGCGCGCGCGAATAGCAGCCATGAACTCCTTCAACCACGTCACGCCCTGCGGCGCTGAACTGATCCCGGGGCTTCCAGCCCTTACCCCCTGGCGGCGCAACGGCTCAATCACCCTCAGCCATTCCTGCGCCGCTAGTTCAACAGGCATGTTACTCTGATCAGCCAGTTCCGGCTCGTTGAAACCCAGGATTGTTGGGGGGCCATTACATTGCGGATCCGGGTAGCAGGCGTTGAGGTGCGAGGGGAGTTCGTCAATGTAGACGTGGTTCCATTGCATAGGCACGAATTGGAGAGAACAACCCGGGCCGGTGCCGGGCGTGAGGCGCGGGGACCAGTTGTAGAGCCAGGAGATGAGGGAGCCGGGTTTGGAGAAGAGGAAGGGCGGGTCGGGGGAGGAGACGGGGAAGGTTAAGCCGCGTTTGGATGTCATTTTTGTTTTTGGGGTTTGTAGGGAGCTGGGTTTGAGGGGGGGTTGGTGGGTTGAGATGGAAGTCGTGGCTGTTTAGACCGGTATTTTAGTCGAGCGGGCGGTTGGCGTTATGGTAAGTAAGCTTGCGCTTGAAGCTGTGGTAACGTGGTTGAGGTTGAGATCCGGTTATGGCGGGGTTTGAAGCTGGCGACGGTCTAGAATCTAGATGGTTGACGTTGGCGTCTGGCGGATATTGCGGCCAGTATTCTAGTTGGAAAGTTTAATCTTATGCAACTGAAGAGTGAACCAAACACAAGAGGAAGAAGAAAAGGGGGCTCAGCCTTAACAGGAGATGAAAGTGGATTCAAGCTGTCGTGATTGTTGACATCGGCATCCGGATGAGCTGGCGAGGGGTCGCCGTCGGCACTGCGGCAGTGTCCCGGCAGTGTCCCGGCAGTGCACTGTAAGACGCGATAAGATAAGCGCTAAGCTCCAGGGCTCCTTGGCTTCAGCGGCTGGCGGTCCCCTGATGACGTAGTTTTGGGGCTCGGCGTGTCCACTTTATTTCAGTGGTGTTTGCGGTTAGGGTTGGCTATGGTAAAAGACGGCGATGAGGTAGTTTTGGGGATATCGTTTTCTCCATTTACTTCACATTAAGACCGCCGAAAGTGCGCTTGATGCCTAGGCCATTATCTGCTTCATTGACTCTCTTCTTTGCAAGGATTTAGCGGTTGTAGTTGTGAAGTTATCGCAGAGTGACCAACGACCCCTCAAAGCAGCCCGAGCCAATGCATCGCCAACCCGCCATGGAACTTGGAAGCGGGAGGAGGAACCGAACCAATTTCCAGAGTAGCTGGGTTCGAAAGTGCCATTGAGGCATGAAAAAAGGGCAAAAGAAAGTCCCGAGTATGCGGGCCATTGTCGAGGCAGAAGATGGGTGATTGAATGATTATTTGAGTGGGAAAGGGATAAGTTGGTGTTCAATGGTGATGGAGTGAACAAGAAACATCAGAAAACGGAAGTCGAGTAGGTATAGTTTTGTATTCTCCGTGCTCTCCAGCGGAAAATCTCCGCCCTTACCAACCAAACACTGGAATGCGGACAATCACCAAAGTAAGGGATGCACGTGGCTTGCCCGCACTTCTACAGGTGTCTGCCGGGAATGGCTTCACATTGTTCCAGGCCGTGTGCAAACATTGTTCTTTGCCGCGCCCCTTTGACCACAAATTGTCATCCCCCTCTCGCCCCCTACCCAGACGGCTTGCGTGGAAGCTCCAAAGACTGTCAACCAGGCTGTTCTAGACGTTTGACGGTTCATACAATTGTCTTTGTGATCCCGATTGATGAATCGTTTGCTTTTCATTTGTGCCCCCTCTCCCCCTCTCCTCTCAGACAGAAGGACTCGGCTAGCATACAAGAAGTCGAGTCATGCCCACCTTTGACTTGACAGTCGTTCCTGTCGTTTCCCTACGACCTAAAGACTGCCAGAATCTGTAATCATCAAGCCATATCCGACACATCTCTCCAAATATATCGAGACCTGATAATAAGCCAAAATGGACGCCAAACCCCACCAAACCCGTCCTGACCCGACATTCCCCCAAGTCATACGCGCCCCCTTCAAGTCCACAACGTTCGCTCTTTCGGGGGTAGGGTACGATTGGTACAACTGGAATGAGAAGCCCTTAGAGTGTCTGTGAGGGGCGTTTGGATTGCCTGTTTGATGTCAGTTTCCGTCAACCCTTCTCTTCTTGTTTTCTTCTTCATTAGGTGTCATTGTGTTGACACCATGGACAGTTCGAGGAGTTATTGTGTTCCATTCGACCGAACACACGGCTACAATGTCACGATAAGAGGACCCATGTATGGGGAGATGGTCAGTAAGAGGAAAAATCCATATCATCATCCATAAAAACAGAGCATATGACCGCTATCCGAGTCCAATCGTTTCATCGATCCATCCATCCGTCCGTCCGTTCGAACCGGTCACGTCTACCGTGCCGTTTCGCCCAATCCCTCTTAGAGATATGATAAGGACAATGAGACGAAACCAGAACAACAAATGGTATCTTGAAGACAGAGACAAACAGGAAAGAGAAAAGAAAACAGCATGCCATCCCTTCTAGCCATGGCCTTTTGTGTACCTTTTGTGTATGTAGAACCACCCTCTCTCCTTGGTCATGACAATGGAAATTTTGTCTACCGCAGTCTTTCGTCACTTTTGTTTACCACGGAAACATGATGAAACCACGAGATCTGTCAAGAATCCACCCAGGAAAGTCCGTCAAACATCTTCCCAACAAAGAGATGAACCACGACATCTGTCAAACATCCACCCGAGAAAGAATGCAGCAAAGGCCAATACTTTTTCATAACATCATAAAGCAAACCCAAGCATCGCTTTTGTTTCTCAAACCACAAGGAAACCACCACCCAGTAACCATAATCATCACTCAGGAAATGTGTATTCTCGCAAAGAATTGCTATGTAACAAAAAGAAAACCGTGTCTTGTGTGTATCGAGTCGAATCAACATCGAGTCGTCGTTCGTAAAAACCATCGCCGTCGTACTGTCGTACAGATAAACGCTTTGCATCGCCTTTGCGAATGCGTTGCGCTCAACTGGAGGCCAGGGATGTTCCCAACATCAGAGATGCTGCTTGCTGTCGTTCGTCCTAGACGTCTTCGTTCGTCATAGTTGCGGTTGTTGGTCCTTTCGGAGAACAACGCAATCCGAGCTGAACGTGTCTACTCGAACAACAGACAGACAACACTCGTCGGGCCATGCCGTCCTTCCACGTACGTAGCCTGAAAACCAGGCCCACACGATGTCATTCCCGGTGGAAGAGGGATCGTGGGTATGTGTAGTACCGTACACTTGCTGCTGTTTCCTCATCCGTAGTAGTAGGTATCGTTACCGGTGTCCAGTCCGTATCCGAGATCCGTAAGCCATATCCGAAATCCGTAGTCCGTACCCGTACCCGTAATCCATATCCGTCCAATCCTTACACCATCGGCAATGAATCCACCGAAAGCTCCGAGACAGTGCTGAGATTACTCCGGTGTCGCTTATGCACATGCATCGTTGTCGGGTCGTCAATCAGGGAACCGCCGGGACCGGTAGTGGGAGCCTTCCTTTTCTGTGCAATGATTTGGTTGAGCGGGGGATCCAGGTTGAAGTCACGCCATGGGCTTGGGGTAAAGTCAAAGTAAGGGGAAGTAAGAGGAAAGGAAGGGGGTAAAAAAAGATGGTGAGGTCCTACCATGGAACTGTTTTTCCTCCTGCGGGCGGGGGTGATGGGTGTTGTGACCGTCTCCAGACTGCCGGTCTTGATACCTCTCAGTGTGCCGTGGTAGTAAGGTCCCGAGAACGAAAGCGATTCCTGGGTGGCTCGGTCGCTGAGAATCAGCTGCTGGTTGATTTGGTTGCGCCGGAAAGCTCCGACAGCGTCCGCGTTGTTGGTCAGATGGTTGAGTAAGGGGTGCATGGCCTGTTTTTCGCCGTCCTTCTTGGTCGGCGAGTTGGCGGCGCTCTCCGGGTCCAAGTCCAGCTCTTCATCGTCTTCCGAATCAGTGTTATCGAATCTCAGGAAATCATCAATGTCGAGCTTCGCCTCCTCCTCGTCCACTTCCGGGATGCCCAGCTCGGAGTCGTCACTATCGTCTCCCGCGTAAAAGTCCTCGCCCATGGGGAAGAAGGCCTCGGCCGGACCCCACGGTTGTGTGTTCATAAAGTCGCCAAACGTGTTGGAAGAGACCATGGCGCCCATCATGAGGTAACCGGGGTTGGTAAGCAGGGGAGCGAAGTAGTCGAGAGTAGCTGATGGGACATCGTTAATAGCCTCCTCAGCTGCCAAGTCTGCGGCCTGGTGGTCCCTCTTGAAGATCATGATCTTGCGAGAATTGGGGTTGAAGACAGCGATCGGCTTGTTCTCGGATCCGTCCAGGTGGAAACGGCCCACGCGAGGTTTGCCCCGTTGGGACCGGGATGGCCTCTCAGCCTCGGACTCTGAAGACACAGGCGCCGACTCGACACGTGCTGCCTGCTTCTTCCGGATAATGGGCTCTGGGTCCTCTTCTTCTGTTGTTTCGCCGTCCGCTGTGACGAGTTAGCTCCGCACAAAGTTCGAACGAACTCGATTGACTCACTCTCGTATCCGTCAAGCTCCGCCTCTTGCGCTTTGGAGAGAGCCGAGTCGGACAGTTCTGGCGTTATTGTCGGAATGGGTACCGTCAGGTTAGGCAAGAGAGGGGCACCCAGCATGGATTGCGGCATCTGGACCTCATCCTCCGAATCCATAAAGAACTCTTGCGGATTGCTGTCATAATCCCAGAAAGATTCGGCCGAGGATGACTCATTGCCACGCTCGATCTCGATGCGGAAGGCGGGGTCTAGCTCGTTGCGGTCAACAAAGATATCAGGGAACAAGTCGGCATTGGATTCGGTCTCGGTGGTTGTCGAGTCCGAGTCACTGTCGTCGTCAGGAATACCGGCAAAGCGAACGTGACGTTTGACGCTGACCTCGGTCTCGACGGAGGGTTCGGGGACTTGCTCGATGAATGTGCTCTCCTCGTGCTCCGACAGACCGCCCCAGCTTTCATTCTCGTCAGCAGCATTGTCGTCGTCGTCCTCAGGCTCGTCATCGTCCTCATCTTCGTCGTCACCGTCTTCGTTCTGTTCATCTTCCTCGTCCTCCTCTTCGTCTTCCTCGTCGGCATCGTGGTCTTCCTCCTGAGCAATCACTTGGGGCCGAGGGGTGTTGTCCAATGGACGCTTGCGGGAAGCTCGCGTCAAGAGGTGCTCCTCCTCGGCCGCCATGACATTGTGCTCGTCATCTTCGCTCTCGCTGAGGTCCTCGACGGCCGAGTAGCCTTCATCGTCGGAGAGGTCGAGGGAGGAGGAAGAGGTGGAGGAGACGGAAACCCGGCGCTTGGTAGCCTTGAGAGGCGTCCGCGGGTTTTTTAGTTTGATGGTTGTCCGGGACATGGTGGGGGACTGGGTGACCGGGTATAGGTGGGTGGTGGTTGGTATGATGCAAGCGGCGGTGAACCGTGCGCGGAGCTAAGATCTGGTCGGGGGGTTGAAATGGGATTGCCCAGTCCAGAAGGTTTTCGTACGGGGGGATTGTCGTGTAGGTATAATTGGATGTCGGCTGGAGCTGTCGAGGGGTCTTGTTTGGGTGTCTGTCGAGGATCCCAAGAACAGCAAGACAAAAGACGGGGTCGGACTTGAGGTGGGGATGGAGTGACTTTGTGACGGTAGAAATCGGTGGCAGTGGAGAAACGGGGTATGCTCCTCTCTCAGGGTCGTCTGGACTAGCTGTCTGTCCTTTTGTCTTTTTGATAGTGTTGATATGATGTTGTCTTTTTGGGGTAGATTCTTCTGGAGGTCGATGATATGTTGTAGCCGCTTTCCCACTCTTCCAAGTCCTGCACTGGGACACTGCCTGTCCTATGCCCTGTCGCGGTATGTGCAGATGCTGTGCAGGGAAGAGGCCTTTTTCGAGGTTGAGAAAAGCCTGGATAGCTTCTGATAGTCGAGTGGTATGGGTAGGGAGGGCAGGGATAGTCTCTCTCGTTGAGGCTGCTGGACTGCGGGCGCTGTGAATGGCACCCGCAGTGGGCGCTTAGAGCTCAACGACGGCCGAAGGCATCTTGAAAATCTCGACTGAAGCTAGTTTATGTATGCTGGTGGGGTTGTGAGGGCGACTTCGTTGTCTTTGGTTATGGTGGTTGTGGTGGTTGTGGTTGGGATGTTGAAAAGGAAAAAAGGGAAAAAAGAGGAGGCGAGAGAAGGAGGGGAGCAGTCCGTCGTCAGCCAAACAGCAAAAGCGCAAGGGAAACTTTTTTTGCTTCCCGTCACTTTGCACTCCCATTGCTCCCGTTGTTCCCTCGCAACCTTTCATTTTGCTGCTGCCACTCCTGGAGCCACCAAGACTGCTGTAACTGCTGTAACGGCAGGTAACGAACCGTACTGATTGGTTTTGTCTCTCCTTTTCTGGTCTCTGATTGGTTCAATTGGGTGCCATTGGGTTCCACTGGTTCCACCGACCCAGATCGTGGGGCAGCTTCAGTGGATTCATGTCGTGCGTTCCGCTCTCAAAAAGGGTACGTACCTTTTCTCCCTCGAATTGGCACTTGTCGCGGCCCGGTTGGTTGGACCATTCCACGCCAATGCCGACGCCAATTCGCCATTTGGCAGCTGGTCAAAGTGGAACAGTCTAAAATTTCACGCAAGGTGACAAGCAAACTACCGCTTTTACCCAATCGTAAGAGATTTTAGTCTCTGTTACATTGACCTCTCTTACCCCCCCCGCGCCCCTGCCCTATATTGTATGTGAATCTCTTCGAATAAAGTGAGAAGAGGTTTATAATAATCTTGAACGTTTTGGCCATTAGCCGTAATAATACTTATATAAATAAAAAATTTATTTAATAGTTATTCGCGATTATCTTAATAATAATAATACGTATCTAAATTCGGATTGCTCGTTGTACTTTGTGTAAGCTAGAGCTTCCTTATTATATTTTTCTTTTTTGTATTGTAATTTATATTTATTATTAGGCATCCCTTAGCGGGTATATTCGTTAAGCGTAGTAATTATTATCCTAAGAAATAGGTATTGTATTTCTATTATTCTATATTAAATTTATTTAAAATTTGGTACCAATAATAGTTTAGTCTAATTTTACCTTCGATAAAATTTTCGGTTTCGTCTAAGACTTTGAAATGTATTCCGATTTTATTATTTTACTTATTTTGAATAGGACTGCGTAGTAATGTATAGCTATTATTATTGAATATATGAACTTGGATAAATATTAATAGTTTTAAATTCGGTTTATATATATTATTATTCGAATTCTATTTAATTTAATCGTTCGGTTAGCGTTTAATTAAGTTCCGCGTTAACCTCACCCGGAATAGGTTGAGTATATCTATCATATTATTTATTAATATAGTAATATTATTTTAATAGTAGTAATTAGCTTTGGCAAAAGTATTATATTTTAACTAATATTAACTATCTTATTAATAAAGGTTATATTATAAATTATATTATTTAATTATTTCGCTTAAGAATAGAGGGACGTTATTGTAAAGTACTCCGGCGTTAAATCATTATTTATTAATTAAGACTTTTATAAGGTATATGATATATTTATTATTATTTTCGAACTTTTTATTAATATAATTAGATTAATAGATTATAAGAGTGTATGCGTTTGGGATATCTTATATATATTCTCTTCGGATTTAAATAAGTATTTTACTTTTACTTTTTTAAATTCCTCTGCGCCCTTGAATTCGCTACCTATATAATATTCGTAGTTATAAATGAATTTTATACAATTTATTAATAGCGCGATTTCTACGAAAAGTTCTCCGATCTTTATTAATTCTATCGGACCCTTCTTCTTTCCATCCTATAGTTCGGATATATAATTATTTTAATTAAATAGTCCGAATCCTATATATAGGAATACGCCGGTTTTTATTAGCCTGGGAAATTTATAAACTCCTTTCGGATTTTTTGCGCTTTTATTAACCGACCTAATATTAGTATTATTTTTAATTGTATTCTGTTTAGCAAAAGTTGGAACTTTGAGCGCCTCGAATTCTTCTTTATCCTTACTATAAGAATTATTATATTAAAAATAATTATTTATATCGTTAGTAAGGATTTAATTAGTAAGGCGAAGAAATATTTTATCCGTGCTTTAATAAGGCGTAATATTTATAATTAAGCCGATACGCTTTTAATAATTTAAATTTATTATTTTATATTCGGCTTCCGGATTAGGAACGATTTTATTAATAATTCGTTACTCTAAAATCCTAATATCGTATTATTATATTGATAGTAATATTAGAGATGGAAATAGATATATTTAACATTATTCGGGTTATATAGTATAGCGAAGTTATATTTTAGGATATTATAGATTTATAATAGCGTTTCAGTCGTGCCATCTATCGTAGTGGAGAAGGGATTATTTATTTCTTTATACCTTATTAGTATTTCAATAGGTTTAGGTATACTTGTAAGAAATAATCTCCGTTAAAAACGTATTTCGACGATAACCGTTCGTAAATATATAAATCCGAAATATTATTTATAATAAATAGGATATTTAATATAATTTAATCCTAATTATTTAATTAATCGAAATATTCCCAGTCTATTATAAACCTTAATTTTAGTATATTTAGGATTATTTATCCGAAGAAATAAATTAAATATAATACTACGAAAAAGATTGAATTAATTATAGAATATCCCAAAATATATATTATTACGAATATGAAATATTTTTACAAAATTATCCTTAACGTCCTTTAAAGCTGTATTAATTATATTAATTATATACGTACTATATATTATAATAAATATAATTATTATTTTTTTCGAATTGAATAGTTATTTAAAAAGTTAAAGAAGAAGCTTGGTCTACCGACTGATGGTTTAAAGGTAAATATTTTCTTAATATACTTCTAAAACTTCTTCGGGGAGCATATTAATTCAGTTTATATTAAATATAATATCGACTTCTAAAAATTTTATACAGTTCTCTTACTACCCGAAATCTCTTAATAAATTATATATACTATAATTATATTTAAAGTAGCTGACTCAATCCGTACTTTGTTTAATTTAATAGTATAAATACTTTTTTCATAAGATCAAAAGTATTTGAATATTTATAAATGTAATCTCTCTATAGAACATATTAGAATCCTATTAGTTATTAATTATATGATTTAGAATAATAAATGTAAGAACAATGTTCTGCTTGCTAGGCAGAATTTGTAATGCCTACTATAAGGCCAATGTCAACCTGTGACAACCGCCAACCTTCTAATTCCTATTAATTTCATCGTTTTATCCTTTTTATACATTAACCAATAATACTAACTATAAAAACGACGATATTTTCAATCCTTCCCTATAAAACTATACATTATATTACCCTTAGGACTATCGATATCGTTTATACGTAAATAACTATACAATCTATATTATTAATTAAATCTAATTTCGTTTTATAAACGTAATAAAAAACTTTAAAAATGTTAAAAGTTTTACTATTAATAACGAATACAACATCATTTACTAGCAACCTTCCTCCCCCGGGTTTATATACGTTATTAGTTTATCCCTTAAAAGTAGTAGCTATCATTTTAGCTAAATTCGAGAGCAGTAAAGGGATATTATTAAAGAATATATTTTAAATAAGAATTAGTTAATTAAATACTTCATAAAATCAAAAGGGAAGCGATAGCGAAATTACAATATATAAAGTATTAAAAGAAAATGCTAAGAAGGTAAAGTATTTATATAGGTAGAAGAATTTACCGTTATTAAAAATAAAGACGAGGATTAAAAATAAAAATAAAGATTAATATTAGTAATAATATTAATCGATTAGAATTAGCGCTATTAAAGTTCCCTCCTTATCTTTAATTATTAATTCTATATTATCCACCTCCGATTTAGCCGTAATAAGAGCCTCTTCGTTAGCCGCAATAAATTTAGTAATAAATTCGAACTTTTTAAACTTACTAAAGCCAAAAATCCATCATTATTTATAGAAGGCCTTTAACTAAATTATATTAAAGTTGGTATAATTCATACCTAACTCGTGAAAGGTAATTTCAGCAATTAATTCAATATAATTATTAATAACTTCAGCGTTAATAATTTACTAAAACTCTAAAAAGTGGATATCTCGCTAATTAATCCCCTTAATCTTTATTTTCTAATTTTCAATACCGTTAGGGTATATAGAAATACTATAATCAATAAAGGATTTAGCTACTAAATTTAGGTTTCCTAATTTAAAACGATTAATTACCCGTACAATAATATATATAAATATAATCCTCTTCTTACCGGGAATCTATTTTTTAACGTCGACGTTGATAATTTATTATTCTTCGACGTATCGTTCATATTCATCGAAAAGATATACCTTAATAAATTT